CAAATGTTAATGGCCCGAATGGCCAGTAACTTCAAAATGTTAATTTCGAAGACTGGTTTAATACTGAATTTATTGAACAAGTTGAATAAAAATATATTATGCGAGCCTCTGGCAAGCATATTATTTTATTCAACGAGTTCAATAAATTCAGTAATGAACTTACATGAATTTAATATTCTATTTCTCACATACCAAAAATAAAGACTGTTGGAAGTAAAAATGAGCCATTTTTCATTGATGCGCCTATAGTATTACCTTAACATTTAGAATGTCTTAAGGCTTTGTTTATATAACACAAATGACATCACGTCAAAATATATGCAAATACATGCATGTCTATGCAAAACCATTTTTATGGAATCGCAAAATCGGCACAGATTAACATGCATACTAGGACCCTAGATCATTGCCACCGAGAATAAGATTTGAGATGTAAGGCTATACAAGTAAATTGGATTTAAAAAAATTATGAAAATTAAGTTAAAACATTACATTGCCGTAAGTGTATACAGTATATAATTAGATATCAGGACATTATAAAGTGGTAGCGCGATAGCTCAGTTGGTTAGACCACTGATGATCACTCCTGAGGTCCCGGGTTTGATCCTGGGTTATGACCTCGGGATTTTTCAGAGACACTTTCAGTGTTTCCCACCTACCTAGAGATGTTCTGGCAAGAAATCAAGGTAATCCTAGCAGAGTGATCGTAAACGATTTTAAAGAAGTATGCAGGGCTCCAGATAATTTTTTAGGGCAATGAGTATTTACTCATTGATTTTTTTGTGAATGAGTAAAACTTGAAATCTGAAATTTGGCAGGAGTATTTTTACTCCTTAAAATGTATGTAAAAGAGTAAAACATTTATTATGCTTCCATGTTTATTGAATTATCATACTTGTAATACAAGATATGTCTAAAGTCATTTCTTTTGCTTTTTGGACTCCCTTGGTTTATAATCTTGCATTTCCAAACGGCATACGTTTTATCTGAATCTGAGGCATGTTTCTGTTGCTCATACGTGGCAGCGCTAATTATTTCATTAATTATAACCTTAACCGATTTTTTTCGGCATAAAATACCACAGGGACCCAGCACAGTGTTGGGATAGTGTAAAAAGGTAATTCTAGAAAAAAATATATACTGTATATATAATATATAGACTATATATACAGTATATTTTTTTTCTAGAATTACTTTTTTACACTATCCCAACACTGTGCTGGGTCCCTGTGTAAAATACGAGTCAATCGTTTTAACTTTTGACAGCGATATTAAACCGGATGTTTATGAAATTGCATTAATTCCAACACCTTACTATACATACGATAACATCCGATGATAGTCGGAACTACAGGAAGTTTCTGTTAGACGTCGCAAAGCATTCATACGAAGTTAATTCCACCACCATACTGTACATACGATAACAACCGATGATGGTCGGAACTACAGGAAGTTACCGGTAGACGCTTGCAAAGCGTTCAGACGAAATCAAAAATAAGATAATCATCGAGTTTACTTTCGGTTACGTTTACGCGAAAGAAATGTTGCTCAATGCGTAACCTGAATTTTGTGTGCGTTTTCATACGCTTAAATTTTGTTTTGAATGCGTAAACGTGTTATTTCCATGCGTAATTTACGCGTATACGCATCTTATCTGGAGCCCTGAGTATGATGTAGAACTGTAAGAACAGATCAGATGATTTCAATTTTCAGCCTGAATTTCATGGCATTTCTTTATGTCAGCCTTTCCTCTGAAAACTGTGGCATTCGAATTCCCAGAAGGTGCGACCGTTATATTTCCAAATATTTATTGATATTCAATAAATCATTGATAATAAAACATGATAATTTAGAAAATGTTAAATAAAATTTGCTTCAAGCGTAAACCGGAAGCAGATTATTTACTTACGTGGCGAAGCTTAAACTAATATTGCAAAAAGACTGATCATGATATTCAATAGAATATTAACTCAATGTTATCTATGTTAACTGTTTTATTATGCATTAAGTTGCCAAGTCTATCCAAAAACGTAAAATATGTAAAATATTTGTTTAAAAGATGCCGGTTAACCTACCATGTTGGCTGTATACACAGGAAACTGGATATCTGTACGTGTTGCGCATGCGCAATGCAAAGTGAAAGTTAGATCGTTCCATTAAAATGTAGGGTGTTCAAGTTAGTGGGTGTTCACAAATTTAACAATTTATTTTCTTTTCTTTTGAACAGTTTCCATGAAAATGAGATAAGCTTTATACTTATTAGCCTTGGTAAAATGAGTATTAAATTTCACCTTTTATATTGTAAAAGGGCTTTAAAGAATTCATCATATATTAACCTAGTCTACCTACAATATCTTTGGGAAAACCTTCATTTGTTGTCCTTAGTTGAGCGGTAAACTTCAATAGAGTTTGTTTACTGCGGCACGTGCTAAAATTAATTCAATTAGGAATTTTTTAAAATTATTAATTTATTATATCTACTGAGAGTAATTATATGCGGATAGAGTGTCATAATGAATCATTGAAGGAATGTATTAGAAAATGTTGAGAAATTAAAAATGAAAGATTTAATTGAGTAAAAAAAGATAAATAAAAATTTGGAATAATAACCATGTTGAGCCAGCTAAGTAAAGGATATGGTTCATGGACAGCTGGTTATGTAGATCCTTATTTTGGAGCTAAAAAGGTGTGACTTGTTCATTAATTCAGTAATGTTTAGACTTCAGTATTTTTTGTACTTTCTAAATACATGTATAAATATATTTAGATAATTTCAAGAAATTATTTTGGTAAGTTTTAAACATTTTTATTCAGCAGATGTGAGTTTCATAACAGAGAATTTTGGTGAGTTTCATAAGGGAGAATTTTTTTTCCAAAATAACTAAGGTAACCTGTTTAATCACTGATGTTATATAACAATTAAGATAAGCTATTTGAAGTTCAGAAAAAATTGATATAAATCTTCTTTATACTTATTTATACACAAAGTCTTAATATACATATATAAATGATAATACACAAATGTACATATGTATTGAAACTTTGAAAGTATGTTTGTTTCAAATGGACTTGTTCAAACTATTATATTGAATAGAATTAAAACAAAAATTAAGTATTGTATGACATCATTTCCCCAAGTAATTTTCAGCATGATATAATATATATATAATTATCATATTTACACACTTTTCTAAACGAATTTATTTAAAAATATATAATGATACATTTGTACATGTATATTATTGCTTATCAAAATTCCTGCTCCCAGTTAAAGTTATATTTCTGACAGACATATTTCAGAGAGCACTGTAATACAGAAGTCATTATTGTATTGTATTGTATTGTATAAAGGTTTAAATAACTATACATGTTTGAAAGGCAATTGAAAAAGTTGACTATTGTAGTACACAGATTATCTATATTGAAAAAGTGCGTAACAAAGTGGTAGGTTTTAAATTGAATGAGAATATTGGTAAAACAGATCAAAACAGAGACGACAAAATCATTGTCCCGTGACGATCAGATTGTTTGTGTATTAACAGAAAATTAAGTTTGATATATAACACTTTCAATAGTCTTAACATTTGCTATTTATAGTTGTACTTAACAACCATTCATAACTGAAAATATTATTGAATTACTTTGTATATTTGCTGTAAAAAACAATTGCATGCACATGTATTCAAAACATATACCTATTTTGTATTTTGATATAATTATAATGAAAAAAGAAGTAACCTTTCATGATATGAAATTTTATTTGAATATTTGTATACATTAATTTTTTACTTTTATATAAATATGGCAGGATAATATTGAATGCTTGAAATAGCAGAAAAATGTCAAGTAAAATACTATTTATTTCACATTTCCCATTGAAAGAAATATACTTATCGCAGGAAAAAAACAACAACTTTTTTTATCCCCTTTTTAATAACTTCATAACATTCTTGCAATTTCTGACATGCAAACATGTCAACATCCCAAAAAGTGGTTCAACATCATCGAAGATAGATAAATATTAAGCTTACAGGCAGGAATAATTAAAGAAAATATTTTACAGCAAAAAAACTTTTTCAAACCTTAAAAACATGTGTTTGGGTGTCATTCTACCCTCGCTTGCCAGATTCATGTGCCAAAAGATTGATTCCAGGGGCCATTACTTCTTATAAATGCTGTTCTCAAAGACTGGCATCAATATGGACTATATTTGGCAATTAATCTCTCTCCATTTCCATCATCATACAATTTTTACTTCAATCCTTGCAAGGATTGCTACTGTATTACTCTATAAGTATACTGTATATGAGCCGCGTCCTGACAAAACCAGCATAGTGCGTCTGTAAGCGAACAGCATGGATCCTGATCAGACTGCGCGGATGCGGACCCATTATGTTGGTTTTGTCGTGACACGGCTCATATAATGTATAGTCTGCATCATATGTGATTACAATTTGTACTGTTATCATGTTGTACGTAAATTTTTTCAAAAAGACCTTTTTATTTTATGTTTTTCTTGTCTAAAGAAAATAAAGTCAATACTTTATTTTAAAACCCCCCAAAAATTTTTTTTCAAAAATTTGAACTCTTTTCTCTTTTTTGAAAAATAGCTGTAAACATTACAACTTGTGCCTATGTTTAAAAATTTAGGGCCCCTGAGCCCCAAAAAACATCATTTCCAGAATAAAGAACAAAGAGTCACATATTCAAGGGGTCACCGTTGGGAACAGGGCGGGTAAATTAAAAGCCCCTGTCCTGGGGTTAATAAAAACGAAGCCGGGGGCAACCTTTTATGGTATACCCCCTTTCCCAAAAAAAAACACAAAAGAAAAGGTTCTTTTTCACTTTTTGTGGGCCAATGAAACCCTTTAAGATTTATGATGAAGATCTGGAAAAGGGGAAAAAAGAAACTGGCATCTTTTAAAACCCCAAAAAGTTTTAAATTAAAAAGACCCAAGGTCAAGAAATTTGAAATAAATTTTTAAAGTTTGGAAAAAACTGGGAACCATGGAGCGTCTAGCAATGTCAGTGCTACAGTTTGGTGATCAGGTAATTATAGACTATTACAAAATGAGTTCTATGGACATATTTTTAGTTAAAATAATCAAATCAATGTGTGATTCCTAGGTGCTATTTCATTTAGCCTTACCTTGCAAGATATGTGTAAATAAAATGAGCTTATTAATGGTACCCAATTATACATTTGGACGCTTTGGGCCATAATTGTTCGATATTTTAGTTTAAAAATGCTAAAATTGGGCAGCCTACAGTATAGAATTTTTTGCCAGAGTCTTTATATACTGGCTAGGCTGGCTCTAAAGTAAAACTGGTAGCATGGACATTATCAAAGCTACATGGCTCCAGATGAACCAAAATGTTTCAAGAAAATCAACCTTGAGAAAAATGTACTAAGATTTAAAGAAAAGTAAAAATATTCACAACTTAAGAAATAATTTATATGACGATTTTATATCGCCTTAATGACAATTTTGCAGTATGTATATAATTTTTAATTGAAGGATTATGACCATGAACACACAAGTGTTTCTGATGCTAAGAATAAATCATTCCTCAAGTTCTTACATAAAGTAGATGAAGGATATGCTACAACAGGTGTGGACTCTAATGTACAGCCTGGCGGAGATTTGAACAACTACCTGAGGGATTTAAAATCTAGTTCAAGGTAATATAAAACAAAATTTATTATTTCTTAGCCTTCTAGTGGCAACAAATTCTACCCATACAACCAGTGCGGACCAAGATCAGGTGACACATTTGTACCATCTGATAAGGGTCTGCACTGTTAACTTTTAAGTCAATTGATATTTTTGGAATTTTCTTTAAAATGGTGAATGATTTTGCCACGATTTAAAGATGGTCAAGTATATTATAGATATTTAGCATGGTAAGCAGGGCTCTCTCTCTCTCTGTTTTGAGGTAACGATACCTGTTGTACCCGAGGAAGGGTGCTGAATTTCTTCACCAAAATTCTTTAATTGGGAGTCCTGAGTGAGGGATATTGATCTTATTCTCTTTTACCTCTACTACCAGCTGGAATCGGACAAGAAAGGTTAAAAACAAAACACATACTGTTTTATTTGTGGCATCAGAAATCTCTTAAAGATGACTCAAATGAAAAGCGCAGTAAATTCTTAAGGGATTACCTGCATATTCTGTTTTAAATTATGCTTCAAATCTCATTGATTTGGTGCAAAAGGCTAATAATCAGATTTTAAATAGTGTTTATTTTAATCAAATGAATCATACATATTGACATTTTAGACTTTACTTGTACTTAAGTTGCAGAAAATTTTGATAAAATACACTTATGAAATTTCAGTTATCTTATAAAATGTATTTACATAGATATTAGTAGCCTGGATCTAAAGTTACCATCTAGTTCCCACATTGTTTATTGAAGAAGTTTGAAGAGATTTCTAAATTGACAGCTGATGTAGGATTGAGAATCTAATGGTTTATTTATCATGACTTTAACACTTATAGCTGATATAATATCGGCTAAGGACCCTTTGATAAATTTTGGTAGCCTGGGGATCATCGACAAGATACCAGTCATGTTGAAACCATAACTTCTCTGTCCATAGATATCTGTCAGATGGTTTTGTAAACGTATTGAATTTTTAGATAAAAACTGTCATGTCGCAATAAAAGAAATAGTGAGAATGACTTTCACTTTTTTATTGTAAATTGTGAGATGGTTGTTTTGTGAATTATTGATTTATTATAGATCAATATTGATTTATCATGATATGACACTATGATAAGATTTAATTAATTTTCATTTCTTGCTGTTAAAGAAATTATTCTAATAGTTTGTTCAATGGTTGTGGTTTGAGGTGTAGATTTCATGCCTCGTAAAATTACCCTTGCTATTCTCTTTATAAGTGTATTGCATTTCAATTTATTAGTTAGACCTATATAAAGTACATTACAATATACATTTGAAAAATATGAAAATCCGTATTTTTTTATCTGTACACTTTTTTCTTCTGAATATCTTGAATGGACTTGTCAGGCAGTTGCCACTTCCAATTGTTTGCACTGTCCATTATCAATTTTAGTGATAAATCATCTTATCATGATTAAAATTTCAATCTCTTATTCTTAAGTACCGATACTTATTATTTAGATTGCACAACTGTGCAGACTCGCCTCACTATTATAACTAATGCTTTATATCTCAGGATTTTTTCTCAGCACTTTAGAAACATGACCCAACCCACAGAATTGGGAATTTTATGATGTTTTTAGACAAATTGGAAAAAACTGACAACATATTATATATACATAAAAAAAGACAGAGAAATAAAATATTTGGTTAATTAAACTCCTTTAAAATTATATTTCACTCATAATACATATTACAATTTTGAGTGCAAGCTCCATGGCAATTTGCAGTTAAGGTAGATGTAACAAAATGACAATAATTTTACTTCATTTATTTCAATTTTTGTTCCTTGAATTGGGAATTTTCCCCTTGAAATTGGAGGGGAAAAAACATACTTTTTGGCATAGGGGATGACCCAATATCGGTAATCAAAATGGGCGAGTAAATAACCCTGTATCTATCTTCAATCATCAAAAGGGCTAAAGAAGTGGAAATTTGTATATTATACTGTATATGAAATCATTATTGTCCATGCTAAGTATGTTTCATTAATTAAGTTTAAAAAGTGATCATTAAATATTCAATACCGATTTTTAAAGTGCTTTAGTTTTGTAAACATTTATTGACAAGACCAATTTACGATTACAAGTGACAAATATATAACAGAATGTAACAATTATCGCTGAATAATTAATTGGCTCTTTACGCGGTAATCATTATTGTGATCATTATCATTAGAAGTTCAAGAGGACGTGTTGTCATAGCAACAACAACAACAATAGAGGAAAAATCCTCATGATTAACGGTAATAGTTTCCTCGATTTTGATTACAGGAATATTTTATCACCAACAGAATATTTAAATGACAAAAGATAAATGTCATCTAAGCCATTTAACAGCTGTTAAAAATTTTTTGTTAGTTTATATTGTTGTTGAAAGAACGGATTCACTGAATTGCAAATTAATTAATTTTCCAATCAATAATTGGGCTATTACAATTTTTTGCCAGTAAATATATTGACAAAAGGTAAATCATTTTTCAAGGATCTGTTGCTAGGGAAAAATAGTTAACAACTTAAAACAGTTTCTGGCAAAGTGTTAAATGACGTAAAAAAATATACATAAAACTTTTGTCTTCAGGTAATTTTTTTGTTTTCAAGACCTATATGGCTCTGATTTATAAATTAAACACAAAATCGTTAGAATCAATTTTTATTCTGGTCCCAGGAGTCACATTTAATATTTACATATCAAACAGCCTTGTATGTATTGGGCTATGATATTAGCCTACTTCCTATTACCATAAACAAATATATGCTTTCATACAAATTAAATAAAACTGAATAAAGCTTTTTTTCCTCTTTTAACATTTTAGCCTGAAGTATTGAATTAAATTTGATTTTGACAAATCCGTTAAAGTTTTCAGACTCGGTTTGTGAATTTAAGTAAATATTATTGCAACATTTATAAAGGCACTTTAAAGATCCTGTATGTTTTGTGATCGATATTGTTACTGTGTGAATACGTATGTATGTAGCTAAAGCTTAATGAGGGTCCATCCGCCCTTTCGGGCACAAAATGCAGCTTGCGCTGTCGAGTACGGACCCCGGACATGTCACCAGTCATGTCCTTAAAGAGTTAATTTTGAAGCACAAAATGGTGATAATTTACCTCCATGCAATTTCCATGGAGTATTAGCCAAAGATATGAATTTTGAGCCGAAAAGTAGGTCACTGTACGGCGGTCAATGAGAACCTAAATGTACAGTAACCTGTGACAATAGGAAAGGTGTTTAGCCCTGAAAAGGGCTGTTGGTGCCAGCTATAGGCCTGCCTAACAAGCCGTCTATCTGTACTAGGGGCTCACGCACCCTAGTACACCATCCTCGTCGTCTCAGCCTACTTTGTAGGGCCACTCCCCTCGGCATTAGTCAGGACACCGGCAGCTAACTTACAAAGCAGCCGCCTTAAACGATTATAACTCGAACTTCCATCATCTGCCCATCATCTGCCGATGCCCTGTGCCTTCTCTGCGACGTGCACACTCCGAGGGGATGTGAGAAGACTGTGTGAATACCACACTTGCAAACAATTATATATGTATATAATTATGCAAATAAAACAATTTTCAAACATCGAAAAATATGTAAAATGTGTACTGCAAATTTTTGTGCACATTATATTTAATCATTAAATTACATGCATACATTTCTTATTGGAAAAATTGACTTAGAATTTATAGAAAATGAATTTCTAATTACCTCCCTTTATTTACATGAAATGTTAAATTGGGTAATATCTTTGTAAATAATGCTTATTATAACTTACAATACTGACAAATCTTAACTTGAGCATCATATTTCGAGGGCTGAACGGAAAACTGTTGTAAGTCACATTTACACAATTTTACAGGAGAAGCAAAAAATTATTGTATTACTACCTGATTAACCTTTTGTTACTTTTAAAGTCACAAATAGGCATTTAATATTCTTATATTACTAAATTAATACCTGATATCTAAAAAAAATGTATATATATGATAATATTGATAAACATTTGACTTACGACAGTTTTACATCTTAAATAAATGAAAAACCCATACTGATGTTAATGGAAAAGTGTCGTAACTCTTGAGATAGGTACAGTTTTCCATTTTTTTTACAGCTTAACAATTGATGGTAACACCTTTTTATGACTTAATGTGACAAAAACTTAATGTATTCATTTTATTCAATACACATTTGAAAATTGGGCATTATTAAATTAAGAAAAAGAATAATGGGGACAAAGATTAGTGTGAGTTTAGCAAATATTATTTTATTTTCTTCATATATTTGAATCTCATCTTAGGTCTCCAAAATGTTAAGGTTGTATTGTATTGTATTGTATGGTTTTAATGAATTCTAGCAATCTTATTACACTTGAACATATTCTTAGAATAACCATACCAACTGTACTTTGTCATAATAAACACATGTGAAAGAGGCAGATATTGCACAAATGTTTTAAATTTTGGTATTAATATGGAAAACAGATCTTAAGATTTGACTATACCATTTCGAAATGAAAAAGTTCTTTAAAACATTTCTTTAACTGTCACTTGCACTGCTGCCTTGACTTTGTCATTGCTTGATAGCAAAACATTAAGGTCCCTGCAAAAATGTTCTTAATCAAGAAAGGCTTATAATTCAGTAGAAATCCATGCTAGAGTTATGGGTCTTGCCGATTGAAATAGTGATACAATTAAGACCATGAAGACATGAGAAGGTTCAAATGAAAACTTCGGTTATTGTAAAATAGAGAACCTGCACTCAAAACCTCAACCTAAAAGGTCCTCATTTCACAGAGGGGAACAGTAATGTTCAGTTACCATCCATACTAGAGCCAAAGGTTTTGGACTGTTAGTGTCTTGAACAAATTTCCATGAAAAATGAAATGAATACATTCTGTGCTTGAACACACACAAACTTAAACAGAAACATTATAAGTTCACAAAGGGGTATTATTCATTCATTCAAAATCCATGCTTTAGTTATTTGTCCAGGCCAGTGACCTGCTACTATTATTCTGATGACACATTTTCAATATCTGGGAAAAAAAGTAATCCCTTGGAAACATTAAAACCAGCAAAATACTTGAACATTGCAGACTCGGTTTGATTGAGTCTTTACATGGGAGATAATGAAAAAGTGCAACATTCCTTATGCCCCCTAGCACCGGCTTGAGCAGTACTCAATATCAAGCAATTAAAAGTGCCCGAGGCAATGATCTTGAAGAACCAGAAAAATATTACTATAACAACACTTAAGTGAGCACAGGGCAATTTTTTATGGCTGCCAAATGATACTTGATACCTGCTGTTGTAATATATAAATATCTGGAGAGAAGATAATCCCTCAGAAGCATTAAAAACCAGGAAAATTACTTGAAAATTGCAGACTTGGTTTGATTGAGTCTTAACATGAGGGATAGTGAAAACGTGCAACATCCATCAAGCCCCCTCTTACCGGCTTGAGTGGTAGTCAATTTTCAACACTTACAAGAGTCAGAGTCATAATGATCCCGAAGGACCAGAAAAATATAACAACACTGAAGTGTGGTACAGGGCAACTTTTTACGGCTGCAAAATGGCACTGGACACCAGTACTGCTATTGTTATGTTTCAAGTTACAAATGAATACCTTCAACAATATTGATCACAAAACTGGCACCATGATTTTTCTTTCATATAATTCAGTCAGTCATCGCTTTAGTTACGAACCTTGCACATTGACCAGCATTTAAACACTCATTACCCTTCAGTGATTGAGGATATGTATGGTTTCACTAAGAAGGCAGTAATTTGCCTCCTTATATATCTTTATATTTTCCTTCATATGCCCAAAAACAACAATATCCTTATTTATGTGAAACAATAGAGGCTAAAAATATATATTTGACTTTGTAGTTTTACCACACATTTTGTCACATTTTTTTTTTCTAAATTAAAAGTGACCAATGTTATAAGGCTTTTAACATGCGAGTGTGTCATGTCATTTGACAGTTTTGTTTTTATTTTAAAAAAAATTATCATGGTCATCATTTGGTCATACTGCAGTCATCCATTTTTAGATAGCTTCCTTAATAATGAATATTGAAAAATGTGCAATAACAGTACATGCTCACATATTTTTATAGGTAAATACCTTAAAATGCATGTTTTATTCCCCTTTAATGTATTGCTGTGTCACAATTTTTATGTAAGAATATGGTTTGATGCCACTGTAGTAAATAGCTTCTCAAAAATATGTACAAGGAAACCAACTTCTTGAAAAAGAACTTTTTGTTGGCATAAGAAATATTGAAGAAGCAACTTTAATGAGAATTTCATGAATTTATATGATAGTCATAACATTTTGTAGGATATTGATTTAAAATAATCTTTAACATATTAAACTTTGTCATCCTTAATTTGATTATTTTGGGTATGACCCTTTTCTAGGAACTTGCTAGTTACCATCTAAATTGATTTCAAATATTTTAAGGCATAATCAAAGCTTGGAGACAAAGATCCTATTTTTGTTTTGGCAGCAACAGCAACTTATCTCCTAAGCCCTCTTTTCAAATGTATAAAAGGTTTTATTCCAACCTTTAATTTGTACCATAGTCTAAACTTACACAGTAACTATCATACATTTTATTGTGGTTAATGATTCAAAATTAAACTTTATAGAATGATACATTCCTGTCAGCTAAATCTTGAAATGAATTATTTCATTGTTATGTTATATCTTACAAAGGTTCCTAGCTGTTATTAAATGTAAATTTGAAAAATATTTATTTTGTTTTTAATGTGCTTGAATAGCTTGAATAAAGTTAAAATATTGAACATATTTTTATGGAAGCTGCTGTCTGTTTTTGATAATTATACCTGTTTTTGATATACAAGTACTTAATTCTTGAAAAACTTAATTGTTCAATTATCATGTTGATCATGTCACAGTTTGTATCAATGAAAACATTAAACCTGTCATACCAAATAAGTAAAAAAACATATTTTCTAGTATTTTTGAAACAGAACAAAGATTTTAATTGAAATACATGTACATCCTCGAATACATGTTAATCAACCATGGTTATCAGACAATGATTGAAATATTGTATATAAATACAATTTAGATGATGCTTTTTTCATGTTAAGCAATTTCTCATAGTAAACCTGCATTTTAAATGCACAAGATAAAGACATGGTCTGAGTTACAACAGTTTTCCATTACAATTTAACAGTATGTATATTAAACTTCATTATGGAAAACTTTACGTAACTCAAGTTACGACAGTTTTCCATTCAGTAAAATATTACCGTAGAGTTACGACACTTTTGCAGCAATCATGTAAAAGTGACTTATAATGAGAATATGTAGCTAATATTTTTTGTACAGATGTATTAGGGGTAATGATTGTCAAAAATGCAAAAAAGTGATTTTTGACAAAAATGTGACTTACAACACTTTTCCGTTCAGCCCTCGATTTATGAAATAAAACCATGAAAAAAATGTGTTACAGGATCTTTAAACAACCCATTGAATAGTTTAAAATCTTACAAAAATAAAATTTACACAATTAATGGAATTGCTAAAACACTAGTAATTAGCCTCCTATTGGTATTTTGTGTGACCTGCTACAGGGTAGCAGTGATATTTAGGAATAACTTCTCAATCGTCTGTCTGTCTGTCTCAAAAATTATCAGGACTTATAACTCCTCAAAAACTACTTGAGCAATGTCATTCAAACTTTACAGGAATTATCAGTACCAAGTCTAGTTATGCATATCATCAGCATTTTCAAGTTCAATGATTTTTGTCAGAGTTATGGACCTTTATTGATTTTAAGGTTTGTCTGGACTACTATTATACCACTGATGGTGCAATTCAAATGAAAATTCACCAGTAACTATAGTACTTGCGAATATTGCATGGGTATTCCGGTTAAATGATTTTTGGCTGACAAATGGCCCTTGAATATAAAACACATTTTGGCCTGTTAGTTATTTTTATGTTGCCTCCTACAATAGCTGATACATGCTGCAAAGTAGCCAGGACTTATATAGGGGACACAGTTTCTAATCACCACTCAACACAACTGCTGTAGTGGCCTATTATCAGGCGACACGTGATCTCCGATCACTCTGACTTGTGATATGCAAAAAGTTTCTTAGGTTTTCTTTGTCATTTTTCCGCACATTTAAATAATGAATGTGAATATAACTGATGTATATGAATTATGTATATACACAGAAAATTGTTGGGTTTTTTTTAAAGTTTTTTTTTTTTTCTGACGGCAATCACTTAGGTTTTAAAGAGTCATGAATCATTATGGACAAAAATGTTTGGCAATTTATTTCTGAAAAATTGCTGCTATAATTTGATTCTGTAATGCATCAAATATGATTTCAATATATTGTACCTACGGTATATATTTTTATTTTATTACAGCAATCACTCGGGGAACATGCGTATTTCAAAAAGTCGAGAATCACTTGAACTGCAGGCAATTTTACGAGGGTTAGACAACACTGGTAACTGGCCGCTATCTTACTCGCAAGATGGTGCAAGTGATCGACAAAGTGTTGGTCAATTCACACGCCCTGTATCGAGGGTTTCCTCTCGTGGAGCGTCACCAGGGTAGGTTATATTAGTGTATTTAGTCTTGTAGAATACATGTATCTTGAATTATGGGAGCTTTGTTCCTTGATAATATTCTGGTTGGAGATATTGTAGAATACTCGTGTCTTTTATGGTAGATGGCTAGAGATCTTAAAAACCTTTAATTGTTTTTATTTACATGAAAAACTTTTACAATGTATGTATGTGTAATTATTTGATAATAAATATTTAAATCTTTAGATTCAATATACAATAAAAATTTCATCAGTATCATAATTTATTGATTTAATTGTCCAGTGTCCATCATGTAATTGGTCTAAGGATGCGATTCGATGTAAAATTTAGCGTTCATGTTCAATTGGTCAGGATTTGACATAAAATTTAGGATATATAACTTATAATCAATTTATATTAAAGGTTTGATTATTTAATTTTAATTATATAATGTGCAGCGTAAACAATTAAGAATCTGCGGGATTGATTATTTAGATTTAATGTAATGTTCGAGTAGATATGTACTACCATTACTACATAAAACATGCTGCTCGATAACTTTAATATACTCACAAGTTTGCTGTAAAACTGTAAATATGTCTGTTACAAATACAATGATAATTCATTTGTAATATTCATCATGAATATTATAATTATGATAAATAATACATAGATCTGTATCTCATACATGATTATTGGACTGTGAAATTACTATATGCATAAACCAATCTTTACATAATTAAATACAAAATATCATAAATTGCAACGTACTTCTCAAATATTTTCAAAATATTAATGTAATTCAATAAAACATTCATTATTAAAATGTAGGGCCAACAAATAATTTTCATTTTAATACAGTTCATTCAAATCGCCAATACATCGGAGAACAAAAATTGAAATAAACATTAAAATAGATAAAGAAGGGGAGAAAAAACATTGTGGCGTTCAAAGGTTCATTTGTGATTTCTTATACACTTTGAATATTGAATCACTTTGAAAATGGTTTTAAAGAAACACTGGTAAATTGGGTTACACAAAAGGATATTTTTTCTTGTTTTTCAAAAGAGTTTAAAATTATTTATGTGTATAAAGCTTTTTTCTGTAAAGAATTTAAGTGCAGAATACAATTGAACGTAATCCAGTGTGACAAAATGTTATGCTTTAATGTGAAATTAGTTACTGTGTTACAAAAAGAAGTTTTATGTCATGATATAAGTAATTCATTATTCTTTGTGTAATCGTAATGGTTTTTTCCCCCACTAATAGGGTATCAATAGAAATGTTTTATACCCTGATTAATATATGTGAGCCGCGTCATGACAAAACCAGCATAATGGGTTTGCGACCAGCATGGATCCAGACCAGCCTGCGCATCTGCGCAGTCAGATCAGGATCCATGCTATTTGCTTATAAACCCTATGAGAAACTGATAGCAAACAGCATGTATCCTAATCAGACTGCTCGGATGCGCAGGCTGGTCTGGATCCATGCTGGACGCAAACCCATTATGTTGGTTTTGTCGTGACGCGGCTCATGTTATGGATTGTAGCCCAGCTTTAAATTTTGAACATTCCATTAAAACTTTTAGAGATAACAATGATTTCAGTAACAAAATACAAAAAGTTGAGCAACCAGCCTTTTAGAGCTGGGTCAGACTTCACAAATTTGTCATACATTTTTCATATGAATTAATAATGATGTTTATAATTTGGTCATGTTTTTTTAAGAAATTGCATCAGAAAAACACATAGTGCGCTTAAATTGTTTCATAACAAAGTAACCTTATATAAAAAGGAGACCAATAACTTAAATTTTATAAGAAGGCAAGATTAGAAAGTAATGCTTTTCATTTAAAGATTTCATCTGTACAGATTTTAATAAGGCACACCCCTGGAATTATGTATTAAAGTCAAATTAAAGGTATTACACCTAAGTGACCTTTGCATGGTTAATTGGATATAGCACTAGTAAACTAATTCTTTAATCAATCAGGTTATTAAATCCAAAATAGTAATTTTGGCAGTTTATCTTCTATGACACTGTGATTTGTATTGGCTTTGTTGACAACATGTATTTCTCCGTTCCTTGAAATAAAAAAGATGTGACCTACAAGGGGAAACATTTTTACATGGATTTGTTTTTCCCACCCCACAGTTACTATTTCAAAATATTGACCACTTGACTATATTATAAAATGTTCACCATATGTAATCTCATGTTTTTAAGTTGTCCTCTGAGATATTGCATATGGTTCATTATTGTGACTTTGTATGTTTTAGTTATATAATGTTTTTGCTCTTGAGTTTGTATATATGTAAACTGAGCTGATCTCAATAAACAAATTTGATATTTAATCACTAAATTGTTCCAAAACTTCTAACCAGGGCAAATTGTTTTCAATATTAAAGTTCTGTTTATTTAAGTTTGGTCCTAATTTTTATGCTCCCCGAAAAAATTTCGGGGGAGCATATAGTCGCCGCCTTGTCCGTCCATCCGTCCGGCCGTCCGTCCGTCTTTCCGTCCGTCCGTCCGTCCGTCCGTCCCCTTTTCTTGTCCGGGACATAACTTTGAAACAACAAGAGGTATCAACATGAAACTTTGTAGGTAGATAGATCTCATTAAGTAGGTGTGCAGTGCACAAGAACCGTAACTCTGCCTTGCCTAATTTTTGAATTATTCCCCTTTGTTTATTTTTACACTTTGAACTTTGTCCGGGACATAACTCTAAAAGTATAAGAGGTATCAACATGAAACTTTGTAGGTAGATAGATCTCATTGAGTAGAAGTGCAGTGCACAAGAACCGTAACTCTGCCTTGCCTAATTTTTGAATTATTCCCTTTGTTTATTTTACACTTTGAACTTTGTCCGGGACATAACTCTAAAAGTATAAGAGGTATCAACATGAAACTTTGTAGGTAGATAGATCTCATTGAGTAGAAGTGCAGTGCACAAGAACCGTAACTCTGCCTTGCCTAATTTTTTGAATTACCCCCCTTTGTTTATTTTACACTTTGAAATTTGTCCGGGACATAACTCTAAAAGTATAAGAGGTATTAACATGAACTTTGTAGGTAGATAGATCTCATTGAGTAGAAGTGCAGTGCACAAGAACCGTAACTCTGCCTTGCCTAATTTTTTAATTATCCCCCTTTGTTTATTTTACACTTTGAACTTTGTCCGGGACATAACTCTAAAAGTATAAGAGGTATCAACATGAAACTTTTGTAGGTAGATAGATCTCATTGAGTAGGTGTGCAGTGCACAAGAACCGTAACTCTGCCTTGCCTAATTTTTGAATTATCCCCCTTTGTTTATTTTACACTTTGAAATTTGTCCGGGACATAACTCTAAAAGTATAAGAGGTATCAACATGAAACTTTGTAGGTAGATAGATCTCATTGAGTAGGTGTGGCAGTGCACAAGAACCGTAACTCTGCCTTGTCTAATTTTTGAATTATCCCCTTTGTTTATTTTACACTTTGAACTTTGTCCAGGACATAACTCTAAAAGTATAAGAGGTATCAACATGAAACTTTGTAGGTAGATAGATCTCATTGAGTAGGTGTGCAGTGAACAAGAACCTTAACTCTGCCTTTGCCTAATTTTTGAATTATCCCCCTTTGTTTATTTTTACACTTTGAACTTTGTCCGGGACATATTTCTTAATGTATAAGAGATATCAACATGAAACTTTGTAGGTAGATAGATCTCATTGAGTAAGTTTGCAGTGCACAAGAACTGTAACACTGTCTTGCCTACTTTTGGAGTTATTGCCCTTTGTTCATTTTGACACTTTGAACTTTGTCTGGGACATTACTCTAAAATTATAAGAGATATTAACATGAAACTTTGTAGATAGATAGGTCTCATTGGGTGGAAGTGCAGTGCTTAAGAATCATTACTCTGCCTTGCCTTATTTTGAAGTAATTGCCCTTTGTTTATTTTTACTTTTTGACTTTTGTCCTGGACATTACTTTAAAACTATTAGAGATATCAACATGAAACTTTGTAGGTAGCTAGATGTAATTGGATAGAACTGCAACGCTTCAAGAACCTAAACAAAGCCTGGTCTAATTTTGGAGTTATTGCCCTTTGTTCATTTTTTTTATACTTTCCTGTGTCCAGAACCTTCTCGGGGAGCATCACCCGGTTCAACCGGTTCTTGTTGTTTTTATTGCTGAACATAAAGTAGCTTCGGAAGTGAACAGCTGGAAAACTTAGCTTATCAAAAAATTAATACTCGGATTTCAGGCATTTAATCGGCAGACAGTTCAATCCGTGTAGGATTAAATTAGAAAGTGAACGCCAAGATATACCACTTCAAATTCAATCAATGGTGTTATTGAAAGATCTATATTTTCCGTTTACAAAAGGAATGTTTGCAATAGATTTTAAGTGAAGTGCAAAGACATGTACTAGGCAAACAAGAAATGATTCAAACAAAATCAGCTATCAGTTGAATGACACTGTTGTATCAATACTTAACAAAATCCTCAAATTTATTTTATGTTATAATATATATTTGAACTTATAAAACGGTACTACATTAAGTGAGAGTATAAAAAAAAGAATGAAATGTCATAATTATTTTATTTTGATAAATTATTTGGTTAATGATTCCTTTTAGTAGAACAAGCATTTTTAAAGGAACTCCACTGAGGTTCAAAGGCATAAAAACATAAAATTTGAAAATCTTAAAGATATCATGTGAAGCACTTAAAATGGAAAACTCTTCAAATGATATAACAGAAATATACTTAGAATTAAGTTGAATTCTAGAATTAAGTTGAATTCTTTTTTCTCTTTTTTTGTATGATTCTTAGCCCAATTTGAGTGAAAAGCCTTGCAACACTTTTCATTTTTTTGGTCATTTGATTACTCTGGAAAAACATGGAGTGAGAGAATGGCCTGAAAATTTGCACACCTAAGTAATTGGTCTGACCTTCATCAATTTAATTTTACACAAACCATTATCTAAATGTTATAATACTTGTGTAAAGAATTAAAAAATTTGTCTGTTTCTCAGGCATAATGTGCATTTAACTAAAAGTTATAACCTTTTAAGAGGCTGTGCCAGTGACTGTAAAGGACATAACAACAAAGTACGAGCTACCTCAAAGCTTAACTTAAAGGCACATAAACCCTCAGAAATTGGTGAGAAAAAAAAACACTCCCTAAAGAATAGCAAACCTGTATTTTATACTATTTTAATAGTGTATGATTTTTACAATTAGTAGCGTTGTATGTGAAACAATTCATCATAAAAGTACCGAAGTGTAAAGAAATTGATATTTTGACTTCTTCACAGATTATTAAATCCCAATCACTGTACTAAAAATCAGCAAAATGGTTCATTTATAAAATTATTTGGTCAATAAGCAACGTTTTTTGAAACATTAACACAGCACCAAAAAATAAAAGAGTTTTGAGAAAGAAAAGTTATATCATTTTTTTAAGCTTAATGGGCCTTTAAAAATAAAAACAATATGTTTGACATTCTGGTTTTATTTATGGTATTTGAATAAATTTAAAGTGGCTTGTTTAAAAAAAACAACGCAGTTTACGTCTTTTTAAGTTCATTTGTGTAAACATTATTTTACAAAAATGACATTATCATAGGCTAAACTTGGTAGGTTCTTGTAATTTTATAATGCAAAAACTAAGAAAAACATCAAAGGAAAAAAAAGATATTTAAAAAAACTGTTATCAATAAATTTTACTTTTTATCAATATCCAGTGATACATTACTTATCACATTTTATAAATGTTAAAAGAATTAGCCATAAACAAGAACTATTCAATAAAATTTTTCATTTCTTGCATAATTGTATTGAATGAAAAAAATCTATAATGTTTTTATCACTTAATCGTCTACCAAAATACTGAGAAAAACATGAACTTAGCCTTCCAGATACATGATCATGTTATTTCCCATCATGTTGAGTTAGAACAATCTTATAGTGACATATACTTTAAATTTTCTTTTATTTCTTTTATTCATTTTGTGTTTTATGAAAAAAAATTAAATGTGTGAAAAAACGTTCATAGAAAGAGTAGTTTATTTTAGATAAATAGAAAATTATGCTATGAATAATAGCAACTCATGCCTGGAAGTAATATAAAGATGTTAATGTATCAGTTTTGAAAAATCAAAAGTGTTCATTGTAGTTTATAAGTAATGATGGGTCATGAAATAGATAACTATGTATCTAGAGGTTCTAGCCCATCAAATATTTCTATTGTTTCAAGATGTCTAAAAACTCCGCCATTCGATTTAACATTGAAAGGATCTTCATTTGAATCATTTAAAGGATATAAATATGAACACAAATCACAAGGAAATTTCTTGAATTTTGAGTTCGAGAAGAACAAAAGGAACTTGGATATTACGTCGTTATCAAAAAAAGTGAATAGACTAAATCTAGTACATGTTCTTAGACGTAATTTAAAATCAAAATATGAGATGCAAAAAATATTTCAATCATGCTGGACATCGTTCGATTCTTCTAATTCGGATGAAGACAGTGTAATGAGTTGCTCGTTTGAAAGTATAGAAGATATTAAAGGATTAAAAGGAACAAAAGCAAAATTATCTCAGTAAGAAAATTATTAGAATATTTAATACATTTTTCGTACATCTGGTTCAGAGGCAAAGATTTAATTTAGTATATAATATTTATATGTTACGTATGTTAAAAGATTAATGTATAGTATAATACAATAATGTATGGATGCAATTTCAGTTACCGGTATTGTTTATTGAGGAAAAGGTTTTATTCGGTGTGGTACGAAATTTACAAATCCTATTATTTTTAGAACTTGCAGCTTTGTCGATATTATTGCAAATTACAGATCATTTTGTATTGTCTTTTCCACAGATTTTACTACCTGTACTACAGCATTGCAAATACTTTTTTATCATGTAAATATATTTAATAGTTTTCTACGAAATCTTGCATAAAGATTGTTGAAAGGGATTGACTGCAAATTAATGGATTTTGAATATAAATTATCGATATATAAAAAGAAAAACACTTATTGCACACAATTTTTATGAATAAACCTTTTAAGCCCAAAACAAACCACAATGACAAAGTAAATTGGTCTAGTAATACAAATGTATATGTTTTTATTAGCTAAAATGAAAGTCTGTTTTTTAAAATCTGTACTGTGAAATTTTATTACATAATTTGAGATTACCGGTTCCCCTTTCCTGAATTACTATTGATTCAGTCATATGAAAGTACATAAATTTCATTATAAATGTCTTTGCAGTGCTGTATATAAGATAAGCTTGATACATTGTATCTGCTGATATAGGAATATATTTCAGCATTATGTCACCAGTTATATTCTGTATAGAAATGTTTTTACAGCATTCAGTCACTTCCTTTACTATATTTGACCTCTGTTTCAGCATCTATTGATCACCCCTTATACTATATTTGACCGCTGTTTCAGCATTAAGTCACTTTTATACTATATTTGACCTCTGTTTCAGCATCTGTAGATCACCCCTTATACTGTATTTTATCTCAATTTCAGCATTTATATGTCAGTTTTTATACTACATTTGACTTCTGTTTAAGCAAATTCAGTCAACTCATAATCCGTGTCAGCATTTAGTCACTTCTTGTACATGTACTATATTTGACCTCTGATTCAGCAACTAAAATATTTCCAACTCTTACACTATCTTTGACCTCTGTTTCAGTATTATTCAATTATTTATTCTATATTGGACCTTTATTTCAGCATCTATTGATCACCCCATTATACTATATTTTACCTCTGTTTCAGAATTCAGACTCAATTTTTGTATAATATTTGACCTCTGATTCAGCAAATAAATTATTTCCGCCTCTTATACTATATTTGACCTCTGTTTCAGTATTTATAGTCACATATACTATCTTTGACCTCTCTTTCAATAATCTCTCAAGTCTCCTTTATACTATATTTGACATTTGTATTTTTTTACTCTTTATCCACTACATGTATTTCAATTCTGTTTCTCCTTTTATTTAGCAAATATTTACTATCAATAGGCTTATCTTTCTTTAGAGATAATTACACTCCAACCTTGATGATTTGAACTGCCAGGGACTGAAAATTTACTTTAAATAATGAATGCATTTTAAAAATCAAAATTTTGATATAGTGATAGACAAAGTATGTTTGTTTTATGCATACCCTAATTTATTTTCTCTGTCTCCTATCATTTTTACAAAAGACTTGTGTCACTTCTTGACATAAACAACTTTTCATCTTTTAATTGAATAAATACCATTCCATAAAAATTGATGACTGTTTATTGATAAAATAGATGTTTTGTGAGGTACTCCAAATACTTTGAGATCTGTATCAAAATTTGTATCTATTTAGATATTTTGATACCTAACAGTTAATGTAAGCATTCTTTGACAAATTGTTAAGATATATTTGTTATTTTTCTTCTATTGTCGTACAGTAAAAGGGGAATTTTGCAAACAAAGAATGACCACATGATTGTATAAATTGTTTGGACCTTTTTCTGTTCCAAATAATCAACATGTTTACTCTTGTTAAACTTTACTCCCTTGCAGGACATGAAATAACATGTTGTTGTATTGATGTAAATGGAAGAGATGACCTAGTGGTTAAGGAGTCATTACCTACGGCTCTTGGGTTTGAGCCTTGCTTTGTCATGACCATGGTTCCTCATTTGATTCCAGTACTGTTTGGTTCCTGGTGAGGCTGTTGACTTGACAGCTGTCACTTGAGCTTAAACTTTTCTTTCCTACTGAGCTAAAATATATGTTTAAATTTTTCACCTTATATAACAGAGCCTGTAAAATGAATCTTTTTTTTTTAATTATGCAGTTTTTCCAAAAATCTAAACTTACACCATCTCTTTTACTACCCAAATTAGCAATTTAAGTGTCACTGATAATTTTTCCCAAATCAAGAGGCTTAGGCATCTTTCCAATTAACCCTTTACCTCATATATACGCAAAACAACACATTTTCGACCCCCCCCCTTTTTTTAGGCCTGAAATAGTGAAAAAATGTCCTATTTCGTCCCCAAACACATGTTTTCGTTAAAGATATATCAGGGGGTTGCCAGGGATGTGCCCCCTTCTGTTTGGGGGGGGGTTTGAAGGGGGGGGGGGAGTCCCCCTCATCGCCAAGAAAATTTTGGACTTGTGAGAGGCTTAAAATGACCCCAGGTCGATCTTAAGGTAACGTGTAACCAACGCTGAAAAGCCTTTGACTCTATCTCAATCCCTTGAGAAGTTGCAGCACTTTGAAATAAATTTTGATGGAAAAAATCCAGGCAAAATAGTGATTTTTGGCAATTTTGAGATGTCCCCTTGTTGCCATGGTAACAGGAAATTTAAGACTAAGCATGTCGTTACAAAGGCAATGATCCAGTCAACATTTGTGCCAAGTTTGATTAGTATTAAAGCATTTTTCATAGTTTCATAGCAGTTTGAACTTGTAAGAGGAGAATGGCCATTTTTCACAATATGCTCATGGGGGAAAGGGTTAAGGGAGAAAAAGCACTGTAAACTAAATTTAAACTATTTATGTACAAATATTTACAAATATTTTAACTGTTTCATTAAAGTGCAGAATTAACAAATCTATTTCTCAAGCTGCTGTAAGAATTAGTATTCAACAAATAAATGTTTTTGATAAATATGATAGCTGACAGTATGCAACAACAAAAAAGCAATAAATTCCTGGTGTGTCAGAATTGATTGTCAAACAATTTAAAACGTTTCTCCAGACAGGCAATTTCTTTCATTCATTTTGTATTTTCCTTTTCACCTTTTTTCATATTGACTTGTTAAACTACTTAATGACAGGTAATTACCTAACATTGATTAGATCAATAATTGTGTATTGATTTTCCAATCAGCCGAATATTATAATGGATTTTTCCTTTAGAAAGTGTTCAATCTCAAACATATTTGTTATCTAGTTAAATCTGTCATACATGATACAATCATAACTTTTGTATGTCAGTCAATATTTTAAAATACAAACTCACTTTTTGTTAACTTTTTTGTATCTATACAGAATCTGATGTGTTTGTCATTGTCTAGCTTTAAGATTTATTTTTGAAATTTGGGAAAAAATGTAAAACCTGGCAGGTAGCATGCTGGCAGCTTTGAAGAAGATTAATCAATGGTCTTCAGGTATTAAGATTTGGTATGGCAGATAATTTTTCACACCCTATGACATCACCATTCTTGACAGAAGTCAATAACAGCATATTTCATTGGTTTAAAAGGATAGCTATATCGTTACTGAAATTTGAGAGAGAGTTTTAACTTCAGCCTAGAAATATGTTTAGGTTTCAGATTGGAGAAAATGCATAATGAAATCCCTTTATTCTTTTTTTGGAAATGGTTTTGTAAAACACTTGACTTTTCCATTGTTATGACATCAAACCAGAGTTATTTTCCCTCAGCAAAACATTTGAACTTCTTTTTGTTATCCAGTTTATTTTATAGATTATAATGTAAGCCACCCAATATAGTTGAAAAGTGGAAAGTGTTCATAAATCATGTGCTTTATGATAATTATTGCATAAGATGATCCAAGGACTTCAATAAAGAAAAACATCAACTTATGTATGTTCATTTCTATTTTCATTTGAATTTCAAATGCAGGAATATATTAAATAAGTGTATGATAATTGTGGTTAATATCAATGCAAGAAAATAAAACATAGATCTAATTGCACTGTCGGAACTTTGCCAGCAAATTTGAATGTTTTTTCTGCTATAAAACACTATAATTTCACATTTAATGGCAAAATTATTTAAACAGGTTTAAAATGTTAAACCTTGTGATCGAAGTTTCAAATGTTTAAATAGATTTTCTGTTTATTCAGATGTCACAAAAATCTTCTCTCTTTTTTCAATAAGTTATTTAAATGATCAGAAAACACTTAAGAAAGTTTAACCTTTTTATTTCTCATGAGTGCCTTTAAATGGAAATATTGAATGAATGAATGAGACTATTATATGGCTTGAATATAATGACATATATAGTGTTCTATCAGTTACAACATTGCACCATTTATCTTGAGGTCATGAGTTTAAACACCTATATAGCAGACCTTCACTGTGGTCTCTATTTAAAGCTCATCCTGCATACTTAAGGCTGTGCTTGATTTATTCAAGAAATAAATTTTTCATTAGAAATGCTTGATTGAAAAGAATTAACATTAAGTAAATGACAGCATTCTGACACTATCAAATTTAAGAACAAAATGTTTTTTATTTAAACCTGTTGATAATTGATGTAAATCTAAAAACAATTTATACCGGTATATTGTTTGACTGTATTAAGTCTGGTCAAAAGTTAATTTTGTTGTTTTTGAGATTAAATATAAAATTTTCAATTCCACTTGCCTGATACACCAGGTCCTAGCATTATGGATAATATTACATTATATTATGTGCCTGTAATAAAAATGAGAAAATTGAAAAAGGATATTAAAAGAGCCAAAATCATCAATTTGTTTTAATTATTATATACAATATTTAAATTTTTAGCACAACAAGGTAGTTTAAATTTTTACTGTTTATCTTTATAAAATAATGCACTTGTCTTTTAAAGATATCATCTGCTACATAACTTGAAAGAAATTTTCTTAGTTATATAATTATAGGATATCTGGGAATTTATTGATGTTAATGATTAAAAGTCTTTTGAAAGTCAAGTGTTTTAGCTCCCCATTTATGTAGAATGACACCTAAAGGTTAATTAATGTTTCTTCTGCATAATACAATCAAGTGTATCCATAGGTCTCAAAATCCATAGGTCTCAAAATTTCATTTACTAAATTTTTATTCAATAGGGTGTAACTTATATATTGATAAACACTTCAGTATATTGATTTTAAAATCGATCAAATGTGCTTTTAGAAAATGAAAATAACATGGGTCATTATAATGATGTAACATAGGATAAATAGTATGTCTTAACTTAGAAGATATTTCAAATTCCATAAATTTGTTTAAAGTTAAAGAAAAAAACCAATAGAATTTGTTTTCATCAATTATTTTTGTTGAAAGTCTCACTTTTGTAAAAAAGTTTGATACATGTTTTATAATTTTGTCAGGGTATTACATATATTATTGGTTACCAGTATTTTTAATTTTTTATTTAAAGCCTTTAGACGATCATGAATTGTCTTGTCATTTATTTCTCTTTTTTTTTCATGACAACTTTCTGGCTACAAATCAAACCTTGACTATACAAAATACTGTTTAAAACTGGTCAAGTTTTAGTTGAACTAATAACCTGTATTTAAAAAAAGTGCCCTGATCTAACCTTTTCATTAGTAAGTGTGTCTGTTTACTAAACTGGTGAATATTCACCTATTATAACAGATATAAATCTGTAAGTTTGATTCATTATGCTTATAAGAAGGATAATCTGGCTTATCATGATTCTGTACCTTTGAAGAACTTAGGTCTTGATTAGTTCAAAATAGTTAGATTCCCCTAGTACTGTACAAGATTTCATAACAATTGAACTTGTCTAAATTTACAAAACTACACTAACTACGAATTTCGTCATCATAGTGTACATGTATAATATTTTTTTTATAAATAATAATTTGTTTTATTTTGTTTCCATGGTTACAGGCCCCCATCGACACCTAGATCATCCTACCAGGTATTGTCTGCAAAAAAACTTTGCGCTTCTATACGATCAGGCAGTTATCTAGGACGTCCCTCTTCAACAGGTAAGTTAATGTTTGGCTCGGCTCAGATAGCTGTTTGGTAGGATTGGACTATTAGATTGTTGGTTTATACAGAATTTATTTTATTCCATTGTGGAGGAAGCTATAAGCTTATAGACAATCTTTCGAATCCTTTCCTGGATCCAACCAGTACTGAGAAATGAGTGTTAAGTTTCTTGCTCAAAGAAATAACAACTTGCCCCTGACAGGGTTTGAACTAATGTGGCTAGCGGTCATTAGATTACTAGTCCGATGCGTTAACCACTCGGCCATGCCGCCACTAAATTACTTATTAGATTGTTAATTTTTCATTACACGGCAGTTACTGCCATGTATCTAAACTTTGGTCCAATCATACTTGATATAGTGAAATATATAAAATGTGAATATATGAAAAGAGATAGCTTACACTAATACATGGTTTTCATACAGAATATAACAGTTGAGTTCAATACACAAAATGTATCGATGTTGTAAAACTAAAAAATTAAATTATTGTTTCACACAATGTTTGAAAATGATTGTGCATGTTTCACAGACACTAAAAGTGCATGTAGTGTGATAATGTAGATGTATATTTAATTAAATAGATTTTAAGCAATTTTATGTACATATGAATACAATTGATATTGTTTTTTCAGCAGACGAGTTGCTTCAACATTTTGTTGTCAACTAAATATGTTGTCATTTTTTGATAACAATGATTTGAAGCACTGCTATGTATGTGTTGTGTTTAACCATTTGCCATTATATTAATTAACTTTGTCTAAACATAGATTATAAACTGCATGTAGTTTCAGTCAATGATGATGATGATGATATTTTGGAAAGTGACGCTGGTCAGGTTACCTCAGCAACTATCTGTAGACCAGTATGGACACCTGCAGAATCAATGGATGATTCTCTCTTGGACGCACGTCATGATGACACTGATTCTGATGGAGGAAAACGTAGGGGGAAAGAACGCTCATTTCTTACTAATAACTCTCAATTATATAAAGGTAGAATTGCACGCAAAGGTGAAGGTCAGCGTGCAGGTGAGGTTAAGGTCAATTCTAAAGGTGATGGGGACTCATTAAGTCAAAGAATGACTCAAATAGAAGAAGAACTAGGGGAAAGTAGCATTTTTAAAAGAAATAATTCTGTAGTAAGTGATTATGAGCAAGGACCTGACACTTCAAGTTGGGCAGTTAAAGTTACTGAAGCTAAACATTTAACTCATCATGAACAACAGCTTGATGAAGGAATACATGAATCACAAAGCTCCAGTATTATTGATATTGAAATTGATAAGAAAGAGCACTTAGATAAAGTTGAGGTTAAAGTTAATTCAAGACCTAATAGTTACAAGTCTGACAGTTCTTATTCTGGGTCAACAAGTACACATACACCAAGCATCATTACCTTGCAATCCATTCACTCACCTCAGAAACCACATGTAAGTCAAGAGAAATTTAAAGGCCTCTATAAAAGAAGAAACACTTATTGTTATGATCCAGATAAAGGTCTTGTAAGAGCTCATAATAGCATGAGGCGCAAGTCTGAAAATAATGTGCATTTCAAAAAGAATGGAGGCAATATGAACCATATAGCCAATGTTAGACATGAAAATTCTCCAGTTGCTCATACAGCAAACAGATTTATAAATGGTCCAGATTTTCTACATCCTGATTGGGCAGCGTATAATAATAACAATGGGCATTGGCCACCAAATTCAAATTATGATTCTGACTGGCCAGCAGATGGTGAAGAGCCCAATGAAAAAAGCTATATTATTGATGATGTTGATGCTAGGAACAAATTAAATAAAATGGTTGAAGATGTAATAGATAATGCAGACACTGATACAGTTCAACATGTTGATATTGAAGACAATATAGAAACAGCTGTGATAGATCAGGAAGAGTATGTTTTGGACAATATTGCTGAATGTAATGCTGAAGTAAAACAGATAGAAGAACTTGCTGAAGGAGATGAAGCAGACATGACAATGATAGATATTCTGACTCTGGATCATCAATGGATGAGGAGTTGATTAAGGTCATACTGACTGGTCAGACTGAAAAACAAGAGGTAAAACAAATTGAACCAGGAATAAAAGATGACATTGTTGAAAATAGCAAGATTGAATGTAAAGATGATGCAGAAACAAATGAAGTTGTAGAAGATACTGATGATGTCACAGGTACAGAAGCTTTTGACAGTGGAGAACAGGTTTCAGCAATATCGGAACAATATGAAGAAAACAGAGAAGTAAGTGAAGAAACCCAAGAACAGCCAGAGTCAGTGATATCAGCAGATGTGAATGGTGAAGATCTAGAGGTTGTTGGAATAGGAAAACCATCCCCTGTGGAAGATGATTTAGAGAATGTAAGACAAGAAATCACTGATGAAACAGGTTTGTATAGTAATCATTTTGAAAGTTTAGGGTAATAAGAAAAGGAACATCATTTTATCAACAGATAAATTGACAAGAACGAGGTTATCTCCTGCAATTGAATTTTTCAACGTTGTGTAATTTTTTGCAGTTTTTTATTGCACTTGCATGATTTTTGTATTGACATAGCACTTTGTAAATTTTCTCAAAACGTGTTGCATGGGATATGGTTTTCTTAATAAAGTTTACTATTTAAATATTTACTTCATTATACAATATAAAGTGGTCAAGGTTTTTATATGTTTTATGTTTAATTTTGTCTAAATGAAATGGGTTTTTTTCTTACTTTAATTTATATGACATCTTGAGATAGCACATTTTTTTGTATTTGTTTTTCCAATCTGTTAGGATTAACAAATTATTGTCTTGCTGTATAAGTTTAAAATTGCTTCAATAATCTTATCTCATATTAAAATATTCCAACTTATTAAGTAACTAAATAGTGATACCTTAATATGCATAATTTCAACAATTTTGAGCAATTAAATCTTAAAATTGTGGTTAACTGGTATAAAAAAAAATGAACAAAGATGAAGTTCAACCATTTTACTAAAAAAAACTATAATTTTTTCATACAGAACAAGCTATTTGCTACAATTGAAGTGAAATTCTTTTTTTAACCCTTTCCCCCATGAGCATATTGTGAAAAATGGCCGTTTTCACTGAAAAGCCTCCTGTTACAAGTTCAAACTGCTATGAAACTATGAAAAATGCTTCAATACTAATCAAACTTGGGACAAATGTTGACTGGACCATTGCCTTTGTAACTACATGCTCAGTCTTTAATTTCCTGTTACCATGGCAACGAGGGGACATCTCAAAATTGCCAAAAATCACTATTTTGCCTCGATTTTTTCCATCAAAATTTATTTCAAAGTGCTGCAACTGTTCAAGGGATTGAGATAGAGTCAAAGGCTTTTCAGCGTTGGTTAAACGTTACATTATGATCGACCTGGGGTCATTTTTACCCTCTCACAAGTCCAAAATTTTCTTGGCGATGAGGGGGACTCCGCCCCCCATCAAACCCCCCTAACAGAAGGGGGCACATCCCCCTTCTGGCAACCCCCTGATGTATCTTTTGGATGGGGGGCGGCGCCGAAAAAGTGCTCAATTTTTTAAGCAACATTTCTCAAACGAAAACTTATGTTTGGGGTCCAAATAGGACATTTTTTCACTATTTGAGGCCTTAAAAAAGGGGGAGGGGGTCGAAAGTGCGTTGTTTCGCGTATATATGTGGTAAAGGGTTAATTATCAAAATTTATCATATTTATCAAGTTACTCAAAATATACTTTCAAGTAACTTTCAGAGCACAATAAAGGCTGTTTTTAATTGTTAAAGTGTATTTTATCATAATTCATCTAAAATTTTCCATTTTATAAGTTGATGAAGAAAATACATCAGAAGTTAAATCTTATCGATCTGGCAGATCTGGCAGAAAATGTAAGTTACAGTTGCGAAATATGGGGATTTATCATTTTTCTTTTTTTAGAAGATTACACTTTATAATATACTTTTTGACATTCTCTTAGATTTTATTTCCCAAAGAAATGTTTAAACTATTGAAAGGATTTCAGAAAGAACTTAATGAGTAAATACTTATCCCATATAATGCGAGCCACCCTAAGTATCTCTAAAACTTGTAATTACATGTATATATAAAAGTATATCACTATTGTATAAAGGAATAGAAATTAATGGTAATGTTGTTTATATTTTAGCTCGTTCAAAGAGATCAAAATCAGGAACCGGCTCGGAAGAAGAGTGAGTATGAACTTGACTCATTTCATGTTGATCATAATTGTGTTTAATATCATTCTCAATATGAGCCGCGTCACGACAAAACCAACATAGTGCGTTTGCGACCAGCATAGATCTAGACCAGCCTGCGCATCTGCGCAGTCTGATCAGGATCCATGCTGTTCTCTACTTGAAATAGAGTTGGTAAGCAAACAGCATGGATCCTGATCAGACTCCACGGATGCGCAGGCTGGTCTGGATCCATGCTGGTAGCAAACACACTATGTTGGTTTTGTCATGACGCAGCTCATATGTCTTCTTCAAATGAAATCAATTCAAATATGATATGAATCCTCTTTAAAAAATTGGTATGGTCAGGTTAAAAAGTATTTCATTTTTGGTGATTTGTTAATTAACCAAAGAGATACCCATACTGATTTGCCATAATGCAGATCCATCTTTTGAAATTCTGGCGTTTAGCACAGCTATAGTATAACTAAGTATTTTATTTGGAAATCAAAATACCACTTTGTTCACAAATTATTTCACATTCATTGCTATTATCTTCAGGTGATAAGCATCTTACATTTTTTTTAAATCCTGTAACATAGAATTATAAAACACATTGTCCTTTCTACAGAAAAAAAAAATTCTGAGGCTTAATGTGCCTTTTATGGTATTTTACTGAAGAAACTTTTTTTACATAAAAATGTTAGATGCAACAGGATAAAATGCCAGTCAGAAAACTTGAAACAATTATGTTTGTTTCTCGCTAATTTAAGAAAAAACTGTCTTTCTAAATAAACCAAAGATTGATGATGCATGTTGATCAGGTCCACATTCTTTACATTATGTATTTAGGTCATATTCGAAAGGTTTACGGACAAAGAGGTAACTTAAATTCAATTGAATTACATTACAAGAGCATCTTTTATTGAATGGCATACTAAATACACATGGCACATAATAACAATTTTAGTTCTGGTAGCAGGGTTTATGAAATTCAATAATTTGTTTGTTTCAATAATGGAATGGTTAAAGTAATGGGAAGGCTAGCTAGTTGCAGCAATTTTATTCAATGTTTTGTATTTGTTAGATTTTAATATTAGCAGTGATAACCATAAATGAAATATTGCACTTTTAGATATGAATATAAATGTGATTTCTGGGCCTTTAACTAAGTTGCCTCCCTTGACATCATTGCTTTTTTAAGGACGTTTTCGGGAGTTTTCATGTAGACATATAGGCAAAATTAAAACTGTTCAATAGTCATTTTCAATTTAAACTTGGCATGTTGTTAGAATATGATAACAGAAACATTTTAAGCGAAAAAGAAATTGGTGTCACCGTTCTCATTTTTGAGTTATCTGCCCCTAAATCAGGCTTTTCTACTTATTTGAGGTCATTTCAAGGGCAGATAACTTATACATACCTAAATGAATTCTTGTTTTTACTTCTGGATTATGTTTTTCTTTTTATTGTTGAGTACAATACATAATAACATGAAATTCCTTACATCGTTTCTGTTAATTTTTTTCAATGAAAATAAAGGTACCGTAAAATTCCTAATAAACGCCCCTCCCCTAATAAAGGCCCCTCCCCCCAGGCTTTTTGAAAGGGAAAACAATCTACTCATCAGTACTGAACTAATAATTTAAGCCATCATTTTATTCAAATCATTCAGAATCCATAGTATTTTATAGTAAACACAAATATGTATATGAACTTTAAAACCTTAACATTTTTTAATGTCATTACCAACACTTGCTAACACTAAAAGCATTAACAGTGATTTTTTTATTTAGGAAAAACTGTGTTGTAATAATAGCCCCCCTTTTGGAAAATGTTAAGCCCCCAGGGGCGTTTATTAGGAATTTTACGGTACTTCAAATTCTTAAAAAATAGGCCATTTTTTTAACAAAAAATGTATGGGTTAAAAAATCAAAAAACGAAAAAAAGTGGTTTTCACCCCAATTTTTTTTTTCGTTTTAAAAATTTTCTTTTAAATCATTTTTTTCAAAACAAAAAATTCCCCCCCAAGTTTAAAAAAAAATTAAAACTTTTTAAAACATTTTTAATTTCCCAAAATTTAGTTAAAAATAAACCCCCTCCCCCAAAAAAAACCTCTTTTAAAAATATATAAAAGGTTTTCCCGGAAATTTGGGGAATTTTTTTTCATACGGGGGGACGTACTCAATGCATTTTTGAAATGGTTTTTGGTTTTTGGGAAACCTTAAAAAAATTATTGAGGCCGGGGTTTTTTGGTTTTTTGGGGGTTTTAAATTTTGATAAAACCTTTTTGGGAAACTTCAAGTTTTTTAAGTTTTAATCTTTTTTGGAAAAATTTTTTGGGGTTTTCATAGAAAAATTTGTTTTTTTCATTTTTAAAATTGGGGGCCCAAAATTTTGGGCCATTTTTCCCCACGGGGTTTCTTGGGAAAAAAAAATTTTTTTTTTCCCCCCTGTTTTTAAAATTTACGAAAAATTCTTTATTTGCTATCCCCTATTATTTTTAAAAGAGGCTAAATAGAAAAGTGGTTTAAACCCACAGAAAAATTTGGGTTAAATTAATTTTCCACTTGCGGGCCCAAACTTTATTTTTGGTAAAAAAGGGGGAAAAATTTAATTGGCTTAAAAGGGGTTTTTTAACCTATGGGTTTCTTAAAGCGCTTTTTTATGTAAATTTTTTTCCCAAGTAAAATTTCCAATAACCGAAATTTATCCCCCAAAACCCCCGGACTATGGTATTTTTTTTTCATTTTTTGAAAATTTTTAACCCTTTAGCAATTTTAACCCTGAAAAAAAAAAAAAAAACAAAAAAGGGCAAGGTACAAAAATTTTATTTAAATCAAAAAATTAAATTTCTTTTAGGCTGAAAAATCGAGAAAAATTTTGGGGCCAAAAAAACAAAAATCCCAAAAAATGAAAAACCCAATGAAATAAAAAAATTTGGTCAGTTTTTTAAAACCAAAGAAAATACAAAAATTTTTTGGAAAAAAAGTTTTGGGGCATTTTTTTAAAAAGTTTTTTTCTGTTTTGGGGGACTTTTCCCCTTTTTTTAATTTTTTTTTTGGGTTTTTTTTCCAAAAACCCCAAAAAGAAAAATTTTTTTTTTTTCCAAATTTTTCCCACCGCTTTTTTTCACTGTTATAAAGCCCCTTTTTGTTTTTTGGAAATCGAAAAACTTTTAAAATTTACCCCTTTTTTAAAATTTGGTCACATGAGGGTCGTTTAAAATTTTCAAACCCCCAACCTTTGGCCCCATTTTAGGGGTTTTTCCTTGTACGTTTTTCCATTTTTTAACTCTTTGGGAAAACCCGCCCAGCTTAATAAAAAAGGGTTGTTGGGGCCCCCCGGTGCGTTTCCCAGGGGATTTTTTTGAAATTGCCTTCGGGGGGCCACTGAAAAATTTTTCCCCCTTTTTTCTTTGTTTTTTTTTTCGTTTTTTTACCAAAAAATTTGGGCCCAAGTTTAATTTTTTTGGGTTTTCTTTAATTGGGAAACCTTTTTAAAAAAATTTTACCCCACCCCTTTTCCCCAAAAGGGGAATTTCGTTTTAATTTCGATACCCCCCTTGTTTTTTTTTTCTTATCAAAAAAAGGGAAAAAGGGGTTTTAATGTTTTTTTTGCCCCAAACCCTTTTTTTGGTTTTTTTTAAACCCCCCTTTTTAAAAAGTTTTTTTGGGTCTTTAACCAAAAAATTTGGAATAAAAACTTTCCGCCTTTTCATTTTTGGGGAAAATTTTTTAAAATTTGGGGTTCACTTTAAAAGATTGAAATGTTGTTTTTTTCCCTTGGGCTTTTCCCAAACAATTTCCCAATTTTTAAAAAAACCCCACTGCTTTAAAACGGGGGTTTTCTGAAATTTTTCATTTTTCCCAAAATTTTTTCCGAAAACCCCAAAAAACAATTTTTTCCTGTTCGGGCACTTACAGGTTTTTCGGGGCCTGTTTTGTATTTGGCCCCCGGAGGGGCCCTTGCTAGTAATTTCCTTAAAATTCTGGGGGCTTTCTAGAAAATTTACAAATTGTTAGAAAAATTTTTTCTTTTCCTTTTTTTCTTTTCTTTATAATTCATTTTGGGAAAATGCCGGGTCACGAAGATTTCTTAAGTTTTTCCACAAAGCAATAAAAAAAGTAAACCGGGGCTGGGTGGGAATTTTCCTTTTCCCCGTTTCCCTTAAAAAATTTTTTAAAATGTAAAAAATTTTAAAGAATTAAAAACAGGGAAAAAAAAATTGGAAACCCACACTTTTAAAAATTTGGGCATGGGACATAAAAACGGGGGTGGTTTAATGCCGTTTGGGTTTTAAGGGGTTTGTGGTTTCCAGAGTTTTTAAACTTTTGGGGAACCATACATGGGCCAGGGAAAATTTTTTTTTTAAAAAAAAAAACCCCAAATTTTCAAAAAAAATTTAAAAATTTTAAAAAAAAACTTTTTCTTTTTACTTTCCCTTTTTCCCCTTATTTTTTTGCTTTAATTGAAAAAAATTTTCCCTTTTCTTTTTCCAAAAATAAGGGAAAAAATCTTCATTGAAAAAAAATGTTTTTTAGGGCCCCCAAAAAAATTAAAATGAAAAGCTTTTCCCAAGGGGGGGGGAAAAAATTCCTTTTTCCCCCATTATTTTTGGGGGCCAAATTTATTTTTTTTCAAAGTTTGTTTTTGCGAAATAGGGAAATTTTACCCAAAAAAAAGTCAAAAAAATGGTATTTTTTTCCCGATATGATAAAAAAATTTATTTGCAAAAACAATATCAAAACCAAAAAAATACTAAATTTACAAGAAAATAATTTGAAAATTAGAATAAATAAAAACTTTCCTCCTTTGGAAAAAAGGGTTTTGAGAGGGTTTTAAACCTTTCTTTTTCCAAACTTTAAAACCCTCAAAAAAATGGCGGAAAACCGGGGTTTGGCTTTTTTCCCCGGCTTTTTTGGGCCTTTTTAACCCATTTCTTTTAAAGGGGCTTTTTTTTTCCCCCAAAATTTTTGTAGTTTTTTTTTGGGTTTTTTTTTTGGAAAACAGACTGTTTCCGGGTCTTTTTCACTTTAATTCCCCCCAAAAACCCCCAAGGGTTTATCAAAGGGGGTTTGTCAAAAAAAAAAAATTTAAAAAAAAAAAAATTCTGGTTTTTTTTTCTTGTTTTTTCAGTCAAAAAGAAAAAAAATTTATTTTTCTTCAAAAATTTTTTTTGATAATGGCCAAAAAAAGGGGACGGGAATAGAAAAAAAGGGGGTCCAGGGCCGCAAAACCCAAATTTAGTCATTATAATGGCAAAAACATTACTCCTTTAGTCATGATAATGGCTAGGAATTACACCTTTAGTCATGATAATGGCAAGGTATTGCACCTATAGTCATGATAATGGCAAAACATTACTCTTTTAGTCATGATAATGGCTAGGAATTATACCTTTAGTGATGATAATGGCAAGGTATTACTCCTTTAGTCATGATAATGGCTAGGTATTACACCTTTAGTCATGATAATGACAAGGTATTGCACCTTTAGTCATGATAATGGCAAAACATTACTCCTTTAGTCATGATAATGGCTAGGAATTACACCTTTAGTGATGATAATGGCAAGGTATTACTCCTTTAGTCATGATAATGGCAAAGTATTGCACCTTTAGTGATGGTAATGGCAAGGTATTGCACTTTTATTTGTAAAACAATGACTAGATATCGTTCATTAAGTAAATGAATAATGAATAGGTAGATTTTAGTATGATATAAAAGAAAGGTATTATATGTAATTATAAAGTGATCATGAAAGTCAATATCTTGAGCAGAATTTTATTACAAATTTTTCATTAATCTTGGCTGTATTTTTTTTAAAAATAGTTCTACAACAATCACTTTATTAGCTCACCTGAGCATATGCTCAGGGTGAGCTATTAGGATCACTCTTCGTCCATCGTCTGTTGTCCGTCGTCCGTTGTACGTCGTCCGTTCACACTTTTCAAACGACATCTCCTCTGAAACCATAAGGCAGATCATAATGAAACTTCACAGGGATGTTCCTTGTGTGAAGCCTTAACAAAGTTGTTCAAAGAATTCCATTTCATGCAGAACTCTGGTTGCGATGGCAACCAAAAGAAAAAACTTTAAACATCTTCTTCTAAAAAACCCAAAGAGCTAGAGCTTAGATATTTGGCATGAAACATCTTCTAATGGGTGTCTACCAAGTTTGTTCAAATAAAAGCCCTGGGGTCAAAATTGGCCCCGCCCCAGGGGGTCATTGATTTTCCCTTATGCATATAGTAAAAACTTAAAAAAATCTTCTTTTAAAGAACCCAAAGAGCTAGAGCTAAGATATTTAGCATGAAACATCTTCTAATGGGTGTCTACCAAGTTTGTTCAAATAAAAGCACTGGGGTCAAAATTGGCCCCGCTCCAGGGGGTCATTGATTTTCCCTATATGCATATAGTAAAACTTAAAAAATCTTCTTCTAAAAAACCCAAAGAGCTAGAGCTTAGATATTTGGCATGAAACATGTTCTAATGGATGTCTACCAAGTTTGTTCAAATAAAAGCCCTGGGGTCAAAATTGGCCCCGCCCCAGGGGGTCATTGATTTTTCCCTATATGCATATAGTAAAAACTTAAAAAATCTTCTTTTAAAGAAACCCAAAGAGCTAGAGCTTAAGATATTTGAGCATGAAACATCTTCTAATGGGTGTCTACCAAGTTTGTTCAAATAAAAGCCCTGGGGTCAAAATTGGCCCCGCCCCAGGGGGTCATTGATTTTCCCTATATGCATATAGTAAAAACTTTAAAAAATTTCTTTTAAAGAACCCAAAGAGCTAGAGCTAAGATATTTAGCATGAAACATCTTCTAATGGTGTCTACCAAGTTTGTTGAAATAAAAGCCCTGGGGTCAAAATTGGCCCCGCCCCAGGGGTCATTGATTTTCCCTATATGCATATAGTAAAAAACTTAAAAAATCTTCTTTTAAAGAACCCAAAGAGCTAGAGCTAAGATATTTAGCATGAAACATGTTCTAATGGATGTTTACCAAGTTTGTTCAAATAAGAGCCGTGGGGTCAAAATTGGCCCCGCCCCGGGGGTCATTGATTTTCCTTATATGTGTATAGCAAAAACTTAAAAAATCTTCTTTGAAAAAAAAAACAAATAGCTAGAGTTTAGATACTAAGCATGAAACATCTTCTAGTGAGTGTCTACCAAGTTTGTTCAAATAAAAGCCCTGGGTCAAAATAGGCCCCGCCCCGGGGGTCATTCCTTTTCCTTATATGTGTTATACAAAAACTTTAAAAAATCTTCTTTGAAAAAACTCAAATAGCTTAGAGTTTAGATATTAAGCACGAAGCATCTTCTAGTGAGTGTCTACAAAGTTTGTTCAAATAAAAGCCATGGGTCAAAATTGGCCCCGCCCCGGCTGACATTGATTTTCCTTATATTATGTGTATAGCAAAAACTTAAAAGTCTTCTTTGAAAAAAAATCCCGAATAGCTAGAGTTTAGATATTAAGCATGAAACATTTTCTAGTAAGTGTCTACAAAGATTGTTCAAATAAAAGCCCTTGGGTCAAAACTGGCCCTGTCCCAGGTGTGTCATTGTTTTTAACTATATGTGTAAAGAAAAAAACTTGACCAGCTAGACCTTAGATGTTAAGCATGAAATATCTTCTAATGGGTGTCTACCAAGTTTGTTCAAATAAAAGCCCTGGGGTTTAAACTGGCCCCGCTCCGGGGGCCTATATACAGGTGAGCGACTTCAGGGCCATCATTGCCCTCTTGTCTAATTTGTCATATGTATGCAGTAGATTAATTTGTGTAAAATTTTTCCTGGTGAAAATTAATGAACTTTTAGTTTAAGAATCTTTCTTCTTTCAGTGATGATGCTGTATCAGTCAATGAGTTTTCATTACCAATGTTAGAATCAGACCGTCTGCTTGGCCAGGAGAAAGGTAATCTACATTTCGGCATGATTTTTGTTACTTGTTGGATATACAAATTAAAACATGAGCTCTCATTAAATTGAAACAAAACATATTCTCTAAAATCAGTAATTCTATATTTAGATTGACTTGATATAGTACATGGTCATTAGATATTATGCACTCACTGCTGGGAGGGCACGGTTTGGGGGGGAATATAGATATGCCCTTATTAATCTGTCCCACTGTCACATTGTCCTTCTATAAAATCATAAAACAGTTGAACAGTGATTCTAGTTGAATCTATTACCAGTATTTATGTATTGAATATTGTTGTTTTTCTAGTTAAAGGGTAAATGGATTTCAAACAAAATTGTTACAGTTAATCTGACCCTTGTAGTCTGGCTTCATGGATCTACTGGCCTGCTTGACCCAATAACTGATGACATAAGCATTGTGTCATTTCATCTGCTAACACTAATCAATCTTTCTGCAGTACAATTCATGTCTTTATTGAAACCATTTTTAACAACCATAGGTTTTTGATTCATTTAATGCAGAGCTCATGTAGGTTAAATGCAAGTGGAAAGCATATTCAGTCATTGTTTATTGTAACTTGTTTAATTTGGTGGAGGCAATTATGAAAAGGTTGATTGTAAGACTAAATTATAATTTTAAACACACCAATATCAATACGACTTGTCAGATATTTGACCAATATTAGAATACGTCTGCTTAATGCTCACAAAATTAAAACCATCTGCCTTCAATGAGACATGTATGGCAAATAATGGCCAACCTGGATGTAATCTGCTGGTAACCTTTATTTCGAAAGTAAAACCTCACCGCTTGCATCATGCTTTATCAACCTTTTCATATGATTAAAGGGTTAAAAAAATGTTGTTTGTTAATCTAAACACTTGATGTTGTAACTGACTTGTTATGCACCAGTTATCAACTGCTCTGAATTGTATTCAGATGTATGAAGGAAATATGAGAAAATCTGTAGATATTTCTATTTTGAGAAATCCATTCTTACTTTAGTCAACGGTAAAGATCACTTATATCCATTCTTTAACAGTAGTAACAATTGTAAAGTGTAGTTCTAATCTGTATGAGATACATGTATATCATAGTTTATAATTACATGTAGTTAGATATGTTGATAATTGAAAAAAGTACCCAGTATCTGCTTATTCTAATCAGAAGCTTTTATTATATATATAAATCAAAATTGCAATAAGCTCTTACTTAGTAAATTCTACTTCTGTTAATTATAAAAAGTCAACTTTAACCAAAAAAAAAAATTGTGTTTTTCTTAAAAAAAGAACCAGTTATTCTTTAGTCTATTATAAAATTTTGAAGAATTATAACTATATTTCATATTAGTTCATATATATTTTGACTTGTGATTGTGTGTGTAGTGGTTATGGGCTGCGTTTGTATTTCTCCTACATTCTGTCTAGATGATAGCAACCAAGAAGGTAACCAGACTATAAACGATGAACAGACTGGTTTTAGTGGTTCTACTGGCTCTTACTCTGACATTTTAGCTTCAAATCCAAACTCTAGGCCAGCAACTGCTGCCCAGTCTAGGCCTGCTTCTTCTACTAAACTCTCTAGACCATCTTCAGCTCTAGCTAGACCTGCATCTGCTGTAAAACAAGAAGAAAAAGATGATAAAATGGGTAAAGTAGCTGTTGATATAAACTCTAAGAGTAACAATGATACAATTGATGTGGCTGTAAAAGCTGGTTCTAAAATTGATCAAATTAAGATAAGTAAAACAGATGATAGCATTGAAGAGAAGAGTGAGGTTGTAAAACTGCCAGAAAAGGCTGTTGTGAAAGATGTTGAAGTAAAATCAGTTGAGATTGAAAGAAATGGTGCTGAAGTGAAAGGCAAAGAAGAAAAGGCATTAAAGAATGATCGTAGACCAAGTGGTGCTAAAGTTGAAGAGAAGAAACAACCAGTTCCAAAAGCTGGGAAAAATGTAAATGAAAGGAAAACTGTAGGGAAACAGGTTACTCCAGGAAGAGGTGTACCTCCAAAACTTCCCAAGTCTGAAAAGAAAGCAACAGAAAGAGATACTTCTTCAAAAGCAGGTCTTAATAAAACTGTATTAGAAGGTGAAGGGTTGTTAGAGAATATTTCTGAACCTGTTAGTAAGCTAGATCCTGTCTCTGGTGATGGGCACATGGAAGTTGATGGTGATCTAGCAAAGGTCATGAAAGGTCATGATAATACAGGTACTCTTTTAATTGGATTCTTATCAATAAAAAAAATTGAAAATACTGAGTAGAAGCAGTGAGCCAAAAAAATCTTTTCACTTTACTGTTTCAATTTACAATACCATTTTTGAAATCAAAACATTTACATTTGAAGAAAATGCATGCTTGCAATTTACCCTGATAAAAACAAAAGAACATTTGCATGTTTTTTTAATTAAATATTGTTGTTTTTGCATGTTCCAAAACATTAAAGTTGGTGATGGTGGTATAAGCTTTTGTCATTATGTTGTGAATTAATGGTTATTTAGATAATTGTTTACAACAACCACTTTGTTTAAATTAGTATTAAACTATTATTTCAATTTATATTAAACTAGTAATTAATCTTTCAACAAATAGCAACAACAGTAAGTCTTAAGAAATAATTAAGGGCTATATTAGAGACAATAAAAAAACATGATTGTCTACTAATAATAATATACAATGTATCTGTATGAAAATTGTAAACTTAAAAGACCTTAAGTGACCACCATATATATGTAACAGAGCAATTTAACAACAGTTTAATTTTAGTGTTTTATTCAGCAGCAAATCATTTATCATTTAGTGATTTATTCAGCAGCAATTCATTTAATTCTATTTGCAATGCACTGATAGTTATTGCTAGGAAAACGCAATGCTTAATCTTAACTACTAAATTATAGAATTTATAGAACTGCTTTAAGACCTTATCCTGCTGAATGTTTGTGATGGAATTGCCCAGAATTTGAATTTGGACCAGCCCATTAAAAGCTAAAGGGATTTCAGTATCAAAATACAAAAATTGAGCTTCCAACAGTATTAAAGCCTGGTCAGACTGCACGGATGCGCTAGCTGACCTGGCTCTATGCTGATGGCAAAGACTGTAGCAGGTTAAGGGGTAATTTGCCATCAAACAGATGAAATTACTTGCAACTGTAATGATGCACCTATAATCTAAATGAATTTCAAATTTAGTCTTGAGCTTTATTTTTATGACAGATGCCCATGCTATTGCAGCAGAATTGGATGCTCTTGGACTCCGAAAGGTAACATTACCCAATTTTCAATTAAAGTAGATTAGAGAAACACATCTACAGTAGCTTCTATTGTGATGAAAATACTATTGAATTTTAATCCTTTTACTTTATTTCCATCGTTAAGACATTTTTAGCTGACAATTCATGTTCATTTTTATAAGAAACAAACACAGGTTTTGATTTTAATCTACCGCATGTAAAAATCTATATAGAAAACTTAACATAATTTTTTGTCAAAACAAAAAATATAAAAACTGTGTATTATACTCAACACTTAAAGTAATGTAGTCAGTGATGGAATCAATGATCCTGTATGATCTAAAATTACAACATCACTAAGGTTAATATTTATAATAACCGTTGACTTTGTAATTTGAATATATTTTCTTCTTTTCCTTCACATACAGAAAAGTAAAGGAGAGTTGACATATCCTTTGCTAGCACCAGGAAAACGACCAAAAGCTCCTCCAGAGAAAGCCAAGATTCCAGATCATATAGCCGAGGCTCTAAACAGGCAGACAGATGCTTCCATAGAATACCTAGAACAAGATCTTGAAAGAAGTAAGTTGTTAAACCCTTTAAGTGCTGGAACCGAAAGTGTTAAGCCTTTGCCACCAGTATAGAGCCAGGCCAGCCTGCACGGATTGCCTGCACATCCGTGCAGTCTGACCAGGCTCTATACTGTTGGCTGACAAACTTAAAACATTCAAATTGATATCCCTAAAATTGATAATGGACAGTCCCAAAATTGGAAGTGGGACAAGTCCATTTTAGATATTGAGCATGTTAAGGGTTAAGTTATTCTGTCTTAACTCTTTTATTAGCCTGCTGACAGCAACTGAGTCTACCCATACAACCAGTGCTGACCAAAGATGGTCTTTGTCTGCAATGTTTGTTTTTCAAATCAGAACAAATTTTGTAATTTTTTTCTTAAAATGATGGTCTTGTCCAAGTCAGTTTGAAAAAAAAAAATTGAATTGCAAGGGTTCTTTCATCATGACGTTCATATTGTCACCATACTGCAGAAACAGAATAAGTCCTTCTAAGTTTAATGGGAGTTAATCAGTTATTGCCTTAAGGTGATGATATGCATTAACTTACAGTTTGCATTTATATCATGAAAGAATTTCCCATGGCTCACAGGAAATACAGTCTATGTTAAAATGAAAGAAGTACATACAATTGTATTATCTTTACATTAAATGAATTATCATATCATATATTGATTTTGAAATGATGAAATAAATTATGTACCTACATGTTCATACATATTTATCTCAGAAAAACTGAATCTTGATTATAAGTTTCTTGTTGAGTGGAATTGTTAATAATTATAAATGTAGGAAGAATATTTGAGAGTATTAGTAATAACGGACCATTGTTATTATCTTATTTGTGTGTTATAATGGTGGAAACAAGGTAACTTTTCAGTGATGTTCACACATGGATGATGGCAACAATCGTTGCTGTCTTTTATCTTCAATTAAAACAGCAGGTATCACATGATATGATCAGATATTGCTATCCAATCTATTTTGGATTTATGATACTTTTTTAGACAGCCATGGTGATTGATAATGTCCCAAGCATTTATTGCTTTAATTTCAAACTTAATAGCATAAAGTCATCTTAGATATCAGATCTTTTTTCTGTGCATGTTTTTCATCAAAATGCAATTTTCAGGAGGATTTTTGAAAGATGGAAAAGGTAAAATTTATGTCAGAATGTTTCTTTTTTGGTGCATGGTTTTTTATATTGTATGATGTTTTAATGCAATGATGACAATGTCAATAAGTTGTATAGAGTATTCACAAGAAGATTTGTTAAAAAAGATGCCAAGAGCCTATTTTTTTTATATGGGCTAGATTAGGAAAGAGATTACATAAAGTTAAGGAGTTTAGGATAGGGTTTTTTTTTATATAAGTATATAAGGTTATCAAAATAAATTGTATTTTAGGTTTTTGTTGTCTTCCAAGTATATGTCTGAATAATTTGACATTTAAAATGGTAAGATTTTGAGTCTTACACCTCTGAATTTTAACAATGAACTAGTCTGCTTTGAATTTTATACTTTTGATTATTATTTAGAAATATTTCGTGAACAAATAGCTAAAATTAAGTATGAAAAAAATATGAATTCTTTTCAAAATCACAACAAGGATCTGCATGGTGGCATGACTTGATACACTGATGGTAAAGGAAAGCTTTCATCACCATGTGCATTTGAAGATTTTAGTCAACCAGTACACAAAAATATCAAATGAAATTGGGCATCAATTTCAATTTTGGACTTTTGTCTAAGCAGCCTAGCTACTTATGTCTTTATTTGGCTTTTCAATTTCTATGGTGCCATGAATATAATAAACAAAAGAGGACTCTATTTTAACTGCATGTTAAAACAACTACCCTGAACTACATGTACTTTGATTATAAGTACATTGTACATTGTAGTTTGAGTTTTTGTCTTGTGGGCTTGACATGTCTTGTATAAGTCTTGGCATATGTGTAAGTGTTGAAGCATGTGTGTTGACTAGAGTATGATCCGAAAAGGTCATGACCAAATATGACTTTTACACAGACTGATTATTGTTCACTGTTTTTTTTATACAAAATGGAATGCACAATTTGCATATGGTGTGTTATGTTGTTGTTTTGATATTGATGTTGTTTATTTTACATTTTCTCTTCAGAAATTTGGTAACAGGTATTTGTATAGAAGTGTTGCATGTTGGGATATGTTTATGCTTTTTTTTCAATGTCCTTGCTAATATAGAAAAAATTGCACCATTAAAGTTGATTATTATGCGTATTGAATATTTTTTTTACCTATAAAAATGGAAGCAAATGTGTCAATTTAATTGCGTTCATATTCCAATGGTGTTTTTTGCTATGCAGTGAAAAAACATGGATTTGCTCAGGGAAAAAATGTTTAAGTTTTAATTAACAGAAAGTAACCAATGTTTAGAAAACATATTTAATGAATGGCGTGTGTATAATGCTATGAGTATGCTAGTATTTAACAATGTTTGCCAGGAGTGTTTGCAAGTAAATTGTATAACCCTGATTTTGTGGAATGGATTCTACTTCATCATCAGTTAGAACTGCCCATTGTTGATTTGAGGGAATTCAATATCAAAATAATATGAATAATCAGGCAACAGTATAAGTTTAAAAAGAGACTAGGTATAGGTGTGCAAGTTAACTAAACTCATTACCGGTTAAATGATCATATTGGTCTGCCAATATACCCACTGCTTTCTCTGGTATAATGAAAAAGATTTTTTTGCATGAATATGATTGTAAAATGATAAAGTAAAAATTTCACTTCTCAAATTGTTCCGTAGGGAAATATATAATGCTAATGCTTGTGCAAAAGTTTTTTTTAAACAAAATGAATTTGAATTTTATGGAATAAGAATAATTTTAAACCCATGGATATTCAGTTATCAGTTTCAACTATTTTATAATAAGCTAGATAATGTATAAGTTTACGCTCGATTTTTCCTATTAGGAATCTTCAGGTATTTTAATGACATTGTAGCATGATTTTTGTGTTGTTCTTATAAATACTAACAACATATTGATTTGTTCTATTAGATTTTTAGCTCACCTGTCACTTTGTGACAGGGTGAGCTTTTGTGATCGCTTTTCGTCCGGCGTCCGTCCGTCCGTCGTCCATAAACTTTTTCTTTAAATGACATTTCCTCATAAACCGCTGAGCCAATTTCATCCAAACTTCACAGGAATGTTCTTTTGGTGGTCACCTTTGAAAATTGTTCAAAGAATTTAATTCCATGCAGAACTCTGGTTGCCATGGCAACCAAAAGAAAAAACTTTAAATATCATCTTCTAAAACCAAAAGAGCTAGAGCTTAGATATTTGGCATGAAACATCTTCTAGTGAGTGTCTACCAAGTTTGTTCAAATAAAAGCCCTGGGGTCAAAATTGGCACCGCCCCAGGGGGTCATTGATTTTCCCTATATGTATATAGTAAAAACTTTAAAAATCTTCTTTTTCTAAAGAACCCAAAGAGCTAGAGCTAAGATATTTAGCATGAAACATCTTCTAATGGGTGTCTACCAAGTTTGTTCAAATAAAAGCCCTGGGGTCAAAATTGGCCCCGCCCCAGGGGGTCATTGATTTTTTCTATATGCATATAGTAAAAACTTAAAAATCTTCTTTTAAAGAACCCAAAGAGCTAGAGCTAAGATATTTAGCATGAAACATGTTCTAATGGATGTCTACCAAGTTTGTTCAAATAAGAGCCCTGGGGTCAAAATTGGCCCCGCCCCAGGGGGTCATTGATTTTCCCTATATGAATATAGTAAAAACTTAAAAATCTTCTTTTAAAGAACCCAAAGAGGTAGAGCTAAGATATTTAGCATGAAACATGTTCTAATGGATGTCTACCAAGTTTGTTCAACTAAGAGCCCTTGGGTCAAAATTGGCCCCACCCCGGGGGACATTGATTTTCCTTATATGTGTACAGCAAAACTTAAAAATCTTCTTGGAAATAACCCCAATAGCTAGAGTTTAGATATTAAGCATGAAACATCTTCTAGTAAGTGTCTACAAAGATTGTTCAAATAAAAGCCCTGGGGTCAAAAATTTGCCCTGCCCCAGGAGTGTCATTGTTTTTAAATACTAGTATATGTGTAAAGAAAAAACTTAAAAAATCTTTTTTTAAAAAACCCAACAAGCTAGACCTTAGATGTTTAGCATGAAACATCTTCTAATGGGTGTCTACCAAGTTTATTCAAATAAAAGCCCTGGGGTTTAAACATGCCCCGCTCCGGGGGGCCTATATACAGGTGAGCGACTTCAGGGCCATCATGGCCCTCTTGTTGTTAAAGTTGACTAATGCCTTTAATGAAAATAATTTGCCATGACTTCTATTAATGTTAATTGGTCTTGAATGATTGTAACCGTTGAAAAGTTGTGGAACCAACACAGTAACAAGTTGTGATTCTTGCTCATTCCATGTACTTGATGTTGGTGTAAAAGTAAAAAAAAAAATCTAAAAAAGTATTAATAAAGACTATTATTATCTTTATTATTGAAGAGTTTTAGCACCGTCTGAATATCACAGATAATTTAGAAATGCAAAAATATTAACTGATTCTTAGATGAGTCATCTTTAGCAAAGGAATGTAACTCTTCTGAACAGAATAAAGATTTTCTTACTGTAGACTCTGAATATGTTGATGGATAATTTATATTTTGATAATTTTAAGTTTTATGTCTACAACTCTTTTACAGAGGCCAAAACTAACACTGCTAGAAGATATTTAGAACAATAGTTCTTGATTCTCACTGTAAAATGTTGGAATGACAATGTCCTCATCTTGTTTTCAGTGACAGCATTGGTTGGAGAGACATTGTCAGGACCGACCCTCGAGGCTGTAGGTGAGGGTTTGACAGAGGAAGAGCTTGAACTTGCCAAACAAATACTTCAGGTATGACCACACCACTCTTCCCTCACCCTTTTGTTATAGTAATTCTAGTTTACTAAGAAAATATCTTATTATGTTAATGAAATATCTTATTGCCTGTATCTCAAAGGTGTCATTGTTGCAAGGCCAAAGAATTTTATATCACTCATCAACCATGTTAAGTGTTGTTTACAGTTGGTGAATTATGGAATTATGGAAAGACTTCAAAATTCATACCAAACAATATGGTGTTTTATTAATTGAGTTTTATTATTTAAAAAAAAATGAATTTTATTATCTAAAAAGAATAATTTTTTTGTTACTATAAGTACTCCACTGCTATTAAGTATTGTTCTACTTTTGGTAAGCATTTTATTGAATATTATGAAACTGAGGTATTATTTAATAATAATAATACAATAATTTGTCTTATATTCCAGCAAAAATTAGATGAGGCTAAAGGTACACTTGATGGTAAGCAACCTGCAGCTAAAGTTAAAGGTAAGAAACCAGCTGCAGGTAAGCCAGGGAAGAAGGGAGGAAAGAAGGGAAAAGGCAAGTCGATCGAGGAGGAGAAATCTCAAGAAGAATTAGATAGAGAGGCAATTCGTGAAAAACATGAGCAAGAGAAAAAGGTGATTATTATAATTATTATCATACATTTCTACAAATTTGTATTATCTCTCTTGATTTTTCAGTTTTACTCTTACTTTCTTTTGGAAGAAATGAAATCAGTAAGTTGTCAGTGCTGAAATCTTTTTGATGGATATTTATATAGAATTGGCAAAAATTACTTGTTTCTGCTTTTACAACATATCATGTGATTTAACAATTGTCTGAAAATTATTATAGACATGTATTGCATATAACTAAGGCAATTCAAATTTTTTATTATAAATAATGATAATCATAAATGATTATAGTATCGTATTAGCAATCTTTTTGAAGAAAATGGAAAAAAATAACATTTACTGGCCCTTACATTCGATAAGACAATGGCAAAAGACAATTTTTTTTTACATTTTTAACTGTGGGTCAGAATATTAATTCAGTTTCGTTCATCAATATAAATATACTTTGTTTGCTTTGCTTTATAAACAGTCAGGTGTTTTTCAGCAACTCATTTAAATGATGTGTTAGTCTTGAAGAACATACAAAATCTAGTTAAAAAAAGTTTTTACTATGGTTATTGGTTCAGTCACTATTTTTTTGTTTCTAAAAGCTTGAATACCTGAAGGTAAAGTTAAACTTACCACCTGTATAGTTTCAGAAAGGAAGAACTGTTTTTAGACTTTGGATTATATATATTTGTTTAGTTATTAAACTATATGTAAAACTGATGGCTTGTCTAAATTCATTTTTAGGTTACTTTCCATTGTTTTTTGGCCTATATTCCTATATATTTGTTTGATATTGACCTATCAGATGCTCCCAAATCATTTAACTCTGACTTATATGGTCACGTGACAAGAATGGACGCGTTTTTGTCCGCTCTGTGAAAAAATTGTTGTTTGATGATTTTTTAGTATTTTGGAAATAAACTGACTAAATATTTGTGAACTAGTGGATGGATTATATATTGTGTAATGCCTAAATCAGGAAAAAAACTCAATAAACGGAAAAAGGGAAGCAGTACTGATGACGAAAATATAAACATTAGTAAAAGATACATGTCTAGAGGCCCGGCAGAGGAGCATGAAGGTAGTACTTCTGTAAGTGATATTTTGAATGAAGCTAACTCTGTCATCTATAACATTGATAACTCTGTTTTTGATGAATCTACAAAAAATATCGATTCAGTACAAGATGGAAGTACTCTGAGTAATTTAAACATGTCTAGTAACTCCAGCGGCGGCGGGAGCAGTCCAAGTAATGCTGATTTATATACGTTGCTTCAGTCTATTTCAAGTAAATTATGTCATATGGAAAAGAAATTAGAAACACTAACAGTTTTGGAAAAGAAAGTTGATACTTTTGAAAAGGATCTAAACAAGCTATGGACAAAAATGAATGAAACTCAGAAAATTGTAACAGAGAGGGTGAGTGCTATTGAGTCCAATGTTGAAAATTTAGAATTTACTGATGGTAAGCAACAATCCGAATTAGATCAACTATCGAAAACAAATTCTGAAATGCGTAACGAGCTAACATATCTTCAATCTCAGAGTATGCGCAACAATATCATTTTTGGTGGGATTGAGGAATCCCAGAACGAACGGCCACATGACACCGAGTTCAAAATTCGAAACTTCATGGTTGAGAAGCTGAAGTTAGCACAGGACTTGGTAAATTCAATTGTTATAGAACGAGCGCATCGTACTGGTGTACAGGAGGCAGACCCCAATAGGCGTCGAAACAGGGTTATTATTTGTAAATTTGCTAGTTTTAAGGATCGAGAGACCGTGCGTAAACAAGGTCATTGCCTGAAAGGTACTTCCTTTTTCGTGAAAGAGCAGTATCCAACAGAGGTAGCCGAAAAACGACGCAAATTGGTACCACAGCTTCGTGCCGCTAGAGACGAGGGCAAGCGAGCGTGGTTGTCTTACGACACCTTATATATCGACGGGAAGCCGGTACAACATAAATAGGATTTCCCGGAGAATGTGCTGAAAATCATTGCCTGGAATTGCAATGGATTAACAGAAGAGAAAATCACCGACCAGGACTTTTTGAACTTGATAAATAACCATGACATTATTTGTTTATCTGAAACTTGGACTTGTAGTGACTCTAATATAAATATTGATGGGTATTCTTGCGTTAACTATTATAGAAAATTTCGAAACAAGAGAGCCAAAAGAGATAGCGGTGGTATTGTAATCTATATAAGTGACTTGATTAAAGATGGAGTAAAAATTGTTAAAAATAATTTTGACACTATTTTATGGTTAAAGTTGGATAAAAGTTATTTTTGTTTAAATGATGATGTTTATTTATGTGCTTTATACTTATGGCCGGAAGAGTCACCTATTACTCAAGTTTATCAGGACAATTTGTTTGATATTTTGTTAAATGATGTTGCTTACTTCGAAGATTTTGGTAAGGTCATGTTAATAGGTGATTGGAACTGTAGGGTAGGAAATAAACACGATTATATTTCCTTTGATTCATGCGTTAATGGCCTAGATTATGATAATTATACCCCAGATGTTTCGCTGGGACGGGCCTCTTCCGATAAAATATGTAACTCGCGCGGTACACAAATGCTCGAATTTTGCAAAGCGACCTCATTACGTATTGCTAACGGTAGAATCGGTAACGATTATAATATTGGCGAGTTTACATACTATAATAGAAATTCGTGCACTACTATTGACTATCTCGTTCTATCTGCACGAGATTTTCCACTGATTGATTCGTTCACTGTCTTACCTTTTAATCTGTATAGCGATCACGCGCCGATAACGTTCTCACTAAAAGTAAACAGTAATCAAACCGAGCAAAACTGTGATATCAATTTTGAAACAACGGTACACTATAAGTGGAATGCTGCGCATAAATCTGCATTTAGAAATGATGTTATCGCTAAGCTACCGCAATTTAATGAAATTTTGTCCAAAATAAACACTGATAATATTACTAATGATAATATTGATCAAATGGTCGTTATCCATTATTTATTAAACGATATGTGCAAATAATTACATACTGGCTTAAAATAATTAATAGCGATAATATCATTTTGAAAACTGCTATGTACGCTTCGTTTGAATTACATGAAAACAACAATCAATGTTGGGCTTCTAAAGTACATGGAATATTAAATGAGTACGGGTTTTCTGATGTTTGGAACAACCCATTTCAATACGAAGCCAAATATTTTGTTAAACTTTTTAAACAAAGGGTGATTGACTGCTTTTTGCAAAAACTTTCTAGCGATATTTCAAACAGTCCATTGTTAAGTAATATATATGTACATTTGCATAACTCATTTGAAATGGCAAACTACCTGAAAATTCTCCATAACAGAACTTATAGAAATTGCATAGCAAGATTAAGATTATCGTCACATAAACTTCGGATTGAAACAGGTAGATATGGTGCTAATAGATTACCCCGAGAGGAACGCATATGTCAGCTTTGCGGTAGTAATGAAATAGAAGATGAATTCCATTTTATATTTGTTTGTAATAGTTACTCTAATATACGTTCTCTTTACATTAAGCAATACTACTACAGAAGACCAAGTATGTTCAAATTGATTGAATTATTAAGTACTGAAAAGAAGTCTGAATTAATAGGTTTAGGTAAATATTTGTATTATGCTACAAAATATCGAATTGAATTACTAAATGCTCTGTAAATCAATGTATAAATTTGTCTCGTTGTATTTAAAAGTGATATTGTTTATTTCTTGAAATTACTTGATAATGTGTCTAGTATGAAACATTGTTAAATGGAATCTTATCACAGCATTTGATTAAGTTTAAAATCCATTTTTTTATATCTTTAAGAATGCAAATGCTTTATAATAGATAAGCTCACTTTAGCACTAAATGGTGTTAACGTTCATTCTCCAAAAATATGTAAATTGAAAATTTGTGCTATAACTTTGTTCATGTACCATGATATTGTGTTTGATTGTATTATATAAATGTGTGTAATATGACTATGTACTGAATGTATACGTCAATAAATTATCTATCTATCTATCTATCTATCTATGTTTTTTAGTTTCTTCCATTAGAAATTATACCTTAGCCTACTTGCTGTGACTGAATTTAACAATGCAACCGGTGCAGACCAAGATCAGCTATAGCACATCGGTGGTGTCTTATACCTATCCATTTTCAGTTCATTTCTTGAAATTTTCTTTAAAAATGATGAAAAGTTTTGTCCAGATTAAAAGATGGACACATTAATTTTGTAAAATAGATTTATTTGCGATAAGGGTTAATAATAATTAACGCCAGGTAAAACTTAAAAAAAAGCTTTGGGTATTCATTACAAGAGGACAGCGTTGGTGCTGTTTTTGCTGTCACAATTTTACACTAACAGAACAATTGTACCACAAAAATAATGAAGAGTAACCTAAATTTGGACTTAAACCAGCCATGTGTTTGTATTATTTTGCATTGTGACAGAAGTATATAGTGGTTACAGTTGCTGTAATAATTACAAGTTATATTATACCCTGGACAATGACGACTTGGTATTTTAGTTTAAATATGATAAGAGATAAATCATTTAAATAATCAAAATACTCCAGTTTTATTCTTTTTACTGCAAACTTTCTTGGAAAATTTTGTTGCATTATACTTTATCTATTTCTCACAATATATTGAAATGATGAACTGATTAACAAAATCATTCATACCAGTAATTTGGTTAAGTACCAGTAACAACCATGCTGAGGAATCTGACCAGCTCTTTATACACATGCATGTCATTCTAGCAATCTCTAATGCTTTCTGAGTCAGACTGTCCGTGTGCATTGCATTGCAAGTAAACAAAATTCATGGTTGACTTACTTATATGAAATATAGAGGGATATACAACAGTTTTGCAGTCAACACTCAAAATGCATGTGATACTCATTCCAAAGTCAATAGATTCAAAAGTTGCAAATTGTACTCATAAGTTCATGTGGTCAACAGAGACTTTCTTCGAAAAAAATGTAAAACTTGATAAATTTATATTATAAGTAGGAATATAATATTACCCTTGAAAACAAATTTTATAAAATGGACATTTAGATAACTTGCTCCAGTTGATTGCCCAATGAAATATACAACAATGTAGAATTAAAAAACTTACAGAAAGTTTGTAAAGTATAAAAATATTTATCTCTACATAGACCATTATGTAACTTGATGTCACAATGCAATTTGTACTATGTTATTTCGTCATTTATGTTGGGTTAGGTTACATATCTGTCTTTATTATAATGTACAGGATAGAATTTAGTTAGAACTATAAGATTTCTTTTACTCATTATTCAGCAAAGTTGAGACGAATTAGTGCATATATATATATTTAAAAGAATAATAATATGTCTGTTAATAACTGTTTTTCAGCTAAAAGATTCTGGTGGTTTGGATACTTAATATTGATCATATATATTTTATATTTCTGGTTCCCATGCTCATGCTAAAATTGTGGGGACCAGAAATGGATTTATTCATCAAAGTTAGATTAGAACATTAAGAAATTTTCTATTTTTATACTCAGTACATTTAATATCAGCATTTTGTGGCATGGTGGAGAAAAAATTAATGTGGCAAACAGAAGCTTTTTTAACCGTTCCATAGTATGTCATACCTTTCATATTTCAATAAAATAAGAGTGGAGGAACCTATGCCAAGGGAATTCATTAGCATAACAAAATGAGGATCATGTGCTCAGCTTATTTTAAAACATAATTTTCCAAAAAAAAAAAAATTGAAAACTGGTAGTAAATACATATACATATGGACATTCCTTCCCAATAGCCAGTGTTTACATATTTTTTGTAAATATCTTATTTTGCAACCCCTGAGAATATGTATGAAATCACACTTTAAAGGGCGCTACTGAGGTAAAAAAAAAAGTCTAAAAATTTGAAATTCTTGCATATTAAGTGAGGTACATGCACTTAAGATGGAAAAATCTGCAAAAGATAATAAAAGTACAAGAAACTGAAGATTAAGTTAAATTAAAAAAAAATTTGCATGATTTCTAGCCTGGTTTCAATGAAACGCGTTACAACGCTGTTCTATTTTGGTCATTTTACACAATTAAGTTGATAATTCTTGAAAAACAGAGTGAGGGAATTATCTAAAATTTTGCACACAAGTTATTAGTCCAGACTTACATCAAATGGTACACAAGTCTTGAAAAAATATTTAAATATTTCCAGTCCTTCATGTCAAAAAACCCTTAGTGGAGTCGCTTTAAAGCATAACATTTTAAATGTACTGAGTAGTAGATTACTTCATACAATATAGATAATGGTTGAGGGACTTTAAAACTAATAGACATCATTTTTGCATCTTTTTACATTAAAAATAATACAAGTATCTCAGTCTTTCTCTTCAATTCATGTTATAAATCATCAGAACAAACTATTTGAAGCAAGAACTTATGAAAGGCTATAAAGGATAAGTCAATTTAAAAGGACATTTGAATGTTTAGTCATTGGCTTAGGTTTACCATAAATCATACAGTTATATCATGATCATTATTTTTGTGTCGGTGTTTATGTCATAAGTTATTGTTGTAAAGCCTCTTCTTTATGAACTGCTTAAAGCAGCCTTAACCCTTTACCTCATATATACGCGAAACAACGCACTTTCGACCCCCCCCCCCTTTTTTAGGCCTCAAATAGTGAAAAAATGTCCTATTTGGGCCCCAAACACATGTTTTCGTTTGAGAAATGTTGCTAAAAAAATTGAGCACTTTTTCGGCGCTGCCCTGCATCCAAAAGATACATCAGGGGGTTGCCAGAAGGGGGATGTGCCCCCTTCTGTTAGGGGGTTTTGAAGGGGGGCGTATTCCCCCTCATCGCCAAGAAAATTTTGGACTTGCGTGAGGCTAAAAATGACCTCAGGTCACGTAATAATAATAATGTAACGTGTAACCAACGCTGAAAAGCCTTTGACTCTATCTCAATCCCTTGAGAAGTTGCAGCACTTTAAACTAAATTTTGATGGAAAAAATCAAGGCAAAATAGTGATTTTTGGCAATTTTGAAACCTCCCCTCGTTGCCATGGTAACAGGACATTTAAGACTAAGCATGTCGTTACAAAGACAATGGTCCAGTCAACATTTGTGCCAAGTTTGATTAGTATTGAAGCATTTTTCATAGTTTCATAGCAGTTTGAACTTGTAACAGGAGGCTTTTCAGTGAAAACGGCCATTTTTCACAATATGCTCATTGGGGAAAGGGTTAAGCCTTTATTTTTTGTTGGAAAAACAACTCTATGTTGTTTCAAACTAAGTATTTTGGTAATTTCATCTTGGAAAAGTGCATCTTATCAGTGTTTAGACTTCTTCAAACCAGTATCCCGAGAGCTATTTATAGTGCGCCAGTTACATTTGTTTCTAAAAATAGAAGATAGGGAAAGGAATTGTCCGCTTTACTTATTTATATATAGAGGTATCAAGGGGTTTCATTATTGTTTATTTGTTTTATTGACGGCAAATTTCATTTTTGACCTTAAGTCTTTTGATTTGACAATTATATGAAACAATTTATCTAAAAATAACATATACCTTTAGGAAAGCTGAAGGCTATTTTACGTTCTATCAGAATTTAAAGAATATACCAGAATTAAAATGTTTTAATTTCATACAATTTTGTCTGATAGATGCGTGAACAGGAGGCTGCAGAGCTTCAGAAAAAGATTGCTGAGAAACAGCGCATGTTGAAGGAGCAGAATGACCTTAGCAGTGCAAGGTCAAAGGTAAATATCATTATAATATATGGAAAAGGGGTCACAGGCTGAACTTTACATAAGCTACCAATAATTATAATGTATTTGTATATAAATGTTTGTTCTTTTACTATCATATTTATCCTACTCATATAAGAGATTAAGTTATTACCAAAATTATTTATCATTCTGAAAAGTTATTTAAATAATTTTATGAATATTATATGACTTGCAATAACTTGAATAGGTGTTTCCATGTTTCAATTAATAAATGCATGAGAAAATCAAACTATCAAATTAATTAGCCCTATGAGGAAATAGGTCCATGCAATCTGATCTGACTCTATGATGCTAAATTTCAGTATTTTGATACTTTGAAATTCACTAAATTGTCAAATGAATTGTTCTAATTTCAAAGGAAAGTAATGGTTATTATTTCATTTTATATATCAAGAGTTAAGGATACACACTTAGTGTTCTAAACATAATAAATTTATAAACTTACTGTATAAGTGGTTAAGTGAGCGACACAGAAATATTGGCGAATTTCACGAATTGACGAAAATTGCTAAAATTTCCTCGAACTTAAATATCAACCAACCTGTCATTAGATTCTACTCTTGCATGATTTGCTGATATTTCCTCAACGCGAAATGTCAAGAATTTTAAATTCGCTAACTTTTCAACATGTTGAAATATCCACTTACAATGTATACAGTAAAGAATAAATTGCAAGTGTTGAGAAAAACCGTGTTTGGTTTCATTAACATTGTATTTTCTGTATTGCAAATCGTTATTTGGATATTAGTCATGATATATAAAGGTTCATCATATATTGTTCTAGGAGTTACAAGAAGAGATGGAGAGGTTAGAGAGGGAAGCCGAGGCTATACAGAGGGCCGAGGATGAGGCGAGGGAAATCCTTGCAGATGTACGCAAAAAACAAAGGGAGGAGCGCGAGACAAGAAGGAAAGCTGATCTAGGTATTATACTGTCTAAGTACAGCTTATTTTTTTTATGGAGTTATTCTGTGACCTTTTTGTGTGGGTCTATGTGTCTACCACAGGGTCAGTGTGAAGATAGGCACAGTCAAAATCTGATTTGTTCAGAATGTTATAGACAAATATTTTTGGAACATTGAAAATAAGCATCTTTCTAATACAAAAGATGTTAGGTTTCTTGACCTGTCAGTTTGATTTGCATTTCATACTATATTACCCTTGTTATAATAATCTAATGTGTCCTTTTGTATCTTAGTAATGTAACTATGCCAAATTCTGATCACATTTGATACTTTAAGAACAATTTGTCTTAAGTCATTTCTAGTGTCATTTATATCTTAATAGCATAAAGTAAGCTGAATTTTGCAAGCTATCTTTAGCTGCTAGAAATTTTCTCTCAAATTTCATGCAATATTAAACATACTGTATAAACCATTAGAACTAAAGAACATTTTCGGCAATGTTTAATTGGGCACTCTTTTCATGGTACCATGTCCCTAGATAGGCCACAATTACATAAAAATACACAATATCAGAATAATGATTGATATTGAATTTATTTATTTTCCAGAACGCAAGAAACAAGAGGCATTAGACAGACGTGAACGAGAGAAGAAAGAAATGGAAGATAAGAGACGTAAAGAGATGGAGATGATGGAGAAGATAGCAGATGCTGAGATGAGGCGAAGAATGAAAGAAGAGGAAGAAAGAAGAATAGACGAGGAAGAAAGACTTGCTCAAGAGAAATATGAGGTATGATAAATAGATTATATTACTAGTTATAAAGATTTTTGATGGGCTATATATGGCTCTATATATAATTGTTTGTATATACATGTATAACCCTAACCACTTGACAAGGGTTATTTTGCATATAACCATTTATATATGGTCCTGTAACACGTCAAGAATCTTTATTACGAATTTATAATACATCAAACTTCATGTTTTACAGAAACAATATAAAAAAAATTCATAAATTGTCAGCAGCCATGTATATAAAACTATATAAACGTCACTATTATCCAATGAAAAGCCATGTTATTAAAGAGCATTATAATAAATGTATAATATAAAGGAGAAGTAAAATACCATAGAAAAGTAGCACATAGTAGAGTGATTTTTTCCAGATTGTTTAGATTATGCTTTATTTAGGCTGCACTGTGATTTAACCAGTGTAAGAACTAACATAAAGTATCTTAAGTTTGAAAGAATTATTTTACATTTTCATTATGACAGATAGAAGAGCCCAGCTCTTCTTCTGACCATGTTGTTAATCAAACAAGATTATTTATTACAGGAGGAGATGCGGGAGGCACAGAGGATGGAGGAAGAGGAGGAGGAAAGATTGAAGGAGTTAGAGAGACAGGCCGAGGAGGAGGCAATGCAGAGGCTGATTGAGGAGAGAGAGGCTGCTGAGAGGGAACGAAGGAGACTAAGAGAGGAGGAGGAGGCCTTACGAGATGCTGAAAACATTAGAAGGTTGGCTATTAATCTTACATAATTATGTGATTTGATACCTGAAGTGCATGCATATTTGATGACTGAAATATTGCAAGGATAAGTCAAAAGATAAGGTAGATAAGGTTAATAGAAAATGTGCACACTTTCGAAGAAGGAATTTTGTCTGAACTTTATTATACCCCCAAAAACGAAGTTTGGGGGGGGGTATATAGGAGGCACCCGGTGGTCGGTTGGTTGGTCGGTCGGTCCAGACGTCCGTTGCATTTTCCTTGTCCGGAGCATAACTTGAAGACTTATGGTTGGAATTCAATATTACTACATACAATGGTCAAGCACATTGAGAGGAAGTGCAGTGCACAAGAACCATAACTCTATCTTGACTAATTACAGAGTTATTGCCCTTTATTACTTTTCCTTGTCCGGGGCATAACTTGAAAACTACTGGTTGGAATTAAAAACAACTTCATACAATTGTCAAACACAATAAGGGAAAGTGCAGTGCACAAGAACCATAACTTTATCTAAAGTAATTACAGAGTTATTGCCCTTTGTTACTTTTCCATTGCTTTCTTTTGTCTGGACCATAACTTGAAGACTAATTGTTGGAATTCATTATAACTTCATACAATGGTCAAGCACATTGAGAGGAAGTGCAGTGCACAAGAACTATAACTCTATTTCGACTTATTACAGAGTTATTGCCCTTTGTTACTTTTCCTTGTCCGGGGCATAACTTGAAAACTACTGGTTGGAATTAAAAACAACTTCATACAATTGTCAAACACAATAAGGGGAAGCGCAGTGCACAAGAACCATAACTCTATCTAAAGTAATTACAGAGTTACTGCCCTTTGTTACTTTTCCATTGCATTCTTTTGTCCGTACCATAACTTGAAGACTAATTGTTGGAATTCATTATAACTTCATACAATGGTCAAACACATTGAGAGGAAGTGCAGTGCTCAAGAACCATAACTCCATCTTGACTTACTACAGAGTTACTGCCCTTTGTTACTTTTACTTGTCCAGAGCATGACATGAAAACTACTGGTTGGAATTCAAAACAACTTCATACAATGGTCAAGCACAATAAGGGAAAGTGCAGTGCACAAGAACCATAACTCTATCTTGACTAATTACAGAGTTATTGCCCTTTGTTGCTTTTCCATTGCTTTTTTTGTCCGGAGCATAACTTGAAGACTAATGGTTGGAATTCAATATAACTTCATACAATGGTCAAGCACATTGAGAGGAAGTGCAGTGCACAAGAACCATAACTCCATCTTGACTAATTACGAGTTATTCCCTTTGTTACTTTTCCTTGTCCAGAGCATAACTTGAAAACTACTGTTTGGAATTCAATACAACTTCATACAGTTGTCAAGGACATTAAAAAGAAATGCAGTGCACAAGAGCCATAACTCCATTTTGACAAAATACAGAGTTACTGCCCTTTGATACTTTTCCTTGTCCAGAACTTAAAAGGTACTGGTTGGAATTCAAAACAACTTCATACAATAGTCAAGCACAATAAGAGGAAGTGCAGTGCACAAGAACTATAACTCCATCTTCAGTATTTATAGAGTTATTGCCCTTTGTTCCTTTTCCTTGTCTTTCTGGACTTATTACAGAGTAATTCAATAAAACTTCATCAATGGCCAACCACATTGAAAGGAAATGCAACATACAAGAACCACAACTATCTTTAATTGCCCACAACCATAACTATATTTCAATTCTTTTACAAGGTATTCTGTTACTGGTAACATCCTCATTTCCGAAGCAGTCTTGTGGGGGTATTAATCACATTTAGTGATAGTTCTAGTTTCTATTGCAATTTACTCTCAGTATGTTATAAAAAGTATACATGTATGATGTACAAAACCTCTTTTTAATCTATTGTCAGCTGTTTAATTGGAATATTTGTTATGCCCCCATTTTGAAAAAAAGGGGGTATATTGCTTTGCACTTGTCGGTCCGTCGGTCCGTAGACCAAATGGTTTCCGAGTGATAACTAAAAAGAACCCTTAGGCCTAGGAACTTCACACTTGGTATGGTGATTGGTCATGGACCAGTAAGATGACCCTATTGATTTTGGGTCAAGGGGTCAAAGGTCAAGGTCACATTGACCTTGAAAGCAAAAACGGTTTCCGATCAATAACTAAAGAACCTTAAGGCCTAGGAACTTCAAACTTGGTATGGTGATTGGTCATGACCAGTAGATGACCCCCATTGATTTTAATGGGGTCAAGGGTCAAAGGTCAAGGTCACATTGACCTTGAAAGCAAAAAACGGTTTCCGATCAATAAGAACTAAGAAGAACCTTAAGGCCTAGATACTTCAAATTGGTATGGTGATTGGTCATGACCAGTAGATGACCCCTATTGATTTTGGGGTCAAGGGGTCAAAGGTCAAGGTCACATTGACCTTGAAAGCAAAAACGGTTTCCGATTCAATAACTAAAGAACCCTTAAGGCCTAGATACTTCAAACTTGGTATGGTGATTGGTCATGACCAGTAGATGACCCCTATTGATTTTGGGGTCAAGGGGTCAAAGGTCAAAGGTCACATTGACCTTGAAAGCAAAAACGGTTTCCGATCATATAACTAAAGAACCTTAAGGCCTAGATACTTCAAACTTGGTATGGTGATTGGTCATGACCCGAGTAGATGACCCCTATTGATTTTGGGGTCAAGGGGTCAAAGGTCAAGGTCACATTGACCTTGAAAGCAAAAAAACGGTTTCCGATCAATAACTAAAGAACCTTAAGGCCTAGGAACTTCAAACTTGGTATGGTGATGGTCATCGACCAGTAGATGACCCCTATTGATTTTTTGGGGTCAAGGGGTCAAAGGTCAAGGTCAAACATTGACCTTGAAAAGCAAAAACGGTTTCCAATCAATAACTAAAGAACCTTAAGGCCTAGATACTTCAAACTTGGTATGGTGATTGGTCATGACCAGTTGATGACCCCTATTGATTTTGGGGGTCAAGGGGGTCAAAGGTCAAGGTCACATTGACCTTGAAAGCAAAAACGGTTTCCGATCAATAACTAAAGAACCTTAAGGCCTAGGAACTTCAAACTTGGTATGGTGATTGGTCATGACCAGTAGATGACCCTATTGATTTTGGGTCAAGGGGTCAAAGGTCAAGGTCACATTGACCTTGAAAGCAAAAACGGTTTCCGATCAATAACTAAAGAACCTTAAGGCCTAGGAACTTCAAACTTGGTATGGTGATTGGTCATGACCAGTAGATGACCCCTATTGATTTTGGGGTCAAGGAGTCAAAGGTCAAGGTCACATTGACCTTGAAAGCAAAAAACAGTTTCCGATCAATAACTAAAGAACCTTAAGGCCTAGGAACTTCAAACTTGGTATGGTGATTGGTCATGACCAGTAGATGACCCCTATTGATTTTGGAGTCAAGGGGTCAAAGGTCAAGGTCACATTGACCTTGAAAGCAAAAACAGTTTCCGACCAATAACTAAAGAACCTTAAGGCCTAGGAACTTCAAACTTGGTATGGTGATTGGTCATGACCAGTAGATGACCCCTATTGATTTTGGGTTCAAGGGGTCAAAGTCAAGGTCACATTGACCTTGTAGGTAAAAACGGTTTCCGATCAATACCTAAAGAACCTTAAGGCTTAGGAACATTAAAACTTGGTATGGTGATTGGTCATGACCAGTAGATGACCCCTATTGATTTTGGGTCAAGGGGTCAAAGGTCAAGGTCACATTGACCTTGTAGGTAAAAAACGGTTTCCGATCAATAACTAAAGAACCCTTATGCCTAGGAACTTCAAACTTGGTATGGTGATTGGTCATGATCAGTAGATGACCCGTATAGATTTTGGGGTCAAGGGGTCAAAGGTCAAGATCACATTGACCTTTTAATTAAATACGGTTTTCTGATCAATAACAAAAGAACCCTTAGGCCTAGGAACTTCAAACTTGGTATGGTGATTGGTTATGACCAATCAGATGACCCCTATTGATTTTGGCATTAAGGGGACAAAGGTCAAGGTTCACATTGACCTTGTAGGTAAAAACGGTTTCCCGATCAATAATAAAAGAACCCTTAGGCCTAGGGACTTCAAACTTGAGATGGTGATTGGTCATGATCAGTAGATGACCCCTATTGATTTTGGGGTCTAGGGGTCAAAGGTCAAGGTCACATTGACCTTGTAGGTAAAAATGCTTTTCGGATCAATAACTTAAGAACCCTTATGCCTAGGAACTTCAAACTTGGTATGGTGATTGGTCATGAATAGCAGATGACCTATTGATTTTGGGGTCAAGGGGTCAAAGGTCAAGGTCACATTGACCTTGTAGGTAAAAACGGTTTCCGATCAATTAACTAAAAATGCTTAGGCCTAGGAACTTCAAACTTTGTGTGATGATTGGTCATGACCAGCAGATGACCCCTATTGAGTTTTAGGTGAAGGGGTCAAAGGTCAAGGTCACATTGACCTTTTTAAGTAAAAACGGTTTCTGATCAATAACTCAAGAAACGCTTAGGCCTAGGAACTTCAAACTTGGTATGGTGATTTGTCATGACCAGCAGATTACTCCTATTGATTTTTGGGATCAAGGGGTCAAAGGTCAAGGTCACAATAACCTTGTAAGTAAAAACGGTTTTCTGATCAATAACTAAAGAACGCTTCGGCCTAGAAACTTCAAACTTGGCATGGTGATTGGTCATGACCAGCAGATGACCCCTATTGATTTTGGGGTCAAAGGTCAAGGTCACATTGACCTTTTTAAGTAAAAACGGTTTCTGATCAATAACTCAAGAACGCTTAGGCCTAGGAACTTCAAACTTGGTATGGTGATTTGTCATGACCAGCAGATTACTCCTATTGATTTAGGGGATCAAGGGGGTCAAAGGTCAAGGTCACAAATGACCTTGTAAGTAAAAACGGTTTTTTTTTTTCTGATCAATAACTAAAGAACGCTTCGGCCTAGAAACTTCAAACTTGGCATGGTGATTGGTCATGACCAGCAGATGACCCTATTGATTTTGGGGTCAAAGGTCAAGGTCACATTGACCTTGTATGTTAAAACGGTTTCAGAGATCAGTAAATAAGAGAACCCTTAGGGCCTAAGAAACTTCAAACTTGGCATGGTGATTGGTCATGACCAGCAGATGACCCCTATTGATTTTGGGGTCAAGGGTCAAAGGTCAAGGTCACATTGACCTTGTAGGTAAAAACGGTTTCTGATCAATTACTAAAACGCCTAGGCCTAGGAACTTCAAACTTTGTATGATGATTGGTCGTGACCAGCAGATGACCCCTATTGAGTTTTTGGGTCAAGGGGTCAAAAGGTCAAGGTCATGACCAGTAGATACTTTATAACCCTTATTAATTGTTTGATCACTGGGTCAGACGTCATGCATAATAACCTTATCACATGACTAATTGGCTGCTGATAGGGGGCATACATGTTTTACAAACATATCTTGTTTTCTTAAATTGTGATGTCAACAATTTAGGAATAGTTTAACATTCAAAATGCAACAATTCTTTCAGCATCAAATTTACGGCAAGGTAAAAGGTATGCAAATAGTTGTAAAAATGACAGATATGTTTCATATTTATATGCCGATATATATCTTGAATGAACTTGTCAGTATTTTAAGTTAAACAAGACCATTCATCATTTTTAGGGGAAATTTTAAAACAAGTATTGACTGAAAAGTGAACAGTGCAGGACCATTATCAGACAGTAATTTAAGATATTTTTTATGCACCCGCCATGTAATGGTCGGGGTATATACTGTTACCCTGTTCCGTCCTTCAATCATTCCGTCATTCTGTCATTCCGTCATCATCAGTTTCCGTTCATTATCTTAGTAACGGTTGCACACATTCAACTCAAATTTGACATATGGATATGTCATGAGAAAGTACAGGTCAAGTTCAAATTTGGTCATGGTTTGATGATTTTTGGCAGAGTTATGCCCCTTTTACTTAAAAATAATATGAAATTTTCAGTTTCCGTTCATTATCTCCGCAACGGTACAACACATTCAACTCAAACTGAACATATGGATTTGTCCAAGAGAAAAAACAGGTCAAGTTCGAATTTGGGTCATGGTTCGATGATTTTTGGCAGAGTTTGCCCCTTTTACTTTGAAAATAATATGAAATTTTCAGTTTTCCGTTCATTATCTCCCCAACGGTTACAACACATTCAACTCAAACTTTGATATATGGATATGTCATGAGAAAATACAGGTCAAGTTTGAATTTGGTCATGGTTCGATGATTTTTGGCAGAGTTATGACCCTTTTACATTGAAAATAATATGAAATTTTCAGTTTCTGTTTATTATCTCCCCAACGGTACAACACATTCAACTCAAACTTTGCATATGGATATGTCAAAGGAATGCGCAAGTAAAGTTCAAATTTGGTCATGGTTCAATGATTTTTTTGCAGAGTTATGCCCCTTTCACTTTGAAAATAATATGAAATATTCAGTTTCTGTTTATTATCTCCCCAACGGTACAACACATTCAACTCAAATTTGACATATGGTTATGTTTTTGGAATTCGCAGGCCAAGTGCGAATTTGGTCGTGGTTCAATAATTTTTGGCAGAGTAATACCCCTTTCACTTTGAAAATAATATGAAATTTACAGTTTCTGTTCATTATCTACCCAACAGACTGTTACATATTCAACTCAAATTTGACATATGGATATGTCAAAGGAATGGGCAGGTCAAGTTGGAATTTGGTCATGGTTCGATGATTTTTTGGCAGAGTTATGTCCCTTTCACTTTAAAAATGATATAGATACATCTTAGGAATAAGCAGTTTAAGTTTGAATTTGGTCGTGGTTCAATGATTTTGGGCAAATTTATCTTTCCTGAATGTTGGAAAAATTTTGAACTTTCAGTTTCAGCACTCATACTTTTGTGGAAATGTATGTAGCCATTATTTTGGCTACAAATATGCAATATGCTATTTTCAAAAGGTTAAGACTGAATAATTTCAGTGCCTTGAACATTGTATAAAAATGGTTTGTGTTAACATTGAAAAGTTTAAGGGCTTTGAACTTAAAATGAAAAAAATAATTTGTGCAAACAAATTTGGATCTAAATATTATAACATCTGAAATTTTGGCTGCATGCGGGGGCATCCGTGGCATGATGACACATTTCTAGTTGTTGAAAGTGATATTGTACAATACCAAAATAACAAGGTGCTGACTGGCTTTACAGTGAATTTGATCTTGATTTGAACTTTTGATTATTAGACAAGCAATGGAAGAAGAACATCAAAGACTGGAGGCAGAGAGAAGAAAAATGCAGGAAGCTGAGGACGCTAAGAGGGAGGCTGAGAGACAGAGATTATTAGAGGTAAACTTTACGTATTATGTTTGTAAATTGTTTAATCATTTTTTTGGGGGGGTCCAATACTGTTAGTTAACAAGCATGTTGTATGTGTAAAGATTGGATGTAAATGATTGTACCTTCATTTCTTTTTGTAAATCACTGTTGAAAATTATGTAACATTATGTTTTTTTCCTAAATTTGTATTATTATTTTTACCAAAAATGTTGCTAACCACTAAAAAAAATTCAAGCCTCAATTTACTCTATTTTTCTGACTGTAGCTTTTACTTTTAATCTTTGACAGGTGTAAACTATGCCTTCAAATAGCTAAATACAGTTTTATCTTAAAAAGATATACCACTTCTATAACATTTGAGCCTCTAGAAATTTTGTGTGTCTCAGTTGTATGTGTAAGAACTACATGTATAATTTTTCACAAATTATCAGCTTCGTCGTCTAGAACAAGAAGCGAGAATAAAGATGCAGGAGGAAATTGAGAAACGACGTACTGACGCACTCGCAAGACGCGACTATAATCTCGAGAACAGACAACATGTAGATAAACTTAGACACTACCAAGGTATAACTAGAGCATGGACGTTTTCCTACTTTGTTCAGTGGCCTAGGGAAACATATGAAAGGTAAATATCTTGGTGGTTTTTCTTGTGATTTCTCATAGTAAATTAGTGCAAGGAAAATTTATTGTTATTTGGTGTAAATCATGTTAAATGTGTAGAAAGCATTATATACAATTAGGATTTTGATTTTGATTGTTTATTAGCAAGTAAATTTGTTGTAAGGAGTGGTGGCGTGGCCGAGTGGTTAACACTTTGGACTTGTAATCTTAGAATTGCTGACCATGTGGGTTCAAACCCTGTCAGGGCAAGTCGTTGTTTCCTTGAGCAAGAAACTTAACATTCATTGCTTAGTACTGGCTGGTTCCAGGAACGAATTCGATAGTGTTCAATAAGCTTATAGCTTCAAAAATGATCAAACTAAAATAAATTTGTATAAACTAAATTCGTTTTAAATCTAAGTACATGTATTTCCTTTTTCTAGCATCATGGTTGTTGAAAATGTTTGAATATTTTTATGCGTGTAAATATAATCATATTATGTGATGAATAAGATGGATTTGTTGGTATTTTATACCACTGGTTATATATGAATCGGTATTTGATGGAACTTTTTTTGGTTTAAAGTGAATTGGTCTGTAATGGAAGATCAGTTTTTTTAGTTATACACGTATAATAAATAATTATGTTGATACTATTTTGTATCAAACCATGAAAGATTTATAAATGAATGTGAGAAACATGATACAATATTACATTTATATATATAGCAGATAATAAAGTGGTCTAGAGCAAAATATTATTATTCATCATGTGAATGTTCATACTAAATCCCTTAGAATTTTATCAACAATTTATTTTTTTGAATATTTCATGAAAATATCTAAATGATACATATCCATTGATTTTATCAATATTTGAAATAATTATGGAAAATGTGTCAATTGTAGACCAATTCACTTAAAGCTATATATAGCTTGTTAATTTATAATGATTATTAATTGGCAGAAATTGCACTGAAGCAATATGCAAGTTATCGTTATTCATGATTCATACAAAATTAATAGGATATTTGAAATAATTTTATTATGCCCCCATTTCGAAGAAAAGGGGGTATATTGCTTTGCACTTGTCGGTCCGTCGGTCCGTCGGTCCGTCGGTCCGTAGACCAAATGGTTTCCGAGTGATAACTAAAGAACCCTTAGGCCTAGGAACTTCAAACTTGGTATGGTGATTGGTCATGACCAGTAGATGACCCCTATTGATTTTGGGGTCAAGGGGTCAAAGGTCAAGGTCACATTGACCTTGTAAGCAAAAACGGTTTCCGATCAATAACTAAAGAACCTTAAGGCCTAGGAACTTCAAACTTGGTATGGTGATTGGTCATGATCAGTAGATGACCCCTATTGATTTTGGGGTCAAGGGGTCAAAGGTCAAGGTCACATTGACCTTCTAAGGAAAAACGGTTTCCGATCAATAACTAAAGAACCTTAAGGCCTAGGAACTTCAAACTTGGTATGGTGATTGGTCATGATCAGTAGATGACCCCTATTGATTTTGGGGTCAAGGGGTCAAAGGTCAAGGTCACATTGACCTTGTAAGGAAAAACGGTTTCCGATCAATAACTAAAGAACCTTAAGGCCTAGGAACTTCAAACTTGGTATGGTGATTGGTCATGATCAGTAGATGACCCCTATTGATTTTGGGGTCAAGGGGTCAAAGGTCAAGGTCACATTGACCTTGTAAGGAAAAACGGTTTCCGATCAATAACTAAAGAACTTTAAGGCCTAGGAACTTCAAACTTGGTATGGTGATTGGTCATGATCAGTAGATGACCCCTATTGATTTTGGGGTCAAGGGGTCAAAGGTCAAGGTCACATTGACCTTGTAAGCAAAAACGGTTTCCGATCAATAACTAAAGAACTTTTAGGCCTAGGAACTTCAAACTTGGTATGGTGATTGGTTATGACCAGCAGATGACCCCTATTGATTTTGGGGTTAAGGGGTCAAAGGTCAAGGTCACATTGACCTCTTGGGTAAAAACGGTTTCCGATCAATAACAAAAGAACCCTTAGGCCTAGGGACTTCAAACTTGATATGGTGATTGGTCATGATCAGTAGATGACCCTTATTGATTTTGGGTTCAAGGGGTCAAAGGTCAAGGTCAGATTGACCTCTTAGGTAAAAACGGTTTCCGATCAATAACTAAAGAACCCTTAGGCCTAGGAACTTCAAACTTGGTATGGTGATTGGTCATGACCAGCAGATGACCCCTATTGATATTGGGGTTAAGGGGTCAAAGGGCAAGGTCACATTGACCTTGTAGGTAAAAATGCTTTCCAATCAATAACTTAAGAACCCTTAGGCCTAGGAACTTCAAACTTGGTATGGTGATTGGTCATGACCAGCAGATGACCTTTTGATTTTGGGGTCAAGGGGTCAAAGGTCAAGGTCACATTGACCTTGTAGGTAAAAACGGTTTCCGATCAATTAACTAAAAACGCTTAGGCCTAGGAACTTCAAACTTTGTATGATGATTGGTCGTGACCAGCAGATGACCCCTATTGAGTTTTGGGTCAAGTGGTCAAAGGTCAAGGTCACATTGACCTTGTAAGTAAAAACGGTTTCTGATCAATAACTTAAGAACGCTTAGGCCTAGGAACTTCAAACTTGGCATGGTGATTTGTCATGACCAGCAGATTACCCCTATTGATTATGGGATCAAGGGGTCAAAGGTCAAGGTCACATTGACATTGTAAGTAAAAACGGTTTCTGATCAATAACTAAAGAACGCTTCGGCCTAGGAACTTCAAACTTGGCATGGTGATTGGTCATGAGCAGCAGATGACCCCTATTGATTTTGGGGTCAAAGGTCAAGGTCACATTGACCTTGTATGTTAAAACGGTTTCCGATCAATAACTAAAGAACCCTTAGGCCTAGGAACTTCAAACTTGGTATGGTGATTGGTCATGACCAGCAGATGACCTATTGATTTTGGGGTCAAGTGGTCAAAGGTCAAGGTCACATTGATCCTTGTAGGTAAAAACGGTTTCTGATCAATTAACTAAAAATGCTTAGGCCTAGGAAATTCAAACTTTGTATGATGATTGGTCGTGACCAGCAGATGACCCCTATTGAGTTTTGGGCCAAGGGGTCAAAGGTTAAGGTCATGACCAGTAGATACTTGATAACCCTTATTAATTGTTTGATCACTGGGTCAGAAGTCATGCATAATAACCTTATCACATGACTAATTGGCTGCTGATAGGGGGCATACATGTTTTACAAACATATCTTGTTTTACCAGTCATGGAAGGCGTAAGCTTGAGAGGAGGAATAGGTAAAAAGACAACCTGAAAACAGTTTTATGAACAATTCCTTGTTTTGTAACATTTTTACGATAATGTTATACCATAAACAATTGTTTGCATTCTATTCAAGGTTCAAATTTGATATAGCAAATCTCTTATGCTATTATGTTCATGGGTCATGGACAATACTTCGCATATACCACTACAGTACTGTCCATGAACAAACTTGATCAAACCAAGCCTGCAACATTTTCAATGTTTATGGTTTATATTTTTGACCATTTTGATATTTCTATTATCTACAGGTATATTGTGATCTATGCAAAAATTTTGATTCTGTATTTTAGTTTGAACAAAACATAATTTATAAATACAAAAAAAAAGTTGTAAATTATATAAGAATCTCTTGAAATTATTAGATTACATTAAGATGAACCTACTATCTATTCCAAAAAGAAAGATGTACAGGTATTCAATATTCCTTTAGAAAGATACTTATATACATGTTCACAAGTGGACTATGAGATGTAATGCAAACAAATTGTTTTGATATAACATATATATTTTCTAACATGTCACTACAGATCAGTGCCTCTGCATCCACTAAGATATGATATGTGTGCTCTATATATATAACAGATTATCTCTTTCAGAGTGGAACCTGAGCCATATTATCCAGGCATTTGCATATTTAACATATTAATAACATCTGTCATATGTAGCAATTCAGATCGGAATATCCATCCCTAGAGAACTCGCCAATGGATTGGAACCCCAAGGGGCTGATATTCTGATCTGAATCGCAAATACATGTCAGATATTTTTTCTTGCATATTCGACCATATTCTACCATGTTTTAAATGATAAACCTCAATGAATTAACACTGTCATTTCATCTGTTACTTTTTTAAAACAGTAGCGAATGACTTCAAAACTTCATTCATAAAGGCGAAATGACATCTTCCTTTGCACACAGTTTTATTCTAAATGCACAAAAATGACATCATTTTTTACAGTTTATTCATAAAATGTACATAAATTATGTCATTTTAAAGCAATAACTGATCTGGCATCTTCATGCCTGATGAAATTTCCGGAATTGGTAAAACTAATAGAAACGTCTGTCCAATATGCAAGAACAGATTATATTATGTTGAAATATCATTGAACTTTAATACATTAAGCTGATTACCTTCCCACTTGTGTGTTCCATTCAAACTGTTGTGAATTATAATTCAAGAGTTATTGCCCTTTCTAAACCTGTTTGATTCTAATTCTGTTGAAAACATAAAAACAAATGCAACATTTCATTTTCAGTGTTACCAGTATAATAATGTTGTATATATAACATTAACCCATTACCATTTGGTAATAAAAAGATGAAAATTTTAAATCATATCCAGTATTGAGACTGGTCAGACTGCACAGATGTACAGGCTTGCCTGGCTCTATACTGGTGGCAAATATGATCAAATTTAGGTTTCAGTAGGTTGTGATTCCGGCAGGTTAAGGGTTAAAAAATGCATATAAAGAAAAGTTATTACATAAATGCATAAAATGTAATAAATGACAAATTAATAGAGCAGTATTATCATCACATTTCATATTCATAAAATTATGAGTTTTGTTTTTCAAAATAGATGTGTTTCAATTAAACTGATCACTTTTTTGTGTTGCTTTTACAAGTTTTTGCAAGAATAATTCATTACTCACAATATTTTTTACTACATGTTTTCCATTGTTCAATTTATTCTTGGTTTTATTATTAAAGCAATAGTTTATTATAGTAGTGCTGTAGGGAGGGTGTGAATATCATTTGCTTAGGAGGTATTTTAACACCCAGCATGTATTGGTTGATGTCAAATGCCATTTGTCTACTGTAACTCCTTCAAATTAATTCATATTGATAACTTGACATTTATTTATATAAAAACATTGCTGGTAAAGAATAAAAATAAAATAAACTTTTTAATCCACTGAATTCGTTTAATGGATATACCTGACTTTAAATTTAGAATGGTGCTTCCAAAGTATAAGGGATTTCAATATCAAAACATAAAAATTCAACTACCAACGGTATAGAGCCTTAGTCTGGAGTTCCTTTCCCTTACACTAAGTTACTTTCCAATTTCCGTAGAAAATAAAGACAGGGAACCTGACTAGATAGAGCCTATTCAAATGAGCCGTGTCACGACAAAACCAGCCTGCGCATCCGCGCAGTCTGATCAGGATCCATGCTGTTGGCTATCAGTTTCTCTACTTGTAATAGGGTTGATAAGCGAACAGCATGGATCCTGATCAGACTGCGCGGTTGCGCAGGCTGGTCTGGATCCATGCTGGTCGCAAACCCATTATGTTGGTTTTGTCGTTACGCGGCTCAAATTGCAAGCAAGGTTAAATGTTAAGTAACTTCCTACTGTTATATTTAATGGAAGGCACCAGAATGATCTAAACCGTAATAAACAACATATCCATAAGCTATACATATGCAGCAATACATTGTACAGCCATATATAATGCTTTCATATTTCACACGCTTGGGGCTTGCCAATTAAATAATCTAATGCTTTTTATATAAGACATTTACGCTGTGTATTGATTATTACTTTATCATATAAGGTGTACAATTAATATAAAAATTATTCTGTCCTCACACATAATTTATATCGAAGATATACCATTATTATCTGTTTTAAGATTTTCAGTACATGTACTTTTGCAATATTCTGTTATGACTAAAAACTGTATCAGGTTTTGCATCAAAATTGAAATTATTTTGAAAATAAAATACATTTTCTTTCCTTTTAACAAGGATTGTCTAAAATATAAAATACCTTGAAATTGGTAGCTGTTAGTCCATGAGGTTGACAGTTTATTGAATGGGGTTAAAATTTCATGCAAGAATGTGAAGGATTTTTTTTGTGGGGTGAGATGCCTCAATTTTTATCAACTTCCATGAAATATCTTTTAAACCAGTATTTAAGACAGGTAAACAAAAATACTTACATATGTAAGGAAAGTCACCAATTTTGTCAGCAGACAAACACCAATAAGACTCGAATATTTTTATCGGTACTAAAGCTACATCTTGGAATACATAAATAAATTTAACAATTCATTTTTTTCAGACCTATTGGAGCAGGTGATCCACGCAAGGTAGTTAAAATAAATAATCCTAAACCGAAAAAACCTGCTGATGTTCCACCGGAATCTGGAGAAGCACCTGCACCGGCTATACCGTGATATTTCAAACATTTTCAACCAGATAATTTACCACATCTTCTGCTAATGTAAAAATGTTTCGGAAATCATGTTCAACATTTTTCCAGTTAAAAATTTTTATTCAGTCAATGTCACAGTCTGTCAGGGAGAAATGTTTCACTTTTATATTATCTCTCTTAAACAGCCTCGATCAAACTGATTTTGCAATTTTTTATATATAATGTTGTTGTTTTCATTGCTACCATGGAGTGACCCCATTTCAGGAATTTTTTCAAAAACATTTCAGTTTTATTGATAAGTCTGGTAAAATGGAAATATATACTTGAAATTAAAAAAGATTTTAAGTAATGAAATATTAGTTCTTAAAGAATTATGAACAGTTATGTTGAATTTTAATGTCTGTTTATCTGTGATGTTAGGGTAAAATTTGTTATGCTGTGATAAACCAGTTGTCATTATAATTATAGAATTATGTTGCTTAATAGATATTTGTTATACTATATAGTCTTTGATAAGAGTTTATTTTATTTATTAAACCATACATTAAATTTTATTTAATGAAACTTTACTGTTTTTTTATTGAAGATTTTTATTCTCACTAGCATAGACAAACTGAAATCCTTTTTCATTTTACTGCCAGTTTCTATTCTGTCTGTATGCCTACTTACATTTTTTACATGTATATATATTTCTGTGTGCACTTGTTACCATGGTTTTCTGTTGTAAATGTGCCTTTATTATTATGTAAGCAATATATACAATATACAACAATAAATTTTTCAAATTTTTCTACAATGTTTATTGTTTATATCACAGCCAACTATTACATTAAAGCAACAAAAAATTAGCATGTAGTGATAAGCAAAATGAAATTTCTGTACAGTGTCCCTCCCTAACCTTTCACATTCTCTAGTTTGAACATATTTATTTTTGCTTGATTAAAGCTGGAATTAATTTTGAGCCTCCCTCAGGTCCACCCGACACTAACCAGTATAGTGGTGTCATATCGAGGAAATATAGTTATGACGCCAAAATTTTTATTAAAATATCTAGACCACAATATTTGTGTACTGTAACACTCTTCTTTTTAATGCAAGTTACCTCCCTTAGAAAGTTTCTGAATTATTACATTGTCTTTGATAAAAGTTTGGAAAGCTTTAATTACAGCCATACAATAATCAAATTAATTACTTGACCTAACCTATTTATCTATATAAACTAATATAATTATGCTATGGTTATTGTACCATGTCTTTGCAACATAACTTTCCCCCAAAATAAAAATAAAAAATTGTTCCAGTTGAATGAAACAGTCAGGAATGGTTTCTTAAAGAAAATCTCCATCACACCCATTTAAAAGTAAACAGTGTGTAAAACAAATAAAAATACACCCCAAATGAACATTAACCCAAAGTTACATTTATAAATAAATTAAAAACAACAGCAGAAGATTAATAAAAGGCGCTGAATTTGTTTGGGTCTCAGAATGTCGGGTGAAGGTTGTGAGACTAAATTGGCTATAAGACTTATTGCAACACTGATATTCAATTCAATGTTTATTTTGCTTAAACAATTTAAAAAAATTGTCTTAACTGAGATTTGAACTCTCTAGACCTCTCGCTTCCTAAGTGAGATTGTAAACCCCTCGACCACAGGAATGTTATGATTTAAGAGCCTGAAGAAAACTATTATTCTAAATTAGGGTTTGTAACCCTTATTAATTTCGATATATTTTGTTCACGGTAAACCTGTTGTTTAATTAACACTGATGTAAACAAGAGCCATGTCAACATGGCCATCCCCCGCCAAATGTGTTTGCTCATTGGAAGAATGTTTATGTAGTAGAGCAGAATAAATCAATATTAAGAGGTCTTTTGGTAATGAAAACTGATGGCTGAAGTGATAACAGATTTGAAACTTATGTGAATACTGATGGCTGAAAATAACAAAGGGCAATAACTGAAAAATAATGCAGGGTAGGTTATCATTCTTGTGTGCTGCACCCTCCTCAGTAAAATCTATCCACCTATGAAGTTTCAAGTTGATATCGCAAATACATTTTGAGATAAGCTCCCAACAAAATATATGAAAAAGAACAAAGGGCAATAACTCAAAAATTGTATAGGGAAGAGTTATCATTCTTGCGCACAGCATTCCTCCTCAATAAAATCTATCCACCTATGACATTTCATGTTGACATCTCAAACACTTTTGAGTTATGCTCCACTTGAGTGAAAAATTAAGTATGAAAAATAACAAAGGGCAATAACTCAAAAATAATGAAAGGTAGAGTTATCATTCTTGTGCACTGCACACCTCCTGAGTGAGATCTATGCACCTATTAAGTTTCATGTTGATATCTCTAACCCTTTTTGAGTTATGCTCTAGACAAAATAAATTTTGAAAAATAACAAAGGGCAATAACTCAAAAATCATGCAGGGTAGAGTTATCATTCTTATGCACTGAAATCCTCCTCAATGAGATCCATCCACCTATGAAGTTTCAAGTTGATACCTCAAATACTTTTTGAGATAAGCTCAGGACAAAATAGTATGAAAGGGCAATAACTCAAAAATTATATAGGGAAGAGTTATCATTCTTGCACACAGCATTCCTCCTCAATAAGATCTATCCACCTATGACATTTCATGTTGACATCTCAAACACTTTTTGAGTTATGCTCCACTCAGGTGAAAAATAAGAATAAGAAATAAGAATAACACAATATTAGAAATCTTCGATCAATCGGGAACTATTTTTTCTTTCCCGAGAAGGCTTGAAAATTAATGCGCCTGTCATTTGACAATCTTTACGCAGTGATCTCCCCTTAATTTTTCAGCGTTAGTGTACATATAAAGGGCAGTTACCACTTCGAGGAGTTTGGACTACTGGTTTCGGTTTTTGCAAATAAGCACATCGGGGTCTGAAATTTCGCTATCATTATTTGTTTGGTCAAATAAAAACAATATAGCTGCTATATACAACAACAAATAAATGATATGTTAATATTGGATGTTTTTGTTTTCATAAAAATATTATTCTGATAAAAAGTTAAAAAGAAAACAACAACAATTTAAAGCAAATTCAAATAGTGAGCGTCTGGGTAAATTGTATAAAGCTATACACCTGCTGCAAAAATTAAAAATAAATGTTTGAATTTGAAAAAAAAAGAATACTTCAAAAATACCCATATGAAAGACAAATGTCAGTATATTTCTATCAGAGTAAAATTTAATGGTGCCTGCATAAAATCATTGATAAATTGTAAAAGATCTACTTAAAATAACAGCATGATAATTTTATTTTGTTCCAAATCATTTAATTCTGTTTACATACAATATTCATGTGTGTTAAATAATGGAGACAATCTATGTTAAATCTCTTTTCAAGCATCAACTATAAGATTATAGAAACAATATAATAATTATGTTAACAATAAACGTGATTGAAATGACGTTTGGAATAGTGGTGATAAATTATGATGATGATAAGGAAGATGATGATGGTAGTGATGATAATGATGATGATAAGCGTCATTATTATTATCGTAATTATTTAAGGTATGATGTAGATAATGAAGATTCGAGGAATGTAGATTGGGATGGTGTTGATGATTATGCAATATAATGGTGATAAGGAGAATGATGGTGATAATTGTTAGTTTCATTGTATGTTTGGGTCTTTTCTCTTTATTCCTTAGATCAATATCTATATGAATATGTTGATGACAATGATGGCTATTAGTTCAGATTATTTAAAAAAAAATGTGTATTTTTTACATTGCCATGGCAAAATTTTGCCATGGTCTTGCCGAATCATATAGAAGCGCAATTTATTTTGCTGACAATACCTGGTAGGATGATCTAGGTGTTGATTGGGACCTGTAACAACAGAAACAAAATAAAACGAATCATTATTTACAAAAAAAATATTATACATGTACACTATGATGACGAAATCTGCAGTAAGTGTAGTTTTGGAAATTTATACATGTTTCATTGTTATAAAACCCTAATGACCTAGGTAAGTACAGTACTAGGGAAATCTCATAATTTTGAACTAATCAAAACCTTAGTTCTCCAAAGGTACAGAATCATTACAAGCCAGATTATCCTTCTTTTAAGCATTGCATCAAACTTACAGATTTATATCTGTTATAATAGGTGAATATTCACGAGTTTAGTAAACAGACACAAGTACTAATTAAAAGGTTAGATCAGGACACTTTTTTTTAAAATACAGGTTATTAGTTCAACTAAGACGTCACCATTTTTAACCAGTTTTTTGTTAATCAAGGTTTGATTTGTAGCCAGAAAGTTGTCATTAAAGAAATAAAGAAAAAAAAAAAGACAGACAATTTAATATTGTCTAAAGTCCATGTAAATAGAACTAATACCATTGACATAATTAAAAAAACATGTGTCAAACTTATTTTCATCATAAAGCAACAAAAGTGAGACTTTTTCAACAACAACAAAAATAATTGAGATAGATAGATAGATAGATAGATTAGATAGATTAGATAGATAGATAGATAGATAGATAGATAGATAGATAGATTAGATTAGATTAGATTAGATTCGATTCGATTCGATTCGATTCGATTCGATTCGATTCGATTCGATTAGATAGATAGATAGATAGATAGATTAGATAGATTAGATAGATAGATTAGATAGATTAGATAGATAGATAGAGATAGATAGATAGATAGATAGATAGATAGATAGATAGATAGATAGATAGATAGATTAGATAGATAGATTACATAGATAGATTAGATAGATAGATAGATAGATAGATAGATAGATTAGATAGATAGATTAGATAGATAGATTAGATAGATAGATTAGATAGATTAGATAGATAGATTAGATAGATTAGATAGATAGATTAGATAGATAGATAGATAGATAGATAGATAGATAGATAGATAGATAGATAGATAGATAGATAGATAGATAGATAGATAGATAGTTGGGGTTGGGTGGGGTGGGGTGGGGTAGGGTAGGGTAGGTAGGTATTGTAGGTTAATACATACTATTTATCTCATTTTGTACATTTTATAACAGATAATGACCTGTGTTAAAAATATTTTGATCGATTTTAAAATCAATTTACTGGAGTATTCATCAATATATAAGTTTCACCCTATTGAATAAAAATTTAGTAAATGAAATTTTAATTAAGACCTATGGAGACACTTGATTGTATTATGTCGAAGAAACATCAACCTTTAGGTGCCATTCTACATAAATTGGAAGCTAAAACACTTAACTTTCAAATGACCTTTAATCGTTAACAACAAAAAATATGTAACTTAGAAATTATCTTTCAAATCATGTAGCAGATGGTATTTTACAAAGAATGAAAATTTAAACTACAATGTAGTGCAATTTATTTCTTTTAAGCATTGTATGATTAAAGGAATTATAAATCATAATCACAAATTTATGAAAACATGAGATTCATTATCCTACTTTTTGAGTAATCTTCCTCTAAAAATAAGTTTTTGGCTCTTTCAATGTCCAATTTCAATTTCCATATTTATGTTAAAGGCAAATATATATTATCAATTTGTTAAGAATAATAATATAATATAATTATTATCTATATTGATAGAGAAATAACATTCATTTCCCTGGCGGAGTTCCGACAGTGCAATTAGATCTGTGTTTTATTTTCTTGCATTGATATTAACCACAATTATCATACACTTATATTCCTGCATTTGAAATTCAAATGAAATGAACATACAAAGATGATGGTTTTCTTTATAATTTTTTCTTTATCATCTTATGCAATAATTATCATAAATCTCATGATTTATGAACACTTTCCACTATTCAGTTGTATTGGGTGGCTTGAATTATATTCTATAAAATTAATTGGATAACAAAAAGAAGTTCACACATTTTTTGATCAGGGGAGGTAACTCTGATTTGATGTCATAACAGAAAAGTCAAGTGTCTTAAAACACTATTTGCAAAAAAAGAATAAAGGGATTTCATCATGCATTTTGCTAAATGGAAGAAGAACATCAAAGACTTGAGGAAGAGAGAAAAAAATGCAGGAAGATGAGGACGCAAAGAGGGAGGCTGAGGGACAGCGATTATTAGAGGTAATGTTTTATGTTTGTAAATTGTTTAATCTTTTTTTTTGGATTGTTAGTTAACAAGCATGTTGTATGTGTAAGTATTGTTTGTAAATGATTGTACTTTCATAATTTTGTTGTGTAAATCACTGTTGAAAATTAAGTAACATTATTATTTTTTCATATAATTGTATGATTTCATTTGCTAAAAATGTTGCTAACCACTAAAAAAATTCAAGCCTGAATTTACTTAATTATCTTTCCGACTGTAGCTATTACATGTACCTTACATTTTTGGCATGTGTAAACTTAAATACAGTGTTTATCATGAAAAAAATATACCACTTCTAAAACATTTGAACTTCCAGAAATTTTGTGTGTCAAAGTTGTATGTGTAAGAACTGTATTTTTTCCCACAAAATTAACAGCTTCGTCGTCTTGAACAAGAAGCGAGGCTAAAGGAGCAGGAGGAAATTGAGAAACAACGTGCCGCCGAAGACGCAAGACGCAACTTTTATCTCGAGAACAGACAACACCTGGAACAACTTAGACACTACCAAGGTATAAGTAGAGCACGGACGTTTTCATACTTTAAATTTGTTCGAAGGCCTAGGGAGACACATGAAAGGTAAATATCTTGATGGCTTTTCTTGTGATTTATCATAGTAAATTAGCACAAGTAAACTGATTGTTATTTGTTCAAATCATGTTAAATGTAAAGAAAGCATTATGTACATTTAGGATTTTGATTTTAATTTTTTATTACGAGTAAATTTGTTGTAAGGAGTGGTGGCGTGGCCGAGTTGTTAACACTTTGGACTTGTAATCTTAGAATTGCTAACCATGTGGGTTCAAACTCCGTCAGGGGCAAGTTGTTGTTTCCTTGAGCAAGAAACTTTACATTTTTTGCTTAGTACTGGTTGGTTCCAGGAATAAATTCAAGAGTGTTTCAATAAGCTTTTAGCTTCCAACACGATCAAATTAAAATAAATTTGTTTTGAAACGAAGTACATGTATTTCCTTTTTCTAGCATCAAGTATGTTGAATATGCTTGAATATTTTTATATGTGTAATAATCATATTATGTGATGAATAAGGTGGATTTGTTCATACATGTATTTTGTAGTATTTTACAATTTTACACCACTGGTTATATATGAATCGGTATTTGATGGGACTATTTCTGGTATAAAGTGAATTGCTCTATATGTAGGGCCATTTTTTTAGTTTTAGATATACATGTAAAATAAATAATTATGTTGATAGTCAGACATAAAAAGAAACCAAAAAAGAATTATAAACGGATGCGAGATACATGTTCAGATATGTCATAATTTTATTCTTATATCGCAAAGAGTAGTGTTCTAGAACAAAACATTATTATTCTTCATATAAATTTTCATGCTAAAATCCCTTTGAATATTTATCAATATTCTTTTTATGCCACCGCAGCATCTGCGATGCGGTTGTGTAAAGCGATTCACCTGTGTGTGCGTGTGTGCGAGTGTGTGTGTGTTATAATGTTAACTTAAAAAATCTTCTTGTGAAAAAGCACTAGTCCAATTTCAACCAAACTTGGCATGATTGTTCCTTGTGTGAAGGGCTTCCAAAATTGTTCAAAAAATTTGATTCCATGCAGAAATCAGGTTGCCATGGCAACCAAAATGAATTATAAGAATAAATTTAAAAATCTTATTATAAAGACGCACACGGCCTAGAGCTTAGATATTTCGCTTATGGCATTGTCTGGTAAACCTCTACCAAGATTGTTCAAATTATAGCCCTTGGGTTAAAATTGGCCCCGCCCTTGGGGTCATTGATTGTCATTATGTACATATAGTAAAAACTTAAAAGATCTTCTTGTATGAAATGAAACAACTTACATTGGAATGTCTTATACATGTTATGCAATTTTTATGTAATATTCAATAGCTGGGAGTAAGTCTAAAGGTAATGATTTTCAGAGATATCTATGAAGTGATTCAGGTCATGAACTCTGGCAAGACAGTAGTGAGCATTGTAGAGATATTAAATGAAACAATTTTAGCACATTATAAGGACATTATGATTCACACCATGTTTATAATAATGATTATGTTTTTAGAAATTGGTTATGTTTGATTGAAAAGATGGTATTTAAGAAAAAGTTACTGTACCTGCATTTCAAAGTTTCATACAGCTATATAATACAGTTAATATCTATTTTTTGTCAATAAAAAGTTCTTTTAGTTTTGAATAAATTATTGCACTATGGCCTTTGTATCTTAAGAATAGACACATTTGCACATGTGTCTAATACTTTGACATGCTGAAATATGACCTTGACCTCCTAATTCACTAGACACTACTGCATTATGGCAAAGTTCAATTGTACAGTAACAAAAAATCTACTTCTGTTATATTAATGAAAATTGCAATACTTAAGCGATATGTAATACGTTAAGTTAGAGTTATTCATGATTCAAATAAAATTAATAGGATATTTGAAATATTTTTGCGACGGACGCGCCCTCAGGCGCGTTCAGAGCTAAGTCATTTACACATGGGATTTCGTTGGCTACACTCGCGCAATGTGTCCTAAACCAATTAACAGACTAAGAAATAGTACATGAATTTGATCCTTCAAAACTCCCATACTTTGTCTGGATATCTTAATGTCTTCCATATTTAGCCTTTTCAATTTCAAATTAAGTTATCCAAGTTAAAATATGAACGTATATTATTGATAAAAACGTTGTAGTCCCGTAGTATTATTGCGCAATATGCAAATTACTGCTGAAACGATTTACCGCTGTCGAAAAAGTAGGACAGCAAATTATACTACAATAAAGGTGTAACCTCTGAGTTCCAAGACATTATTAGTAGGAAATAAATATTTCTACATTATACAAAACATTATTATTAACAAATCAAAAGTTTTTCGTGACTCTAGGATAACTCGCGCATTAATAAAAGAAGAACTATTTTCGTGACTCATACCGCGGGTTTAGCTGAATATTCAGCAGTTATTAATATATTAGATACAGTAGAAAGGCTAGTATAAATATCTATTTTTGAAAATGCATGTAAGACACTTTACCGGCATGTAGTCTTTCATGGTAAGGAAGTTATAATATCAGTTCTACTTCCGATTCTTGTGGTTTGTTTACATATTTTACTAGGTCATGATATGAGTTAACCTTCGCTATTCTAAAAATAGATTCTGCTCCACCTGTTCTGATTTTTGGACAGGCGATTAGGAAGTACACATTAAACATGTAATTAATAAACCAGCGGATTGTAATGCAATACTTTTAGAAATGCTATACAATTGTAAGAAGCAAACAAGTTGAAAATGGAATTTAGTGTGAAGTTGAAAAGGACAACTAAACACTGTAGTGCTTAAGTGACATTTAAATTAAAATAAAAACGATGTGCTCTGGCCTCTACATCTTTACCTTGTAAATAAAAAAAATCTAAGAAATACACTATTAATTGCTGATGATTTTAACCATTTTTTTTTAATGAGACATATCCAAGAGAAATAAAATTACAAATGACTTTTATTTTATTGTCTGTATGCCCACTATGATATAACACGAAGCAATTCTAAATAGCATTCTCAAATGTATAATGTATTATGTTTGAAGTTTATTTGCCTGGATTTATTCTAGAAATATTTCGTTGATAGTTTTTTTTCTATTTACATATCATTTCTTAGAATAAATCGATAAGGACACTGATTTACAAGTTTGACCAGAGTTTTTAGGCATAAATTTCATTCTGTATTTAAGTGCTTGAAAGTAGAAAATCTGAATTATATCAATTTGGGACACAAAATATATTGCTCTACAAATCTCGAACTTGTATGGAACAAATTTTCTCTGTTATATATTTTGTGTTTTGTTTTTGTTTTGTTTTTTTTCTAAAAGAAGCCTTAATGTCTCTCCGGTTGCATGTCCGTCGCATTCAGTGCTGCAGCACTTTGATTTTTACCAGTCATGGAAGGCATATAATAAATATAAGCTTGAGAGGAGAAATATGGAAAAAGGCAACCTAAAACAAATTTATGAACAATTTCTTGTTTTTGAAACATTTTTATGATAATGTTATACCATAAAAAATTACTTGCGTTACTTTAACATTTTCAAATTTAATTGGAGTATAATTGGACAGCAAATTTTTTATGCTATTAATTGTTCAGGTGGCATGGACAGTACTTTGCATTTACCACTATCGTCCATGAGCAAACTCAATAAAACAAAGCCTGCAACATTTTCAATGTTGACGTTTTATAGTTTCTAGTATAATTGCCATCATTTTATCACTGTTCTTTCACCAATGTGCTAAAATGATGTCATTTAAAAGCAAGCGACTCATCTGGCACCCTCATGCCATATGAAATTTCCGGAATTGGTTAAACAAACGGAAACACCTGTCGAATATGCAAGAACAGATTATATTATGTTGAAAAATCATTGAACTTTAAAGGGACTCCACTGGGGTTTAAAATCCTAGAAACATAAAATATGAATTCCTTACATAAATGAGCTGAGGCACTTTAAACATGCAAAGATTTTAAAGAAATATACTTTTAAATAAATTGAAAATCTTATTTTTATGCTTTTCTTAGCCGATTAGGGTGAAAAGCGTTTAAACGCTTTTCATTTTGGGTCATTATTTTACAATTTGAATAATTATTCTGGAAAAACGAAGTGCGCAAATGATCTGAAATTTTGCACAAAGATTAGTGGTCTTAACCTACATCAAATGGTATATTTATCTGGAAAAAAATATTTTCAATCCCATCATGTCAAAACACCTCAGTGGAGTCTCTTTAATACATTAGGCTGGTTACCTTCCCACTTGTGTGATCCATTAAAATTGTTGTGAATTAAAAATCAAGAGTTATTGTTCTTCCTTAACTTATTTGATTCTAATTCTGTTGAAAGCATAAAAACAATTGCAATATTTCATTTTCAGTGTTACCAGTATAATAATGTTGTATATATAACATTAACCAATTACCATTGGGTAGAAAAAAAGATGAAAATTTTAAATCATATCCAGTATTGAGACTGGTCAGACTGCACAGATGTACAGGCTTGCCTGGCTCTATACTGGTGGCAAATATGATAAATTTTGGTTTCAGTAGGTTGTGATTCCGGCAGGTTAAGGGTTTAAAAATGCATATAAAGAAAAGTTATTACATAAATGCATAAAATGTAATAAATTACAGTGTCCTGAATCGTCCACAAAATTTCGCTAGTAACACGTGATAATATTATCGCCTCAAAAGGGCGTTTATCGCCTGAGGAACACACAACATATAAAATAAGATGATAATTATCGAGTTGAAATTGTTAAATTTCGCTAGTATAAATGTCCCTGGTCTATAAAAAATGTGATAATTATCGCTTGAGAGACTAGCGAAATTTAGGACATGCGAAATTTAGTACTAATTTCGCCCTTTAGAGGCGATGATTATCGCGTGTTTACTAGCGAAATTTTGTGGACAAAATAGGACAACGTAATAAATGGCAAATTAATAGAGCAGTGTACTTATTTTGTTTTTAAAATAGATGTGTTTTAATTTAACTGATCATTTTTTATGTTGCTTTTAAGTTTTTGAAAGAATTATTCAATACTCACAATATTTTTTACTATATGTTTTCAATTGTTCAATTTATTCTTGGTTTTATTATTAAAGCCATAGTTTATTATAGCAGTGCAGTAGGGAGGGTGTTCATGAGGTTGAATGACCTTATCTCAGACACAGATGTCAAATGCTATTTGTCCTCCATAGCTCCTTCAAATCAATTCATTTGTGGTGGCATGGCCGAGTGGTTAACGCATCAAACTAGTAATCTTATGATCGCTAGTCGCATGGGTTCAAACCCCGTCAGGGGTAAGTCGTTGTTTCCTTAAGCAAGGATCTTTACACTCATTGCTCAGTACTGGTTGGTTCCAGGAACGGATTCAAAAGTGTGTCTGTAAGCTTTTAAATAGCTTCCTACACAATCAAACTAAAATAAATTCTGTATAAACCAAATCAATCCATACTGATAACTTGGCATTTTATTTGTGGAAAAACATTGATGGTAAAGAATTTAAAATAAAACCTACTTTTAAACCTACAAAGTTTGTTTAATGAATGTACCAGGTTTTAAATTTGAAGTGGTCCATTCAAAGTATAAGGGATTTCAATAACAAAACACAAAAATTAACTACCAACATGATAGAGTGTAGTCAGATTGCAAATACATGCTCTATACTGACAGTAAAAGCTGTTTGCTTTTAGCTCCTAGCAGGTTAAATTAAAAAACTGCCTACTGTTATATTTAATAGAAGAAATTAGATCTAAAACCCAAACATATTTGTAATAAACAATATGGTATACAATGTGTAATATAAACTATACATATGCAGCAATACATTGAATAGCCATAATTCTTTCATACTTCCAACGCTTGGGGCTTGCCAATTTAATAATCTAAGGCTTAATTAATGACTTTATTTTATGAGGTGTACAATATAACAAGAGCCACCGCCGACTTTTTTACTTTTTCTAAAAAAAAAAAATAAACAGTTTAAACAAATCATAAAGGTTTTCCTTTTTTTAAATCTTTTTAGGTCTGTCACACATACGATATATGTACATATATTATAACCAGTTCCAGAATTATGACAATTAAACACAAAATTAAATAACTTGACCTTGACTGTCAAGGTCATTTAAAGTTAAAGGTTAGTTCATACTTGATAGTTAGGTCTTGTCTAAAATGTTGTTTTGTCAATATTAAGGGGATATTTTTTCATTTGAGTGAAATATGGAATATATTTTCACGAAACTTGATATAATGCCACATATTTTCACGAGCCGGGACGGCGAGTGAAAATATGTGGCATTTTATCCATTTTATCATGTTGAGTGAAAATATATACCATATTTCACGAAAAACGAAAAAATAACCTTTTATTTAATTTCATCATCACAGAAAAATGGTTACGAACCCCATTGCTTGCTACGCATCTGTGTACAGCGGGCAGTAATATATTATTGCGTCTTTTTTGCACACGATATTTGGCGCTACATTGTGACGTCACGTAAACAACTCTTTGTTAATAACTGAATTAAAGATATTGGTGTTCGGATTTATTTTCTTAGTTAGACCATTTTCTATCATTCTAGATAGTTTTCAAAACAAAATTCAACAAAAACTTGTTTTGTATTTCTCAGATTTTTCAAACAAAATGGCGAAAGTAGTCATGCGTTTCGACTCATTTCGCCCACTTTCATATTTATATTTCATATTTATTTTTCAAAAATATGAAATATATTTGACTGATATAGCACCATATTTCATGGGTAAAATTAAATAAATGAAGATAATCCATCTCTTACCAAGTTACAGTTATATGAAAATTTTATTACTTTGACCTTCAAGGTCAAGGTCATATATGAGTGAAGGTCAAGGTCTGTCTAGTTAACTTAAAGGGCTATCCTTAAAGATTATTATATTTGAAGACAATCCATAAAAAATGACAAAGCAATAGCCACTTAAAGCAAGAAACAAGCAAAATTTGGACATTTGACCTTGAAGGTCAATGTCATTATGAGTGTAGGTCAAGGTCTGTCTGGTCAACTTAAAGGTTATTGTTCACGTTTGAAGACAATCCATTTAAAATTAAAGTTATAGCCACTAATAGCAAAAAATCAGCGAAAAACAAGCAAAATTTAGATATTTAACCTTGAAGGTCTAGGTCATTTATGGATGAAGATCAAGTCTAGTCTACTAAAAGGTATTGTCCCAAGGGCTGTTGTGGCTAAGTATAAAGACAATACACATAGAACTTAAAAAGTTATGATCAAGGTACAAGTTTGCAGTTGGCAACGGCGACATGACTGCATTTTTTTATTATTTTTTTAAGTCGCGCTAAAAATTATTCTGTCCAAAACATATGATTTACATTGAAGACATATGCTTTTAATTCTTTTTAAGACTAAAAGCCGTACCAGGTTTTGCATCAAAGTTAATAAAATATATTTTCTTTCCTTTTAACGAGGTCTGATCTTAATATAAAATATCTATAAATTGGTAGCTGTTAGCACATGAGGTTGACAGTTTATAAAATGGGGTTCAAATTTCATGTAAGAATTTATAGGTTTTTTTTGTGGGGTGAAAATCCTCACTTTTCTATCAACTTATATGAAATATTTTTTAAGTCTGGTAAACATAAAAACTCACATATTTAAGAAAAGTAAACAATTTTGTAAGCAGACAAATACAAAACTAAGGTATTTTTATCAGTACTAAAAACTTCATCTTAAAATACATAAATTAATTTTACAATTCATTTTTTCAGACCGATGGGAGCGGGTGATCAAGGCAAGAATAAAAATAATAAAATAAATCAACCGAAAGACAAGCACTGAATGTACTGATGGGGAGGCTATGACAGAATGTTTCAGACTCTTTTTGCTTAAAATGTGCTATAATTTCAAATATTTCCAAAATAAGATGATCTGTCCATTGTGCCATTTATCCTTACTGTTGTGTTTATTCATTCATATGGTTAATAAGGTAGACTAATCATTTTGTTAATATTCCAGAACTTTTCATAACTACATCATGCAAATTTTGAAGACCTAAACTGTTACATGACTTGCCAGCAAGTATGACGACTGTTCATTATAAGATCACACTACCATTTTGTATCTGACGGTTCCTTATCACAATATTCTAGGACTGTTCATCATGCCAGCATAAATACTTTATGTCATTTATCATTGAATGATAATAACAACTGCAAGTTATGTAACATTTTTATTGAACATAAACATAAAGCATATTCACGTATAACATAATTGAGATTCAATTAAGCAAGATACTGTCTTGTGAGGAGTATTCATGCTCTACGGATTCTCTCGAAGCAAACATTGAATGAAATCTCGGAAATTTTATTCATAGATCTATTTCAAAAGAAAATTATTCCCATTTCATTACTCGTCACTGACTTTATCGGTTTCAAATATTTATTAAAGCTAAGTATTTGAAAAAATACATGTCTGCAAAGCTTACTCAAAATTGAATCAATCTAAGTGAAAATTGATCAACACTCAACCATTTTATCGATAAACCTCACTAGCTTGAAATATGAACTGCGGGAAATCCGTTGTTAACAGGGTTTGGGGTAATATATTATCAGGTAGGTTATCCCTATCGATCATGTACGTCTTACCATTTCAGAACATCGAAGCCTTAGTATTGTATTATATATAGCGTGTTTTGGAAGTTTTTGTTGAAAATGAAGCTATGTGGAGAAAAAGAACCACATTTTCTGTGGAAATTTTTCAAGTGCTGTATAATGAATTATGTCGCCAATTATTTTTAGAACACAAATATATAATTTTTTGATTTTATTTATTCAAATTATAGTGAACATTAATTACTTCAGCGGCAAATATCGTTTTCAAATTAAAGTTTCGTAAAATATGTTGATGAATTGAAGCAATTTTTGTTTTAAAGCCGCAATCTGATTCATACAGTTAGTCTCCCCCCATGCTCTACTGTAACTCATTAGTATAAACATGTGTTTTACTTTATTGTTTTTTTTAAAAAGCTTCAAATTATTCTTTAAATTTTTCTTTTATTTAACTGTATCGAAAATTTGAATTTTATTACACATGGACTATCAAATTATGATGCGTTGCCCTGGAATTGAATAAACTTTCTAAATACACAATACTATTAATAAACTAGTTGTCATTATATTTAAAGAATCATGTTGTTTAATAGATATTTGTTATACTATAATGTATTTGATAAGAGTTTATTTATTAAACCGTACATTTATTTAATGAAACTTTACTGTTTTTTATTGAAGATTTTTAGTCTTACTACCATAGATAAACTATAATTCTTTTTCATTTTACTGCCAGTTTCTATTCTGTCTGTATGCCTACTTACATTATTACGTGTATACATATATTTCTGTGTGCACTTGTTACCATGGTTTCTGTTGTAAATGTGCCTTTTTTATTATGTAAGCAATATATTCAATATACAACAATAAATTTTTCAAATTTTTCTACAATGTTTATTGTTTATATCACAGCCAACTATTACATTAAAACAACAACAAAAAATAGCATGTAGCGATAAACAAAATGAAATTACTGTACAGTGTCCCCCCTAACCTTCCCCATTCTCTAGTTTAAACATATTTATTTTAGCTTGATTAAAGCTGGAATTAAATTTGAGCCTCCCTCAGGTCCACCCGACACTAACCAGTATTGTGGTGTCATAACGAGGAAACATAGTTATGACCCCAAAATTTTTATTAAAATATCTAGACCACAATATTTGTGTACTGTAACACTCTTCTTAATAATCTAGAACTTGATTGAAAATAATTGTCTCCCTTAATTCCATACAGATTACCTCCCTTAGAAAGTTTCTGAATTATTACAACATCTTTGAATAAAATTTTGGATTACATTTATCCACAGCTATAATTAAAGCTGTAGAATAACCAAATTAATGACTTAACCTAACCAATCTATCTCTATGAACTAATATTTGCTATTGATATTAAACCATGTATCTGTAACATAACTGTTATCAGTCAGTAAATGGTTTCTTTCTAAATGAAAAATGGAGCCATTCTCTTAAATCTATACATAATGTGTATCAAATAAAAATACACCCCAATAAACAACTAATTTACTCCAAAGTTACATTTATAAATATATTAAACAAGAGGGCCATGATGGCCCTGAAGTCGCTCACCTGTATATAGGCCCCCAGAGTGGGGCCAGTTTAAACCCCAGGGCTTTTATTTGAACAAACTTGGTAGACACCCATTACAAAATGTTTCATGCTAAACATCTAAGGTCTAGCTCGTTGAGTTTTTTAAAAAATGATTTTTTAAGTTTTAACTATACACATATAGTTCAAAGCAATGACACCCCTAGGGCGGGGCCAGTTTTGCCCCCAGGGCTTTTTTTTTAACAAACTTTGAAGACACTCACTAGAAGATGTTTCATGCTTAATATCTAAACTCTAGCTATTTGGTTTTTTTCAAAGAAGATTTTTAAGTTTTTGCTATACACATATAAGGAAAATCAATGTCCCCCGGGGCAGGGCCAATTTTGACCCTAGGGCTTTTATTTGAACAAACTTTGAAGACACTAACTGGAAGATGTTTCATGCTTAATATCTTAACTCTAGCTATTTGGGTTTTTTCAAAGAAGATTTTTTAATTTTTTGCTATACACATAAATAAAATCAATGACCCCCGGGGCAGGGCCAATTTTGACCCCAGGGCTCTTATTTGAACAAATTTGGTAGACACCCATTAGAACATGTTTCATGCTAAATATCTTAGCTCTAGCTCTTTGGGTTCTTTAAAAGAAGATTTTATAAGTTTTTACTATATGCATATAGGGAAAATCAATGACCCCCTGGGGCGGGGCCAATTTTGACCCCAGGGCTTTTATTTGAACAAACTTGATAGACACTCATTAGAAGATGTTTCATGCTAAATATCTTAGCTCTAGCTCTTTGGGTTCTTTAAAAGAAGATTTTATAAGTTTTTACTATATGCATATAGGGAAAATCAATGACCCCCTGGGGCCGGGTCAATTTTGACCCCAGGGCTTTTATTTGAACAAACTTGGTAGACATCCATTAGAAGATGTTTCATGCTAAATATCTTAGCTCTAGCTCTTTGGGTTCTTTAAAAGAAGATTTTATAAGTTTTTACTATATGCATAAAGGGAAAATCAATGACCCCCTGGGACCGGGTCAATTTTGAACTCAGGGCTTTTATTTGAACAAACTTGGTAGACACCCATTAGAACATGTTTCATGCTAAATATCTTAGCTCTAGCTCTTTGGGTTCTTTAAAAGAAAATTTTTTAAGTTTTTACTATATGCATATAGGGAAAAACAATGACCCCCGGGGCGGGGCCAATTTTGACCCCAGGGCTCTTATTTGAACAAATTTGGTAGACACCCATTAGAACATGTTTCATGCTAAATATCTTAGCTCTAGCTCTTTGGGTTCTTTAAAAGAAGATTTTTTAAGTTTTTACTATATGCATATAGGGAAAAACAATGACCCCCGGGGCGGGGCCAATTTTGACCCCAGGGCTTTTATTTGAACAAACTTGATAGACACTCACTAGAAGATGTTTCATGCCAAATATCTAAGCTCTACTCCTTTGGGTTTTTTAAAAGAAGATATTTTAAGTTTTTTCTATCGGTTGCCATGGCAACCAGAGTTCTGCATGGAATTAGATTCTTTGAACAATTTTTAAAGGTTACCACCAAAGGAACATTCCTGTGAAGTTTGGATGAAATTGGCTTAGTGGTTTATGAGGAGATGTCATTTAAAGTAAAAGTTTACGGACGGACGGACGGCCGGACGGACGGACGCCGGACGAAAAGTGATCACAAAAGCTCACCCTGTCACTTTGTGACAGGTGAGCTAAAAACAACAGCAGATGATTAAAAACAATATAGCTGCTAAAAATGAGAATATATATACAACAACAAATAAATGATATGTAAATATTGGACGTTTTTGTTTTCATAAAATATTATTTTAATAAAAAGTTAAAAAGAAAACAACATCAATATAAAGCAATTTCAAATAGTGAGCATCTGGTTAAAGTGTATAAAGTTACACATCTGCTGCAAAAATTATAAATAAAGTTTTGAATTTAATAATACCCATATGAAAGAAATCTGTCTGTATATTTCTATCAGAGTTTATGTCGCTTCTGCATAAAATCATTGATAAATTGTAAAAGTCCTACTTAAAATAGCAGCATAATATTTTTTTCCAAAACATTTTATTCCGTTTACGTACAATATTCATGTGTGTTAAATAATGGAGACATTCTATGTCATCAACTATAAGATTATAGAAACAATATATGTTTTTTATAATCATAAACCTTATAAAGATATTTCATAAGATACAGCTTCATACCCTTTAAGATAAGACTGTAAGAAATTATGTTACATAACCCATAATACATTAAGTGTTCTTGGAAACAAGTGTATAATTATATAAAAACAGTTTAAACAAGAAGAGTACAGTAAAAGCTTGACAGATTATAATTTTTAGCGTACAAATTTTGAAAAAAAAATTGGTGCAATTGGATAGGTTTTGTACACCAAAACAGTTTGAAACTTAGTGGAGGTTATACTATAATGCTTTGTTTTAAAACTATGTAAGCAAAAGAATAAATACAATATGACATATCTGATTAAAGTACTAAATAATGTCATAAATTTTTAATAACTTTAATTATTTCAACAGTTTCCCTACCAAAAGTAAAATTATCTTGTCTATCAACAATTTTATATTATGATTGAGAACTCTGACAGAACTTTATGTGAATCTTGGAAGGTTATAAACCTCAAATGCCAGTTAATATTATAATTATAAAACTCTAGCTACTGAACAAACAGTTGCCTATACAAAGGTTTTATCTACAGATAATTTAATTTCTAAATTCTGTCGCATTCAAGCCATCCTCATCAATTAAACCCTCAATCAAATTAGGCAGTCCTGGCTTCTAATATTGTAATTCTTTAATACTAACTATTGTATATATGGCGGATACATTAAATTGAGCAGCAAAATGGACTAGGTGTTTTCTAAATATATCTGTTAACACAACTTAAAACTAAGAGTATTTCTAAATATATAATATGTCCAAGTTACTGAAATATGATCCATGTATTTCTGAATATTTTGTTTTCCATATATCATACATTTATTTCTAAATATTCTTTGAAATATTTCACATTTTTATGTTGCATGTAATGCTATATATGTTTCTAAATGTTCCATATATATCTATGGATTCCATGTTTCTATATGCTCCAGATACTCTAAAATGTTCCATGTGATTCAATATGTTCCATATATTTCAGTATATCTATGGATTCAATAATTTCTATGTTTCATGTATTTCTGTATGTTCCATGCATTTCTATATGTTCCATGTATTTCAATATGTTCCATGTGTTTCCATAATCCATATTCCATATATTTCTATATGTTCCATGTATTTCTATATGTTCCATGTATTTCTATATGTTCCATGTATTTCTATATGTTCCATGTATTTCTATATGTTCCATGTATTTCTATATATTCCATGTGTTTCTATATGTTCCATGTATTTCTATATGTTCCATGTATTTCTATATGTTCCATGTATTTCTGAGTATACTGTAAAAGTCCTCATCATCATCAACACTGAGACTCAAACCCTCGTAATACTCCTCAAACTCCACAAACGACACTTCCTCTTGCTTCTTGTTTGGTAACACTGCGTCCAGAAAAGCCTGCAGAGGGCCAACTTCCCCTGTGTCTCTGGGATCTATGTACATAAAAAGTTTTCTTACACAAATACTTAAAATATGAAAGTTTATTTACACTTACATTGATGAAATTTTGATTAAAAATTTGGTAACAAACAACTTAAAAGGGGCAAGTGATCTAAGCTCACAGTTGTAACTTCTTGATCAAATAAACCCTTAACATGGGTTTAACAAAAACATCTTCAAAATCTTTTAATAATCAATGTCCATTATTGTATAGAAAAGCACAACAGAAATGGCTGAAAAACTAGAGATGTGGTAACATAACTTACCTCTGCTAGGTCTAAATGTAGAGTTGAAGAATTTCTGTATATCATTGAGTGAAAGATATCCTTTCTTTCCAGAGTCTATCTTTTGGAATGCCTGGAATATATATTGTTGTTTTTACTTATTTGAGCAGTTTTCCTGCGTAATAAAATCAAATGTTTACCAGACCTGTTGATCTGGATAAATTTCAAAGTTGCATTTATATAAATGCCATTAACATTCCTTGATCATTTGGTTTTAGGTGTAAAATCCACATAATTCATCATGGTTTTATTCTTGTCTTATATACTAAGCATTTTACACAAGAAGCTTAATCATTCATTTTTCCTAGGAACAACCATTTTAACAAGAGCTGTCAGAAGGACAGCGCGCTCGACTTTTTTAGTGCTTGCCTATAAAACAAAACTTTGACAGTTAAGGGCACACAAGACTTTAACTAGGAATTTCTAAGTACAAATCAAGAAACATTTTCACAGAGTTATCTTCTCTTGCTTACAGATAGGTCTCATGATGGCACATAAGAACTCCAACTTCCAAAGTAATATCTCAAATGGTTAAGTCAACAAGTGGACAAGAATGAAAATCTTAACTGAGTTTCTAAGTCAAAAAGGGCCATAATTCAAATAAAATCCTTAACAGAATTACCTTCTCCTGCCCATGTTTTGGACCATGATGGTAAACAAGTATTCCAACTTTCAAATTAATATCTCAAACAGTTCAGTCAAAAAGTGGACTGGTACTAAAAACTTAACCAAGATTCTAAGTCGATAAAAGGCCTTAATTTTTAAAACAAATCCTTGACAGAGTTACCTTCTCTTGCGTACAGATGGGGGTAATGATGTGAAATAGCATTAAAAGTTTCAAAGCAATATCTCAAAGGGTTAAGGCAATAAGTGGATTTTACCCATATTCAATGTATTTTCTAAGTCAAAAAGGGGCATAATTCTGTCAAAAACCTTGACAGAGTTATGTCCTCTTGTCTGTTGATGAAGGTCGTGATGGTAAACAAGTATGGTCAGTTTCAAAGCAATACCTCCAATGGTTTTGAAATAAAGTGAGGTGGTACAAAAAACTTAACCAAGCTCAATACACTTTCTAAGTCAAAAAAGGGCCATAATTCTGTCAAAAACCTTGACAGAGTTATGTACTCTTGTCTGTAGATGGAGGTTATGATGGTGAACAAGTATGGTAAGTTTCAAAGCCATACTTGTAATACTTCTGAAATAAAGTGGGGTGGTACGAAAAACTTAACCAAGGTGTGACGCCAACGCTAACGCCGACGCCGACGCCGGGGCGAGTAGGATAGCTCCCCTTTTCATAGAAAAGTCGAGCTAAAAATTGATTTTCTAACATCATTTATGCCCTCCAATGTTAACCTTTCTAATAAACAATTCACTACCCTCAGCCATGTTCTTGAAAGGTTCAAGTGAACAGTTGATTGACATAATAAGCTATTTTTTTTTCTTTGAATATCTGATGCTGATGAAGCATGACTTTGTCTGAGAAAATAATTCCACATAGATAATGCCATAATACAATGACTTACATACATATTAATATTTACCTTTCTAACAAGAGATTTCCTAGCTTCAATCATACATCCAAGGACTGCCCACATGTATCTACTATAATCCAATTCTCCCTTTTCTTCTATATCCAGAATCTCAAACAATGCATCCAGTGTCTGATAAAATAACATGGACAGCATATGATATATGATGACAGGTTAACACAATTGATAACGATGGAATGATTATTGTGATGGTACATTGGAGTTACAAGATTTAGTTATGAAAATAACAAATGTAGGATTCACTTTAAAAGAAAATAACTTTTCATATATTTATACAAGAGCTGTCGGTAGGACAGCACGCTCAACTATTCTAAGTGCTTGATAGTAAAAGAGCCTTGATAATGTTAAATTTTTTAAGATCACAAAAGGTCTAATTTTTTTTTAATAAATTAGAGAGAAATTAGAGGCCTTAGAGAGAGTCTAATTATACAGTATTGGCTTGACTATTCGGAAGGTAATGTCACAAGGTTGCTTTATTGAGTATAATAATACTAATTACCTATGAATACATAAATTTGACAGAAAAGGTACAAAGGCTTCTAATTAAGATGTTTTATCAAGTAAATCACTGCTTTATTATTATGAATGCATAAAATTGTACCAAAAAAAGGCACAAACCCTTCAGTAGTAATTGAGATAACAGCTTACAAGCAAAACTTTACCACGATTTTTTTTAGTTGAAAAAGGGGAGAAAAATCAGCCTAAATGCAAGATAGAATTATGGATCTTTGTCAGTGACCTACAATTGTGACCCTAAATGCATATGTGAAGTTTTAAATAAATATCTTTAATAGTTATTGAGATATGTAAAACTTGCATGTAAACATTAACCAAGAGACTTAGTAGAAAAGGGGATATGAATCAGCCTTAATGCAAGATAGAGTTATGGAACTTGGTCAGTGACATACAATTATGACCCTCCAATTATGACCCTAAGTGCATGTGTAAAGTTTCAAGTAAATATCTTTGAAGACCTTTAACCTTTAACTAAAATTTCTAAGTTTCAAAGGGGCAAATAATTCTGCAAATTTTGCAGCAGTTATGCAATTTTGCAAACTGATGTACATTGTTACTATAAAAAAGTATTTTAAATTTCAATTGAATATCTCAAGCAATAAAAAAACTTTAACCAAAATTTCTAAGTTCCAAAGGGGCATAATTCTGTCAATATTGTAGGCAGAGTTATCCAACTAATCAATCTGATGTACCTTGTTACTATAAATAAGTATTGTAAGTTTCAATTGAATATCTCAAGCAATAATTGAGATATTTGACTTTACAAAAAACTTTAACCAAAATTTCTAAGTTAAAAAGGGGCATAATTCTGTCAATATTGTAGGCAGAGTTATCTAACTTGTCAATCTGATGTACCTTGTTACTATAAATAAGTATTGTAAGTTTTAATTGAATATCTCAAGTAATTATTGAAATATTTGACTTTACAAAAAACTTTAACCAAATTTTCTAAGTTAAAAAGGGGCATAATTCTGTCAATATTGTAGGCAGGGTTATCTAACTTGTCAATCTGATGTACCTTGTTACTATAAATAAGTATTGTAAGTTTTAATTGAATATCTCAAGTAATTATTGAGATATTTGACTTTACAAAAAACTTTAACCAAAATTTCTAAGTTAAAAAGGGGCATAATTCTGTCAATATTGTAGGCAGAGTTATCCAACTTGTCAATCTGATGTACCTTGTTACTATAAATAAGTATTGTAAGTTTCAATTGAATATCTCAAGTAATGATTGAGATATTTGACTTTACAAAAAACTTTAACCAACGCAGACGCAGACGCGGACGCTGACGCCGACGCTGGGGCGACTACAATAGCTCTCATATTCTTCGAATAGTCGAGCTAAAAATGAAGTATCTATACGTACAGAAATTATTGTACAAATTCCCCTCATTTCCTAATGACTAATTGTTTCTACAAATGCTTCTATAAATTAATGCTTTTTTCATGGATTTATTTCATGGATTTATTTTTTTTAAAATCTGTTTGTTCATCAGAGATTAATGCCCTTTAAATTAGTCCTTATGTAGTATGTTTTGCAAGGCAATATAAAATTATTTTGAAAAGATAAATATATTAATGTACAAGTGGATATTTCCTCATGTTGCAAAGTTGGCGAATTTTAAATTACAGACATTTTGTGTATTAAAGGATATATTAGCAAATCAGGCAAAGGTAGAATTTAATGGCAGGTAGGTTAATATTTACACTAGAGAAAATTTTAGCGCTTTTTCTCAACTCAAATTTGTCGATGTTTCCGCGTTGCTAACATAACCACATATACAACTTGTACTATAATATTCACATAAACATGAATAACTTACGTCAGGTGGTAGATCAATGTGAAAATCAAACAGTCCTTTCTCCAGCTCAAACCTGTACAGTATACCTGTACCTGAAGTATCTGCCTTCCTGTAGAATCTACCTAGTCCTGTTATAGTTCTAATGGCACGTTTTCTCACCTTCTTCTGTACATTATCTGTACCAAACATAATTTATAGAGCTTTCAATTATTGTTCAATTCAAACAAAAATATTTTTAAACTTCAGATTTCAACAAGAAAATATTTTTGATTACATATATTTTTAACCACTTGCTCTGTGATGTTTAATTTTACCTTTTATCCTTTCCCATATATCAGGAACATATCGGTCCATAAATTATCCGAAATTCAAACAAATCTTAAGAATAATACCACCAAACAAGTAAACAGTCTGTAGTAGTTACAACTTAATAAATTTTATTTTTGGTTTTACTGTGAAACACAATTACAAGAATGTTTTATTTTCTGCCAAAGAAAACTTCCCTAACATATGCTAAAAAGAAACCTTTTATTTACGTAAGTTTGACTCTTTTGGTATAAGTGAAGTAAGCATGCTACTAATGGTATTGGGTATGTATCAATTTTCAAACAAGAACATTTAAGCATAGACTCATAGTAAACTGTCAGTTATTACATGAATTTGTAAAATAATCTCTAAAACTTCTCTAAAATTTGAGTGGAATCTATGATTCCCTCATATCATTGTTCTTAACAGGATTTCAGTCTTAAATCTGCAAGTATTTAACCAAATAATAGTTTGTTTGATTTTTTTTCTCCTATCAAGTGACTAAATATAGTACTTTAAGTCACACCAGGTAAGTGCTTCCAGGGAGACTTTACTAGTGATCATATCAGTATCTGTGGATATGTGCCAGAATAAAGCAATTCTATATAAATGAAAGTCAACTCCTCTAAACTGGATTAATGGTATAAAATTCAGCTTTCAATATATACATTACTTTAACAAATTGTAACAAATTTTGAAATAAAATATAAATAATAAAGTCACTTACTTTGTATACTTTTGAGCACCATTTTTTCAGTGTACTCCTGTTTATTTGGAATATGTAGTCTAGTATAAACATCATCTTGTTCATGAGATGGTATACCGTCCAACCTGAAGTATAAAACCATTCTATTTATCATTACAATGCTCAAATAAAAGCTGTAAAGTCCATATTGTCAGTATTGAGCCTGATCTGTCTACCTAAATCCAAGCTCTATTTTTTTGGCCAATGAACATCCAAAGGTTTATCCTAGTAACTCTAAATTGATCATTTTTGGAGGTGGGTGGGGGGTCATCTCACACCAACACTGTTAAGGTAATATGGTGACTTTCTAGCTTTACTGGCGGAGGAAAACCTCAGGTGCCCGTCCGAACCACTGAGGCATTGACATTCCATGAGCTAGCTGAATAGTTTTCTGACATGAAAAAATTCAACTCCTTGGTGGGATTCAAACCCGCAGGCATGAGGGGTTATCATTTTGAAATCATCAACCTTAATCACTCTGCCATGGATACTCCTTCTATAATGATAATGGCATTTTTCAAAATTTAATTGGGACAGGTCCATTCAGTAAGGTCAGCATATTTTTTAAAAGTCAATATCTTTTTAAAAAAAATCTAAACAAATTGAATGCAAATATTACTGAAAGGCAAAGATATTGTAAACAAAAGTCAAGCCTTGCACAATTACAAATTGATTAATACAGCTTAAATATCATGCTTAATACATCTTTAAATACATGTAATACATGTATTACAGTTAGTATCATGCAGATGTCAGCTTCTATGTCATAAACTTACAGTAAATGTCTTTTTTCCTCCTCATCAACATCAGTCACCCTAAATACAACCTCTGGAACTTTCTTCAATGTCGCTGGCAGAGAATGCTGGCCAGCTGTTAGTATATGAATATTGTGGCCCTGAAATGTTCACACAATTATCTGATAATTTACACAATTATCCATGGACATTAATAATTGAGATAAAATTTGCCTACATTATATCTGAACTGACAGTATACAAGACAGTATTTTTGGAACTTTATCACTGTAAAACTTTTCATCTTTGTACAAGTATAGCAATTTTACAGCATCATGACATAATATTATCATATTTTCAAAAACAAGAGCTGTCGGTAGGACAGCAATGCTCGACTATTCTTAGTGCTTGATAGTAAAAAAAAAATGCTTGATACAGTTACCTCCTCCTGTTAACAGGTTGAGGTCATGATCGTGAACAAGTGTGCAAAGTTTCAAAGCCATATGTCAATGGACTTTGAAAATATTTGAACTATTACAAAAACTTTAACGTAAATTCTAAGTCGAAAAAGGGGCATAATTCTGTCAAAATGCTTGATAGAGTTACCTCCTCCTGTCTACAGGTTGGGGTCATGATGGTGAACAAGTGTGCAAAGTTTCAAAGCCATATGTCAATGGACTTTGAAAATATTTGAACTATTACAAAAACTTTAACGTAAATTCTAAGTCGAAAAAGGGGCATAATTCTGTCAAAATGCTTGATACAGTTACCTCCTCCTGTCTACAGGTCGGGGTCATGATGGTGAACAAGTGTGCAAAGTTTCAAAGCCATATGTCAATGGACTTTGAAAATATTTGAACTATTACAAAAACTTTAACGTAAATTCTAAGTCGAACAAGATTGCATTTGAGAAAAATGCTATGCCACCGCATTAATACAACACTAAATAGTAGTGTAGGAACAGATTTTCTTTGTTTCTATACAATTTTGAAGATTGTCATAATGCATAGATCCCTGACCTATCTAATTCTTATTATCAGATTAGTGGTTAAATCTGTTGTTAACTCAATAAAAGATCAGAGTAGGAATATATCAATGCACTTGAGTCTAGTGAATTTGGTGGTGAAGGTCATATTTCACACAGCCTAAATTTCATGACTACATCAAAGGACAACATAGTAAGACACTTTGTCAAAATCTAGGTCAGCTGAAATCAAAGTTCACTTAACATCTTAATCTGTACACATGGTTCAAATTTCATAGCTGTACATCAAAGGACAAGAAAGTAGGTCACATCATCAAAATCTAGTTCACCTGATATCAAAGTTCAATTTTACAACTAAAACTGTGCACATGGTCAAAATTTCATTGCTGTACATTAAAGGACAAGAAAGTAGGTCACTGTCCCCTTGGGCAAGGCAAAATTTTGGACCCAAGGGTTTAATTCAAAACAATCTTGATACAGGTCCACCAAACAACATTTCAAGTCAAATATCTAAGCTGTAGCTTTCTCCTATTCAGAAAAGATTTGTTTTATTTTCTGTTTTTACTATGTGAACATAATGAGAATCACTGCCCCTGGGCAGGGCCAATTTTAACACTAGGGGCATAATTAAAACAACTTTAGTAGAGAACCCATAGAATATATTATAGAGCAAACATCAAAGCTCTATGCCTTGTACCTTCAGACAAAAATATTTCTTTTTTTTTTTTTTACTATATGTACATAGTAAAAATCAATGACTCCTGGGGGTGGGGCCAATTTTGACCCCAGGGCTATAATGTGTACAATCTTGCTAGAGGTTCACTACATAATGTTTCGTGCAAAATATCTTAACTCTAGCCTTTGTAAATTTAGAGAAGGTGATTTTTTAAGTTTTTACTATATACATATAAGGAAAACCTATGGCCCATGGGGCGGGGCTAATTTTGACACAAGAGGCAAAATTTGAACAACTTTGGTAGAGTACCTATAGATGATATCATTTAACAAATATTCAAGCTCTAAGCCTTGTACCTTCAGACAATAAGATTTTTTTATTTTTTACTATATGTATATATTGAAAATCAATGACCCCGGGGCAGGGGCAATTTTGACCCCAAGGCTATAATTTTGCTAGAAGTTCACTTCACAATGTTTCATGCAAAATATCTAACCTCTAGCATTTGCTAGAAGAACTTTTTTTACTATAAAGTTTTTTCTATATACATATAAGGAAAACCAATGACCCCAGGGGCAGGGCCGATTTTGACCCCAGGGCTATAATTTGAACAATATGAGTAGAGGTCTACCAGACAATGCCTTATGCAAAATATCTAAGCTCTAGGCCTTTTGGGTCTTTACAAGAAGGTATTTTAAGTTTTTACTATATGTACATATAGTGAAAATCAATGACCCCGGGGCGGAGCTGATTTTGACCCCAGGCTATAATTTGAACAATCTTGGTAAGGGTCTATCAGACAATGCCTTATGCAAAATATCTAAGCTCTAGGCCTTTTGGGTCTTTACAAGAAGTTATTTTAAGTTTTTACTATATGTACATATAGTGAAAATCAAATGACCCCCGGGGCGGGGCGATTTTGACCCAGGGTTATTATTTGAATAATCTTGGTAGAGGTCTACCAGACAATGCCTTATGCAAAAATATCTAAGCTCTAGGCCTTTTGGGTCTTTACAAGAAGTTATTTTAAGTTTTTACTATATGTACATATAGTGAAAATCAATGACCCCCGGGGCGGGGCCGATTTTGACCCCAGGGTTATAATTTGAACAATCTTGGTAGAGGTCTACCAGACAATGCCTTATGCAAAATATCTAAGCTCTAGGCCTTTTGGGTCTTTACAAGAAGATTTTTTAAATTTATTCTTATAATTCCTTTTGGTTGCCATGGCAACCAGATTTCTGCATGGAATGAAATTCTTTGAACAACTTTGGAAGCCCTTCACCCAAGGATCAATCCTGCCAAGTTTGGTTGAAATTGGACAAGTGGTTTTTCACAAGAAGATTTTTTAAGTTCACTATATAATCTATATAACACACACACACACACACAAACAAACACACAGGTGAATCGCTATATGCCACCGCATCGCAGATGCTGCGGTGGCATAAAAAGGGGCATAATTCTGTCAAAATGCTTGAAAGAGTTACCTCCTCCTGTCTACAGGTTGGGGTCATGATGGTAAACAAGTGTGCAAAGTTTCAAAGCCATATGTCAATGGACTTTGAAAATATTTGAACTATTACAAAAACTTTAACGTAAATTCTAAGTCAAACAAGAGCTGTCGGTAGGACAGCAACGCTCGACTATTCTTAGTGCTTGATAGTAAAAAAAATGCTTGATACAGTTACCTCCTCCTGTTTACAGGTTGGGGTCATGATGGTGAACAAGTGTGCAAAGTTTCAAAGCCATATGTCAATGGACTCTGAAAATATTTGAACTATTACAAAAACTTTAACGTAAATTCTAAGTCGAAAAAGGGGCATAATTCTGTCAAAATGCTTGATAGAGTTACCTCCTCCTGTCTACAGGTTGGGGTCATGATGGTGAACAAGTGTGCAAAGTTTCAAAGCCATATGTCTATGGACTTTGAAAATATTTGAACTATTACAAAAACTTTAACGTAAATTCTAAGTCGAAAAAGGGGCATAATTCTGTCAAAATGCTTGATAGAGTTACCTCCTTCTGTCTACAGGTTGGGGTCATGATGGTGAACAAGTGTGCAAAGTTTCAAAGCCATATGTCTATGGACTTTGAAAATATTTGAACTATTACAAAAACTTTAACGTAAATTCTAAGTCGAAAAAGGGGCATAATTCTGTCAAAATGCTTGATAGAGTTACCTCCTCCTGTCTACAGGTAGGGGTCATGATGGTAAACAAGTGTGCAAAGTTTCAAAGCCATATGTCAATGGACTTTGAAAATATTTTAACTATTACAAAAACTTTAACGTAAATTCTAAGTCGAAAAAGGGGCATAATTCTGTCAAAATGCTTGATAGAGTTACCTCCTCCTGTCTACAGGTTGGGGTCATGATGGTGAACAAGTGTGCAAAGTTTCAAAGCCATATGTCAATGGACTTTGAAAATATTTGAACTATTACAAAAACTTTAACATAAGTGGTTACGCCGACGCCGACGCTCAGGTGACTGCAATAGCTCTACTTATTCTTATCGAATAGTCGAGCTAAAAAGGGGCATAATTCTGTCAAAATGCTTGATACAGTTACCTCCTCCTGTCTACAGGTTGGGGTCATGATGGTGAACAAGTGTGCAAAGTTTCAAAGCCATATGTCAATGGACTTTGAAAATATTTGAACTATTACAAAAACCTTAACGTAAATTCTAAGTCGAAAAAGGGGCATAATTCTGTCAAAATGCTTGATACAGTTACCTCCTCCTGTCTACAGGTCGGGGTCATGATTGTGAACAAGTGTGCAAAGTTTCAAAGCCATATGTCAATGGACTTTGAAAATATTTGAACTATTACAAAAACTTTAACGTAAATTCTAAGTCGAAAAAGGGGCATAATTCTGTCAAAATGCTTGATACAGTTACCTCCTCCTGTCTACAGGTTGAGGTCATGATGGTGAACAAGTGTGCAAAGTTTCAAAGCCATATGTCAATGGACTTTGAAAATATTTAAACTATTACAAAAACTTTAACATAAGTGGTTACGCCGACGCGGACGCGGACGCTCGGGTGACTACAATAGCTCTACTTATTCTTATCGAATAGTCGAGCTAATAAGATCTTATACAATAAAGTACTTACAGAACAAATATCTACAAGAGAGTAAGGTTCTCCTTCTCTTGGACCTCTCAAATGACAGAATCTACCACGACTGATAAATGGCAAAGCTTTGGCACTGAAATATCAAATATGTTGATAAATTCTACAAAATAAAATAATTTTCCCATGTCAATAGCAGAAATTTAAGATATCTTACACCCATGTGTAGTCTGACAAGACTATCGTTTTAATACATGTAATTTTAATGTTAAGGTCTCTTACAGTTCAAAGAGGCATAAATCAACTGACTTTGAGAACAAATTTTAAAGCTGAACACTTCCAGATGAGCCAAAATATATCAAGATAATCAATATTGAGAAAAATGCATTAAACTTTTAAGAAAGGTAATTCTAAAAAGCCGCATTTTTCTCGATTAAACATAGAAGGACTGAAACTGAAAGTGTTATTTTGCAATAAAATTACTGACTCAAGATCAAAGTTATATTTTACAGTCATGTTATGTGCGATTAACACTGATTTTGCAGTATTTTATCACCATATTTCTATTGTGTTACTAACACAGTAAGGGCTGTTTTTGCATATTTTGACCATGTTTTGGTAATTTTTGTGGGTTGTAAGTGCCAATTGCATTATGTAAATTACACTATTTATTCACCTCACATTATTTTACTTTTAAATACATCTCCAAAATTTTCATGAAAATTAATATGTATCTGGAGGCGTGCTGCTTTAAAGTTTTAATTGTTCATGTAATAAGTACCAAATTGTATATTTTACTAAAACACCTGAAAATATGTTGACATTAATCAAAACAAAATCCTTATGCCATGAAAATTCAGTAAGCAATTTCCTGACATACAGTAACCACTTATTTATGGCATTTTTGTACTAATGACTGATGTAGCAACAAAACTATGACTTTGATTTTTTTGTATCTAGCAACAATAATGTCTATCCATGTGTTACCACAAACTTTTCTAGTAGTTTAAACTGGAAAAATATTTATTTTTTATAATAACTTACCTTTTCCCAAACTGTCTAAATTCATATATGGTCAATGTATTGTCCACACTGAAGAAAAACCCTGTAAGTTCTCTGGTAGCATCATGACCATTCCTACAAACATTGACATATTGTATTCAATTAATATTAATCAGGTAATAAGTTTCCTATCCGGCAATCACTATACTTTGTTGTTGTTTTTTCTATTTACTTTACACCTTAAATCCCATTAAAATAACACAAATCTCAACTTACAGAATATATAATAGAGCTGAAAAATGACACAAAATCAAAAGGTTTTGTCAGTATTTTACATGACAAAAAAGGTTGTAATTTACTAAGTAAATTGATTATTACCTAGTTAGAACTCTTGCTCCAAACCTCACCCTCTTTGATAGTAAATTTTCTGTTGCTGTAGAAGCTGTGCTTACTCTGGAAAACAGAGAGAATATTGTTGAACATAAAACACCAATAAAAGATTAAAACAAAACACACTGTTATATTAACTTCAAGACTGACTTGACTTATGGTATCAGTTCAAACATATTTATTTTTGATTGTGAACTGACATTTATAATAAATGAGTCTTCGTTAAAGATGAATGCCTCCAAATGAGCCAAAATATTTCAAGAAAACCAAATTTGCGAAAAAATGTACTAAGATTTTAAGACACATAAAACATTCAAGATACAAGTAATAATTTGCATGTTATAAAACAATTAATGAATGATTTTACATTATCATAATTATACAGTGTGACTAATGCAGTATGGGATATTTTTGCATATTTTGACCACTCTTTGGTTATCTACATGGATTCTAAGTGCCATTTGCAATGTGTAAATTACTTTCCTTGTTCACTGCACAACATTTTACTTTTAAACACCTTTTTTTATTTTTCATGAAAATTAACATGATCCTGGAGGCATGTTGCTTCAAAGAATTTACTAGTACCGGTTTTTTTATGAAGGAAAAAGGGTCATTACCTATGTAGTTTACCTATGTCATTGGTATAAACACTTGTCATGCTTAATTTAGCTTTGCTTTGAAAATGGTTCTGTTCATTTTTATCCCAAGGGATTGAATTATAAAAGCAGCCAATAAGTAACAAGTCTAGGTAGATTTCTTTTACATGCAAGTTGGTCTGACATTATACTGGTCACATTAACAAGTCACAATCATTGTTAGCAGTCAATTCTAAAAACCTGCATTTTTCTCTATTGAACAAAGAAGGACTGAAAGTGTTATTATGCAATAAAATCACTGTTGATGTCCTATATTTAGACATGTGACATAACCATTAGACACATGCTGTAACCATTAAAAATGTGATGCGCTGAAAATAAGTATGGAAACAAATCAGCCGCAATTTAGCTTGATATCAAGTACGGCAGTATTTATTTGTTGATGTCATATTCAAAGCAGTGATTTCATTGCTTTATAAAATCACTGTTGTTTGGATGCGCATCATTATATCACTCCGGCTTTGCCCATGTGATATACTTCCTCCCATCCGAACTCCAAACAGTGATTTTATTTAGCGATAAAATCACTGTTTGGGATATTTCTTAAACATACATAAAAACACTTACTTTGAATCATGTAAAGATCTATTACTTCCTCTTGGTCTACGACCAGCAGACATCTGAGCTCTGACATTCTGAGAGGGATCACTAATCACGGCACGAGAAAGTTGATCTGCCATCACTGTCTCAACCATCTTTAGTTTCTTGTTATGTTCCAATAACTCCTCCTGAAGTATATCGTCAAAAAACACATATTGTATTCTTTTGTTGCCAAATAAGACAATTTTTTATTATATATTGTAGTAAAGTTTGAAAGAAATTTCAATGAAAAATTATCATTCCATAAAAAATGTCAATGTTAAATTACATATACAACATTTTTAATGTGTGCCACACAAACTTCTTTGCTAAAAATTCATCTATTTTATGACTGGACTTTTACAATATTATAATCATGCACTTTTATCATGTTATAATCAAATGAATCACATTCTAAAAGTTACAAATGTAGGCAACATTTATAAAGATAATAGAATGAATGCTAGGATCGAAGTACATACAGCCTCCATTTTTTTCAGGTACTGGCTTGTTGCCTGCGTCTGTCTCTTTGTCCAACTCTTCTCTACAATGTCTTCTTTATTAACATCAAGGTTAGGATGTTTTTCTTTAACTTCTTCTATAACCCTCTGTATTTCTTCCTGGCAAAATATATCATAATACAATACGCAAAAGAAAGATGATCAAATGCCATTGCTTGAAAACTTGTATGATACATTGTATAATATTTCTTTTTTTTAGATATTGTGAGTTCATACTGCTTCACTATTTTATCATTCTTCTCTATAATAATCCTGTAAACTTGCTCATATACTAAGTATCATATTATGAAAACTGTTTAAATTTTAAAGATATAAGGTTTTTTTTACTGACTCCAGTTAAATGGTTTATATAATTTTTTTTTTTTTTAAGAAGAAGAAAATTTTATTTAACTTATACATATACATGTATCTCGTTATACATCAATACATATAAAACATTTTGTCACGGTTGGTATTCAAATGAAAGAGAATAATTAATGTTTCAGTTTATACAATATGGAGAATAAGCTCTAATTAACATGAATTAGATATTGAATAACTGCAAATGTTCACTAATAAAGTGTCTAACAGTGAATATAATGAATATAATCATAGTCTTAAAGTCTAGGATATGAATTCAATAAATCGTTTCTTTTCTTATTGGCTAAATAAATAAATTTGCTAAGATTGTTAAGAACAGATTTATTGTTTCACTTAAGCATTTCTATGAATTTGTACATACTGGGTCTATGATAAAAATAACGTTTAATTAATCGAATTCTTAATTCATGGTAAACACTGCATATAAGAATAAAATGATACTCGTCTTCGATCTCAGAGCATTGACACACTTGGCATAATCTTTCCTGTCTATCTATTATATTCCTACCATATCTACCTGTTTGACTTAAGAAATTCTTAAACGCGTAATACTACTCCTTAGATATTTTGATTTGATAGTATTTAAATAATTTAAATTTGGTTAGAATATGAAGAGTGTTTAAAACATTATTATTGTTTTAATCTGCTTGCCATTTTTGTTTAAAGCAATTCAAAACTCTTTGTTTAAAATGTTCCATTTATATTAATTTCATTTGGTTTCGAAAATACATCTGCAAAACCATAATTTTCTAATCATATTTTAACATTGTATGTCCAATTTTTGACACCATTTAAACATTGTTTTAATGCGTTATTATATATCGTTTTTAAAATAATATTATTTGTATTTGAATTTTTCAACCAATATTTTATCATTTGAACATATCTGTTTATATATAAAGGGTATCTTCCTAATTCTCCGTATACAGCACTATTGCTGGAACTTTTCTTAACGCCTAAAATATATTTGCAAAATTTGAGATGTACACTTTCAATATCTTTTGACTTAGAAAAATCCCCATACAGGACATGCATAATTCAAATAGAGCCAACAAAAGAATCAAATAATTGTAAAGAAATATATGGTGATAAGTCTACCTTATTTATATTATTTTGTAGAACGTTACATGCTTTTATGGCTTTTCCAATAATATATTGATTATGTAAAACAAATGAACCCGTATAATTTAAAACTACTCCTAAATAGTTTGAAATCATTAACTATGTCTAATTGTTCATTATTATAAAAAAGTTTTTCGTTCTGTCTCAAGGGGCCCCTTTTTCTAAATATAACGACTTTTGTTTTTGAAGTATTAACTTGTAAACCCCAGTATGTACAATATTCATATAATAAGTTTAGACTTGATTGTAAATCTTCTATAGAATGTCCTACTAACACCATATCATCAGCAAAGAGTAAAATAATGATACAAAGTTCAAAAATTGACAAACCACAATTTATTCTGTTTTGTAAATATAGTTCTAAGTCATCTAAAAAAAGTGCAAACATAACCGGAGAATTATTCAGGCCTTGACGGAGACCAATTGAAATTTCAAAAAAGTCTGAGAATGTGTTGCAATACTTAATACATGATTTAACAACAGTATACATAGCCTGGAACATTTTTAAAATTTTTCCATCAAAACCCATGTTAAACAATTTGAACCATAAAGCGTTTCTATAAACAGAGTCAATTGCTTTCGTGAGATCTATAAAAGCGCATGGCAGTCGCATTTTTTGAGTTAAAACATGTTCTATCAAGTTATGTAAAACAAATACCGCGTCGACTGTACTACTACCCCTACGAAAGCCAAACTGTGCATCTGATAAAAAATTGTTATCATCAAACCATTTTTCAACTCTTCTAGTAAGAACAGAAGTAAAAAGTTTTCCAAAATTACTAATGAGAGTTATTCCACGATAATTATTCGGGGTATTTTTTGGGCCTTTTTTATGTAATGGCACTATAAAGCCTTGAGACCAAATTTCGGGAAAGTGACCAGAATCAAATATATTATTGAATAAATCTGTAATATGCCCAACGAGTATATCCGCTGTAGAGATAAAATATTTGTTTAACAAATTATCGCTTGTTTTTCAGAGTCCGAAAATTTAAACAGTGTATTAAGTTTACACTGTGAATCTGCTGCAAAAGAAATTTACATGAAAATTTTCAATATTTTCAGTAACTAAATTTTTACCTTTCCTTTTCACTATATGATAACACCTCACAGTACTTACTCATTTTAAGAAATTAAAGGTTAAATGATAGCAATATAAATAAGCTACCTCGGTATAATCATTCTTGTTTTTATTTTTATAAGCTTGCTTCATATCCTCCTCATAATCTTGATACATTTTCTTCTGCCTTTCTGATGGTGGTGGACAATTATCAGGGTCGGGAACAGGAGGGGCATCCCAAGCTGTTGGCTACGATGTGGTGAAAAATACATTAAAATATCAATAATTTGTCAAAGAGGCAGATCTATGTATACATATATATACACCATAAAATGCTTGATTTGCTTGTCAGAAAAACATTTTGTTTAAAAGAATCTGAAATATAAGAATATTTAAGTAATTTCTACCAAAATTTATTTATAATGTTGAAAACTTTGTATCCTAAACAAGGAATATATTGTCTGTGGGTATACCTGACATAAGGTTATCAATTCATTAAGGAATTTTGAATTTACATGTACCTGTTTTTGTCTGGGCGTTGTTGGTTTCTGTGAGGAGCTATACTGTGCTCCACCTTCATCATACCCTAAGGCAAGTCCTGGCATACCTGCAGGTCGGCTGGTTCTTGCACTTCTCTGAAACAGTATAAAATCATTGATGTTATACATTTTTAATACTTCCCTTTTGTCATTGTTATATTATTACAACATTACAACAGGTGAAGGCAAAGATAAATGTAAAACTGAAAAATCTATCCTTTATAAGCTACTGGAAAGCAAAAAAATCTTATGTGTGATGTCATTTTACCTATATGTAAATAAATTATTATCAAATTGACTATACAGAAATGATATAAGAAAATTACTTCATGGTACATAAAATATTTAAAAACAAACTAACTGTATCCTTAAACCTTGATACAGCCACTTGCATTTCAAAATGTTAACCCTTATTCTGCTTAAGATTTTTAATGGACTTGTCCAGGCTCAACTTTTGGACCAGTCCATTATTAATTTTGGAGATATCTAGATAAAAATTTAAAGTATGTCAGCCAAAAGACTATTTGGACAGGCTATTATTTTTTTTTTAAATCAAAAGTATAAATAAGACAGCATACCGCACTTGGTTGTCTCGGAGTCTGTCTATAAACTTCTACCAATTAACCTGGCCCAAACTTTTTAAAATTCCCCAACAAATAAAAAACTGTAAATTAAAAAATTTAATTTAAAGTTAAAACGATTTTTTAAAATTTTTTGTAATTTTTTTTAAACACAAAAAAATGTAAGCATTAAAATTTGACCAGTTTTTTAAGTTCCAAAAAAAATTTTACACAAGTCACTGAATGGGTTCCCCTTTTTTTGGGGGGAAAAATTTAAATTTACAGTACATTGTAATAAAATATGAATTTTTACCCCCCCAAAATAACCCAAATTTGGATTTTTAAAATTTGCAAAAAGAACCCCTTTTAAAACCAAAAAATTAAAGAAAAAATGTCAAGAAAAACAAAAGATTTTTACCCAAAAACAAAACTGGCAAACCAATGTTCTTTTCTCTAAATCAGCAGTATACGTATTAAACTAAGTTTAAATAAGTTTTTTCCCCTTGCTTTCATTTACATTAATTTTGAGATTTTCAAAACGATTTATTGTACAATTTTTTAAAACAACCAACAATCTTTTAATAGATACCTAGTACAGGGTAATATAAAAAGAAATTTAATTCAAAAAACCCAAGTATTCATGATACAGGCTTTTCCTTCTTTTAACCCTTTTTTTCACCCCATAAAGAAAATTTTTTGGCAACAATAAAATTTTGGGAAATTGGGGAAAACATTTTTTAAAATAGGGGTAAAAAAACCACATCTGCCCAACCGGGAATCTCCGGGGGAATAAAAGGGGGTAGCAGCAATTTCTATGGGTTTATATACTTTAATTTTCTGTTTTTTTCTATTTTAAATCAATCCTGTATTCTAAAAGAAAAAAACCCAATCAACAGAAATGAAAAGTAAAATATTTTTATTATGACATACATAAACTCCCCCCCCCCACTGTTAAAGTAATTTTTCAATACAATATAAAGATGTCCATAATTTGATAACAATGTTGAGTCACATCAAAACTGTAACTTTGCAGCTTTACTGGTGTAAGAAGACCTCCAATGCCCCACTGTGCAACATGCACAACCTACTTTTGATATGTCATAATTGCTTCATTAAAGGTAAAAGAAAAATGTCAATGTCGTCTATAAAATAAAACCCATATATGGGCGAGTGGCAAATGACTAGATGTTAGTAACTAGTTACCTTATATATTATATACCTATAATCTAATGCTACAATTAACAAGACTGAAAATCTAATATCCAAATTACCAATGCATATACATTGAAGGTGTTGATTGTTTTATGTCAAAAAGTAAAAAAAAAAAAACAAGCACAAGCCCTTCAAACTGTTAACACAATAAATATTAACTTGGATGCAGTTTCCTATACTGTCATTCATCAATTTGCTTGCTGCAACTTACCCCTGTGGCTTGGCAGATTGTCTGTCATGTTTTTCTGTAGCCCTGGATGGTGCTCTTGAAGGAATTTCTTCTCCCTATAAATATCAAATATACTATATACACTCCAGTAACTTGATTGAGCTCACAAGTAGCAGAAATAATTGTAAATGAACAAGAGAAAAAACAAGGGCTGTCAGTATGACAGCATTTTCAACTATTTTAAGTGCTTCATAGTAAAACAAGACTTTGTATAATGTAGAATTTTCTAAGTTCGAAAAGGGCCATATTTCTGTCAAAATTTATGTTAGAGCATGGGACTTAAACAATGACCCCCTTCTAAGTACTCAAATAAATGTATGAAGTTTCAAACTATTTCCTTCAGAAGTTGTGACCCCTATATTAAGCTTGCAAGTAAGTGTGTGAAATTTCAAACTATTTCCTTCAGAAGTTTTGAAGATACTAACTTACATGCAAAAACTTAACCAAATTTGATACCAAAGCTGACCCATTGGTAAATACAATATCTGTCTCTATTCTTTGAATAGCTGAGCTAAAATTCACTTAAGTCTTATTGTTATGTTAGAGCATTTTAGTAAAGAACTGGTTCTTCTTACACTATCTTAAACACCCCTCATATGACATACATTTTCACAGTAACTTCTTTACAAATCATCAACCATGGAGAGTGCAAAACTGCATTACAAAGAGAGGGAAATTCAGAAATGGATAAACAGTCCATTTGATGAAAAATTGTGATAATATTCATACATGACAAATTGTGATAATATTAATACAATACCATTACTTTTTTTAACTACAATTCCCATCTTTGTCTCACTATTATGTTAAGTTAGGTCTTAAAAAAATAACAACAACAAAAAAGAATTACAGTATTTTTAATACTGTTAAAGGGGAAGAGGGGGAAATATTTTACTTTTGGTAAGGGGAATTTGAATCTGACCGAATTTGGACCCCATGCAAATTGGCCCTAAAAAAGCACTAATGACAATCACTTTATTACACAGTGTAAACATTTTCACGTGCCATGATATAGACATATTTTACACACTTTACTTTTGACTATTAAATAATTACCTTTTTTAAAATATCAAATTGTAACCACCTTTGCCAACAACTTAAGTGCCAAAAATATCATAACGTTTGGATAAATAACTTACAGTTATAGGATTACGTGAGGTCAAAGGTCTGGCACTGCCTGGTCGTCCACTGGGAGGTCGGTCATATCTAGGTGTAGGTGTCCCTACAACTGAAAAACTCATTTTTTTCTGAAAAATAAATGAATAAATCAACAGCAAATATTTAAAACTTTTCAAAGAAACAAATATTAATATTATATAACTTAATAAATCATTACCGACTGTTAGAATTTTTTCCCAAAAACCTAAGTATCTATATGCTACAGTACAGCAAAACATTTTCCTATTCACTGATTCAGTGTTGCATCTAGTATTTCAAAATTATGGGTGATTGTCCCCCACTCAACTGAAAAATGTGGGGAATTTGAACAAGAGGGCCATGATGGCCCTGAGGTCGCTCACCAGGTATATAGGCCCCCGGAGCGGGCCAGTTTATTTGAACAAACTTGGAAGACACCCATTAGAAGATGTTTCATGATGTTTTTACTACACACATATAATGAAAAAACAATGACCTCCCCTCCCGGCAGGGCCAATTTTAACCCAAGGGCTTTTATTTGAACAAACTTGGTAGACACCCATAAGAAGATGTTTCATGCTAAACATCTAAGCTCTAGCTCATTGGGTTTTTTAAATAAATTTAAATGATTTTTTAAATTTTTACAATACACATATAGTTAAAAACAATGACAACACTTGGGCGGGGCCAGTTTTGACCCCAGGGCTTTTATTTGAACAAACTTTGTAGACACTCACTAGAAGATGTTTCATGCTTAATATCTAAACTCTAACTATTTGGGTTTTTTCAAAGAAGATTTTTAAGTTTTTGCTATACACATATAAGGAAAATCAATGACCCCCCGGGCGGGGCCAATTTTGCCCTCAGGGCTTTTATTTGAACAAACTTTGTAGACACTCACTAGAAGATATTTCATGCTTAATATCTAAACTCTAGCTATATGGATTTTTTCAAAGAAGATTTTTTAAGTTTTTGCTATACACATAATAAATTATAAGGAAAATCAATGACCCCCGGGGTGGGCCAATTTTGACCCCAGGGCTTTTATTTGAACAAACTTGGTAGACACCCATTAGAACATATTTCATGCTAAATATCTTGGCTCTAGCTCTTTGAGTTCTTTAAAAGAAGATTTTTTAAGTTTTTCCTATATGCATATAGGGAAAATCAATGACCCCCTAGGGTGGCGCCAATTTTGACCCCAGGGCTTTTATTTAAACAAACTTGGTAGACACTCACTAGAAGATGTTTCATGCTAAATATCTTAGCTCTAGCTCTTTGGGTTCTTTAAAAGAAGATTTTTAAGTTTTTACTATATACATATAGGGAAAAACAATGACCCCCTAGGGTGGCGCCAATTTTGACCCCAGGGCTTTTATTTGAACAAACTTGGTAGACACTCACTAGAAGATATTTCATGCTTAATATCTAAACTCTAGCTATTTGGATTTTTTCAAAGAAGATTTTTTAAGTTTTTGCTATACACATAATAAATAATAAGGAAAATCAATGACCCCCGGGGCAGGCCAATTTTGACCCCAGGGCTTTTATTTGAACAAACTTGGTAGACACCCATAAGAACATATTTCATGCTAAATATCTTAGCTCTAGCTCTTTGAGTTCTTTAAAAGAAGATTTTTTAAGTTTTTCCTATATGCATATAGGGAAAATCAATGACCCCCTAGGGTGGCGCCAATTTTGACCCCAGGGCTTTTATTTAAACAAACTTGGTAGACACTCACTAGAAGATGTTTCATGCTAAATATCTTAGCTCTAGCTCTTTGGGTTCTTTATAAGAAGATTTTTAAGTTTTTACTATATACATATAGGGAAAATCAATGACCCCCTAGGGCGGCGCCAATTTTGACCCCAGGGCTTTTATTTGAACAAACTTGGTAGACACTCACTAGAAGATGTTTCATGCCAAATATCTAAGCTCTAGCTCTTTGGGTTTTTTAAAAGAAGATATTTAAAGGTTTTTTCTTTCGGTTGCCATGGCAAAAAGCGATCACAAAAGCTGACCCTGTCACTTTGTGACAGGTGAGCTAAAAAATATGGGGGACATACATCTACTGGTTTCCTAGCAGTTTCCAGCTCCAAATCGCACTTTTTAACAAATAAAATAACAATAGCCGGTTGAACCACGTGATGCTCCCCGAATAGGTTTTGGACACAGGAAGGTATACCTCTTGTAGTGTCAGTTATGTCACAGACAAAGTGTAAAAACAACCCAAATGTTGCATGCGACACATTGTTTCAATATGGTGATAATTTCTGTGAAATAGTTGTAAAATCTGACTTCAAATAACAAAGTTATGGGCCAGACATGATTTTGCTGCAACATCATGCTGTGACCTTGACCTTCAAGGTAGCGACCCAAATGTTGCATGTGACACGTTGTCTCAATATGGTGATCATTTCTGTGAAATAGTTGTAAAATCCGACTTCAAATAACGAAGTTATGGGCTGGACACCATTTTGCTGCAAGGTCATGCTGTGACCTTCACCTTCAAGGTAGCCACCCAAATGTTGCGCGGGACATGTCATCTCAATATGGTGATCAATTCTGTGAAATAGTTGTAAAATCCAACTTAAAATAACGAAGTTATGGGCCAGACATGATTTTGCTGCAAGGTCATGCTGTGACCTTGACCTTCAAGGTAGCGACCCAAATGTTACACGCGACACATTGTCTCAATATGGTGATCATTTCCGTGAAATAGTTGTAACATCTGACTTCAAATAACAAAGTTATGGGCCGGACACAATTTTGCTGCAAGACCTATAACTTTTATGTCAACATCATACTTTAAGATGTAATCACATGTTTAGATTACAATGTGCAAGCACTTGACCTACTTAAATCTTTTGCCAGAAATGAAGGTCATGAGGGGGGACGAAAATCGAATTCATCCGCTATTTAGTTTTTTACGACTTCTTACATGTTTACAAAATTAAACTGTAAATAAGAAATAGATGTAAAAAATCAACAATTTTCAGAAAAATTGATATGTTCTCAGTTTTAAATTGACTGGAATATTTGTCATGTGAACTGATTTGACCAACAATGACGTAATTGTAGTCCTCTGCTAATTAACATATAGTTCCAATATGGCAGCCGTCATGACAGACGCTTATTATTTAAAGTTACCATTAACAAAAACAAGTGTAAGTTGGTGAAACTTGAACCGACTTGAAATTGAAAAAGGCCACTTGTAAGCATACATTATGTGTATAATTTATTATATATCTTTATTCCACATTATTTTTCACATATGTTCCAAATGCCGCGAATATACATCAGTCGAGGATACTAAAATAACGTCATTTTGATTTATTTAGCATGTGACTCATCTGCCATCCAGCCAGAAATTTCATCTGGCATCCATGGGTAAAGCTAACAAAAACACCAGCCTTATATGCAAGAATAGTAGTGTAATAGCGAGCTCGACGAGCTGGCCCGAAGGGCCTGCTCGCAAAGCGAGCTTTACGGTAACGCGAGTACCTGCTAAGTGATGGTTTTGAAAACTTTAGTCCGAAGTACCAAATTGGACACATCGCAACTTTTCGAATTAAAAGATAACGATAAAAACTGAGGAATTCTGACTGAAAACGGATGTGTAGACTGGTCACCCGCGCACGTCTATGGGAACCATAATTGGACAGGGAACCAGAATAATGGAAGCTGTGTATAAAATATCGAATGACAGTTTTAAAACGGAAAATGTAAAATGAAAATTGAAGGCGCCATTTTGTTTGAAAAATCTGATAAATAACTAGAACTGCCACTATCGTGGCGTGAATACCCCCGCATACCACTTTGTCAGAATCAACAGTGGCCATTTAGAGCTCAAGGACAACCTCCCTGCTAAATCTGAGGTTACTAAGCCAGTGCATTGCTAAGTTATGTATTCTACATGCTTCAAATGTGAAAATGTCAAAATCAATACATTGCGGACAGGACATTCTTTAGCAATTGAGAAGAAAAGCTTTTTTTTGTCAAGGTCCCTGTGACCTTGACCTTTGACCCAGTGACCTCAAAATCAAAAGGGGTCACCTTATAGTCATGATCAACATCCATGCCAAATATGAAGACTGTGGGTCAAAGGAATCTTAAGTTATAGGGCGGACAAGCTTCTTGAAGTCAAGGCCCCTGTGACCTTGACCTTTGACCTGGTGACCTCAAAATCAATAGGGATCATCTACTAATCATTACTAACCTCCATGCGAAATATGAAGACTGTGGGTCAAAGGAATTTTAAGTTATTGGGCGGACAAGCTTTTTGAAGTCAAGGCCCCTGTGACCTTGACCTTTGACCTGGTGACCTCAAAATCAATAGGGGTCATCTACTTATCATGACTTACCTCCATGCCAAATATGAAGACTGTGGGTCAAAGGAATCTTAAGTTATTGGGCGGACAAGCTTTTTGAAGTCAAGGCCCCTGTGACCTTGACCTTTGACCTGGTGACCTCAAAATCGATAGAGGTCATCTACTTATCATGACTAACCTCCATGCCAAATATGAAGACTGTGGGTCAAAGGAATCTAAAGTTATTGGGCGGACAAGCTTTTTGAAGTCAAGGCCCCTGTGACCTTGACCTTTGACCTGGTGACTTCAAAATCAATAGGGGTCATCTACTAATCATGACTTACCTCCATGCCAAATATGAAGACTGTGGGTCAAAGGAATCTTAAGTTATTGGGCGGACAAGCTTTTTGAAGTCAAGGCCCCTGTGACCTTGACCTTTGACCTGGTGACCTCAAAATCAATAGGGGTCATCTACCAATCATGACTTACCTCCATGGCAAATATGAAGACTGTAGGTCAAAGGAATCTTAAGTTATTGGGCGGACAAGCTTTTTGAAGTCAAGGCCCCTGTGACCTTGACCTTTGACCTGGTGACCTCAAAATCAATAGGGGTCATCTACTAATCATGATTTACCTCCATGCCAAATATGAAGACTGTGGGTCAAAGGAATCTTAAGTTATTGGGCGGACAAGCTTTTTGAAGTCAAGGCCCCTGTGACCTTGACCTTTGACCTAGTGACCTCAAAATCAATAGGGGTCATCTACTAATCATGACTAACCTCCATGCCAAATATGAAGA